AGGTTACTATAAAACCTAATGAGGTACACATCCTTCATATTACAATATAGTTGAATGAGGTATAAAAGTTGATTATGACGTGAGATATAAGTAAATGTCCCATGCACTCTGGAGGAAAACTCGATTAATGGATGTCCTGGCTGGCTTGATGAGGATGCTCCTCACATCTTCTAAATACCCATGAAGTCTCTAACTTTGATGATAAACCTTTGAATTTCCTGATTGTGGAAGTCTGAGCCTGTGCAAGCTGTGTAGTATCTTGTGTATCATATGTTACAATAACAGTCACTGACAGCCTTTGTGCCCCACCAGGAGAAAAGGGACCTTATGGGTGCTAGGATACAATTGTGCTGTGACGTCATAAAGAAAGACGTTTGAGGTCAACTTACTTCCATAAAATTCACCATGTGTGCAGACTGTAAAACAATATTGTAGTTTTCTCTCGTTAGTTCGCCATGTAATAAAAAAAACCATGATTTCAAAGCATTACAGCATACTTTCAATTAATCACACATTACATTTAAGAACTGCAATTATTACATAAATAGTCTGAAAATGGGACTTTGCAGAAAGTGAGTAAAACAAATTGATGTCATGTGTCTGTAAAAAATATGAATTAAAACTTATCAATTGTATTTTTTTGGTCCATAGATACTGTAGGTTTTAAGCATAATGAGAAGTCATAATGTGATTATTCACCCAACAGGTCCCTTATCTCCTGCTGGGTCACATTTCATGTTAGTTTGTGCCTAGTGTGTGATACTGGGGCACCACACGCCACCAGCATTGTACACAGCAGTGACCCATGTCATTGACGCCACCAGCATTGTACACAGCAGTGACCCATGTCATTGACGTTGCATGTACCACATCACATCACATCATGACAGTCCGGGCAGTGGGAGAGCCGAGCCGGCTGTTGTGTCCGTGCCCTTCAGGGGCCTTGTCGTGTATGTCTGGGAGTTCTGTGTGCAAGGAAACACTTTCTCTTTTGTTATACAGTCACATGACAGGAACAAATGTTTTATCAAGGTCGTGTTTGTCTGTTGTTGAAGTAGGTGTGTAATGTCTCTTTGATGGTTTAATGGGAGAAATGCTCACAAGTTTCATGTTTTAAAATATGAGTAGTTACATGTGATAGAGGGTATCTGTGTCACACATCTAGATACATTGGACAGATATTATATCAAGACTGCATCGACATATGAGAACAATCAATTTGTCAACCACTCCTGATATATCACTTTAGTAACAGTTTGTACCTTAGTCACCATGGCAACCAAATGTTACTCCATATTTTAGCATGATATGTAGTAGTAACTCAGTGTTATGTATCACAGTTGTTGAAGTAGTTACCATGGTTACTATTCAGTTTCCGCTGTGCATGTTATATTTGGTTTGTTATTTGCAAGAAGATCCTGTTCAAAAGGAATTTGACTCATATAATATGAAAACCAACTATTTGATGATCAATTTAGTTAATTTTGGTACAGAATGAATGTTTCAATGACATGGTTTTGTGATTTAGGTTTATATGCCCGTATGTGTTGCAGTCAATGTGAAAAATGACTGAAATTTTCACTTAGGCAATTTACAAAACACCATAATATTTAAGTCATTTTACATTTTTGTTCCATTTACTATATCATGATGACAAATTCTAACCACTTTTATGCTCTATTTCACCCAGTGACAAAAATTATAGGATAAAAAACAAACATAAGTCAGTGTATCCTTTTTTACTTTTATGGCATCTAATTAGCATAATTAGTCTATTGTGATGTTTGTAAAGCCGGGGTCAGCAGTTGTAACTCTGTGACGGAGGTGGGAGGGTGGTGTGGGTGTGGGTGTGGGTGTGGGTGTTGGTGTTGGTGTTGGTGTTGGTGTGGGTGTTGGTGTGGGTGTGGGTGTGTGTGTGTGTGGGGGGGGGGGGGGTTAGAGTGTTGGGGTGGGGAAAATGTCAATAATGTGTCATTGGTGTGTGTGGAAGTTGTGGCTACACCTGTACACACCACCCGTGATGAAGTACCCGTGTAAATAACCGCCTGTGACACTCAGGATCCAGATTGGATGTGCTAATACCTTATCTCAATGAATGTTTATTACTTGGCCTTTGTTATGTTAATGACATGAAAATTACTATCGAGTGTGTTTTTTTATTTGTTCATAACCAATTTTTGCACAGAGTAATTTTTCAGGATATTCATTCAATTTTCAGAGTCCGATTTTATGTTATCAGGTGTCTCCTTTGATCTGTGTGTGTTCCTGAGATTCTGTTTTAGTGTGCATTGAGTTTGGGTAATACATGTGGAACCTGCTTAGTGTTTTTGTCAGGCTTGTTGATACTGGGCGGTTGGATAGCCGAGGGGTTAATGCATTCGCTCTTCATGCCAAAGACCTGGGTCGATTCCCGAAATGGGTACAATGTGTGAAGCCCATTTGTGGTGTCCCCCAATGTGATATTGCTGGAAAATTGCTAAAAGCTGTGTAAAACCATATTCACTCACTCACTTGTTGATACCAGTTTTCACTGTTTATGAATGGACCCACCCTAAATTTGTTCTGTTAGGCCTGACCAAAATTATTTAATTGTGTTATGGGACCTGCTGATGAAGTTTTTTTCAAACAAAAACAACAAAAACACAACACTCAATATCCACTGGAATGATAGAAAAAACATTTCTCCCCAAGGCAAGGGGACCGCCTCCGTGGTCTAGTGGTAGAGCGTGGTAGAAGGTCCAGGGTTTGATCCCGACTGCGTCATACCTAAAGACGTTAAAAGATGGTACTTGTTACCCTGTCTGGCCCTCGGCATTAACATGATTAAGGGGCTAAAACAAGGACTGGTCGGCTCGGAGTCAGTATACTGTGTCTGAGTGGGGTATTCATGTTAAACTACGGCATGGTATCTCAGTGAGCTAGCACTCAGTCCGAACTAGTACAAGCAGCCACACAAACACACATGTACCACAAGATAAGGGAGATAAGTCTAAGTTCAATTCATTGCTGTATTTGTAATATGCCTTATAGCCATTGGCTTATTTTCTCCCTACAGACAATTACATCATGTTGGTAATATGGATGTCACAATTCAGAGGTCGGCAATACAGAGGTTAGCACATGGGGGTCGCAATACAAATATCACAAACCCTATGTGTAGCTTTTTTTCTGAGATAGTCGTAGAAGGAGATGATATGCTTCTTGCCTGGAACAATGTCCTGTAACAATGGTGTCATGATAAGTATATGATGTATTGATACTGGTATGATTAATAATCAGCTACATGTCCATGGTTACATCAACAAGCAGTCTACAACAGACCCCATGTCAACCAACAGATTAACCCACAGCCAGTCACTTGAAGTATAATAATGTCTCATACTGTTGGAGCTTTTTCCAAACAAAAAACTAATGCTAATAGTTTTGTGGAATATTCTAAGCTCTGGTTCCCCAAACCCAAACAGTACAATTACAAGATTACAGTTGAGTTGAGGATTCTGACCTTCAACAGTTGGGGTAGAATTAGACTTGCTAAACTAGTGACACGTGCAGTGGCATTATAGTCCCCATGTTTGTCAGGTAACATTGGTGATGTTAAACATTTCATTCCCTGGTCAGAGGGCGCCACTAACTTGCTGTAGACAAACCAGCAGACAGGTTATGTTAAACATTTCAGGTTTTAGCTGGCTAACTATATAAATGTTGACATGAAAACCCTTGAGTTTCCACTCATTTATCGGGGAGATAACAAAACTCCTATTTATATAAATTTCAAAGACCTGATTTAGTGGCCTGTCTGCTATTGGGGTGATATGAAAGGTGCCATTGATAAGAAAGTCACCTATTCATATGTATGTGAACATGATCGTGTCACTGGCACAGTGACAACAGAATGAAAACTTTATTCAATAGCAGTCTGTGCACAGCGTTCTGGAAGTCTCAGTCAGTAGCTTGTATGGCCCACATATATCACTGTCGGCACCCTGTGTGGGACATATACTGAGCATGCTGAGTGGATTATCCACCATGTACAATACACTCTACCACAGGGGTGTCGAATAACATGAAAGTCCATGAGGAACACAAACCCCCAGACGCTTCAATTCCTTTTTCTTCTAAACAGCATATTCTGGTGTCCCCCGTCGTGATATTGCTGGAGTATTGCTAAAACCGGCGTAAAACCATACTCACTCACTCACTCTAAACAGCATAAACATGGATGCTGTAAATATTGAAGCTTTTACTTAAGTATACATTGAAAGGATCTAAGAGTCATGGTGTGGTTTGACAATGATGTGAGTAATGACGCTGTTACGTTTGAGTAATGTCATCATTACCATTACTGCCGTGGCAGGATGGTTAATACTTACAAATGACGACTGTCTCCGGACTTACTTCCAGGAAGCATTATTTCTGTTTCATACCAGTGAATTTTATGTTCATAACCATGGTAGCATAATGCACACAGACTCAGATATGTAACAAACATAATCTTTCACTTTTATGTGATTTCTCCTGGTCAGTGTGGCAGCAGGGTAGCCTAGCGGATAAAGCATTGATTTGTCAGGCCAAAGATCTAGGTTCAATTCCCAACTTGGGTACAATGTGTGACCCTCTTTCTCCCATTGAGATATGATTGGAAAATACTTAACAATTTTTATCTGTCAGCGATCGGCTGTGATGGTCTGGGGTGACAACAATTATTGAGCATCCCTTGCTTGTTCTGTGGCATGCTAAACTAGAGCATAAATTATATGGCACTGGTTTCAAACATGGTATCTTCTGGTACCGGGAATCTTGTCTACACACATTAGCCAAGAACTCCCTCAAAGTTTAATTATGCCGTATAAATCGCGATTCACTCCCTCACTCCCTCACTCCCTCACTCATGGCTCGCCAATAAACACAATATAGTACTGTTACTTCACATTGCATGCCGCCACTATAACTGTCACACTTTGTGTTTGCTTCTGTTGTTATTTTCACCTTGTTGTTTTCAGCGTCCCATCCTCCAACAATATGGTGGCACGCACGACCGCCCACTCAAGCACTATTTTAGTTCCACTGATGTTCGTGTTAATCTCACTCAGATGCGGAGAGTAAGTAGCTGCAGGGCACCCGGGTCAAAGTCTCACATGTCACTGAACGGAACATGTCGCTATCAGAGGATAGAACAGTCTGTTTGGGAGGAAATTCTTTGCATAAAAACATATGTTTTTTATATTGATTTAAAAATATTTTATTCCTCAAAAATGAATGGGATTGGGTACAAGTTCTCCAACATAGGACACCATCTCCAAGGTTTTTTTGCAAAAAATTTCTTAACCTAAAGGCATGTGGAATTTTGAGAATGTAGTTACCTATATCTGCACCCTGTTTCCTAACACTCTGCTCCTCAGTGAGGTTCTGTAGATCTCCAGGTACTTGAGATGTAGTGGATCTGTCTCCTCCTGTCAGGGGTAACACTGTCTGTCTAACCATTCCATCTCCTCCTCCATCTCCTGCTGCTGCACTGGTATTAGCGTCTCTGTGTTGTCGTAACTCACTCATACAATGGCTGCTAACTCGGGAATGTAGATAGTTGATGACAAGGGGAGGTCAGGTAGCCTAGTGGTTAAAGAGTTTGCTTGTCATGTGGTGACCGAAGACCTGGGTTCGATTCCCCACATGGGTACAATGTGTGAAGCCCATTTCTGGTGTCCCCCACCATGATGTTGCTGGAATATTGCTAAAAGCGGCGTAAAACCAAACTCACTCACTAGTTGATGACAAGCCTAAAGTAACCATATAGACTCTCACCTGAGTGGCTTTTGATATAAAAAATATTGTGTCGAATAAATTTTAAGACTTGCTGACAAATGTTTATATATTTGATATCAGAAGACAGGAGGGTGAGATTCTATAAGACATCCAAAATCATTCTTCCAACTGTTTTCACTTGTAATCAGTAAGAGAGAGTTTCATGAGTGTAACAGTACAGGTAACCAGCGTAAGTGGCAGTAAGACTAGTGATGTCATTTAATTGTGATGTCATGGTAATGGATGATGTCACAATGGCTTGCAACTTAGCCTTGTGATGCAATTTCACCCAAGCTTGATCTCGCCAGCAAGTCCTGTGGAACCCTGTTCGGGATGTAAGGTCAGCTGGTGGGCAGGAGTGACTTGCTGTTGTATTTCTGTCAACATGATTAATCGTTACGATTGTATGTGAATTCATTGTAAATTACTTGATTGCAAACAGTATAGTTTTCTATTCCGATGTGGTTAAAAGTTCTTTAAGTAAAAACAAGGTTTATTTGGCTGGCAGTGTCGTCCTCTAATGACCAGAAGTCAGATCTACACTTTGGAATCATTAACCAGTGGGTGACTCAGGCTGGTCAGAAAATGTTCCCAGTTCCTGAGGAAGAAAGGGGCGGTGGGGTAGCCCAGTGGTTAAAGCCTTCGCTCGTCACGCTGAAGACACGGATTCCATTCCTGACATGGATACAATGTTTGAAGCCCATTTCTGGTGTTCCCTGGTGTGATATTGCTGGAATATTGCTAAAAGCGGCATAAACACTCACTCACTCACTCACTCACTCACTCACTCACTCACTCACTCACTCACTCACTCACTCACTCACTCACTCACTCCTGATGAATGAAATCATAATGAAAAGAGCATGCTCTACAGGTGTGCATAATGGACCTGTGGGTAATTCAAGCTTGACAAGAAGAGACACCAGCACCTGATGCCTGCCAATGGAACACAACAAAGGGCAGTGCGAGTGTCCGGTGGTCACATGAAGGGGATAGTCCTTGTATGAGGATGAGTTTTTGTAAGGGTGTGAGGTATTACCAGTATATCGGTAAATTGAGGTTCAGTCTTTCCACAATGCGTATCACAATATCATTTTTTCATCCTCGATATATCAGGTGATTTCAAATTGGGATTTGTATCATGTGTTTAGTGTTATATACTTGCCAAATGCGACGACATGCATCAACCAAGTTCTCAAGCCTGACCACCCTATCCTGTTAATCGCCTTTAGGTACGGTAAGGATGGGTTGCTGAAGACCTCTTTCTTAACCAGATCTTCATGGGCCTATGATGAGCAAGAGGAACAACAAAGTAGCAGTAGTGGTGGCGGTGTCTGCTAGAAAGGGACATGTCCAGGCTGACAGATGATGCCGAGATGGTGCTCCTCACCACTCACTAACATTCGAGATATAGCCTGATTTCAACCCTCAATCTCTCGCTACCCCCCTGGGCCTATGTGGTATTTGTCACTCTACAGACACTGTGTGGTCAGTGACCGACCATGTCACCTTGTCCAGAGGGTCATTGATCCCCATGATGTTGTTGTCCCCTGATTGAATGCACATTAATTGTAAATGCTCAGTGTGAAGGTGTGACTTGGTTGCATGCACAGAAGACATGTTTCACACTTGTCAATTGGTTGTGGCTGAGGTCGACTACTGTGGATAATTGCCTCCTCACACTACTGCTGATGACAGCATGTGAAATGAACAACATACAGGTGATATCCAGGTGATATCCACACAGCCAGGTGATATCCACACAACCAGGTGATATTCAGGTGATATCCACACAGCCAGGTGATATACACACAACAAGGTGATATACACAGGTGATATCCACATAGCCAGATGGTATCCACACATCCAGGTGATATCCAAGTGATTTCTACACAGCCAGGGGATATCCAGTTGATATCCAGGTGATATCCAAACAGCCAGGAGATATCCACACAGCCAGGTGATATCCACACAGCCAGGTGATATCCACACAGCGAGGAGGGATAGACGTGCAGGGATTGACAATGAAAGAAACATATACCAGTAACACTGATCACATAGTGGACCAAAGGAGGAGGGGACCAGGGTCAGGGACCAAGCAATGTCATGTACATACTTATGGTGCCGGACAAGTCTTGAGGAGGGTTTAGGAGCTACTCTGTCCACACACACACACTATCCTGCAGACTCAGCTGATAGTAAATCTTAATATTCCATTGTATCTTTTGTGGATAAGTCAGTTGGTTATATTTTCTGATACTTGTCAGGTGGCTGTCTTGTTTGTCGTCTTGTGGAATGTTTAAATGTTTGGGTGCAGGTGTATGCTGGTGGTGTTTGCGTGTGTTTCTCATACATATTTGATAGTGCTGCACTCAGTAGTCACTGTAATTAGCACCCAGGGCATTCCACTAGTCAGACGCCAAAAGGGGCATGGTTAATTAGCATTACACCTTCCTCATGTTAGCTCACACTGAAACTGTGGTGTTCAGAGGTGACAGGTTGTTCAAAATATCTTCAACAATATGGTGGCGCAGTCTTAGTTATTTACATTCGGAATTTGTCCTCTTAGTTCGTTTTCAAGATACAGAAATCAGATATGCTTGTCTGAATGCTTTGCCAACTTGCAACTAGAATTTAGAAGCCTTGATGCTGATTGGCTGATTTGAAAGGTCACCTGACACACACCCCTGTGGAGGTGTCCTCAGGTCTTGACATAGAGGCATCGTATCAGAGTAAAAGATGTGTTTGAATGAGACTGCATTGAAACCGACACATTATAGAGATACAGACAAGTACACCAGTTCACTTGATTACAGAGAGCTGTAACTTTGATGGACGACTTTTTGTGTTCTATATTTAGCCGAGGAACAATTTTGTGTCTTGTTTTCATGGATTTTATGGACTTATGGCAGTATTCAGGATCAAACAAATTGATATGATTATCCAAAGAAGTGAAGGCATTATTTTGTCAATTCCTGAGAGAGCAGTTGCCTGACAATACCCTGGTACACCGAAACACAGTGTATTGCAACATTATTAATCATGTTCATATATGAAATATTCATGCAGCTGCCCGACTGAAAGGTAGGAACATGTCTATGGTCTGTGCTGAAACCCTTGTAACCCAGTAGTGTATTAATGAGCCAGAAGCCACCGAGTCTGATTAACCAACAAGTCTAGTCTTAGTTCATTGGAAACTACAGGGATGTCCCACTGCTGCGTGTTACAACAGAAAGGCTGAGCCTGAGAGGGCTGGCCGGATTAGGCCTGGGAGATTGGGGGGATTACCTGTGCCCTGCCTCACCTCGCCTGTGCTCTCCTTGACCTCCCCTCCCCTGATCCGGGGTAGACTAGGTCTTCGGCAAACCATGCTTGCTGTAAAAGGCGACTGTGCTTGAGGTAAGAGCAAATAACAGGATTGCTGACTTGCCTGATGCTCATCGTATCCCAATTCCGTGGATTGATGTTCATGATGTCAATCACTGGATTGTCTGGTTCAGACTGGATTATTTACAGACCGCCGCCAGAAAGCTGAAATGTTGTTGTGTGTGGCGTTAAGCAACAAACAAAGTACTGGAAGTGTATCCAGCAAGTTGGATGTAGGCAGTTCACTTTAGTTACATCTTTCTTTTTATTTTAAGTATAAAGTTTCCCACTTATGTTCAGATGTTTAATATGCTTAATACTAACCTTTTCTACCCCACATGATATTGCTGGAATATTTCTAAAAGCGTCATAAAACCATTCTCACTCACTCACTCACTCACTCACTCACTCACTCACTCACTCACTCACTCACTCACTCACTCACTCACTCACTCACTCACTCACTCACTCACTCAACTAACTCACCAACCTTTTCTTATTTCTTGGATCACTGATTTCTGTAGCAATCACTGATTGCTTAGCTCCTGCTGTGGTGATGAGAAATAATATATTGAAATAGAGTAGGCTTTAACAGTCTTATTCCAGATTTGGTTTCTTGTTTTACTCATGATTTTCTTGGTCCAATTGTTTGTCAGAGACACTTGCAGTAACAAGTAGAATATGGTTGATTAAAAAATAGAAAGAAGAATGTCTTAGTGTGACATGTAACAGTTGCTTGAAAAACATTAAAAATCAACCTCAACATGTGGCGAAAATCATATTGGAAAATATGCACTATAGGGTTGACAGGTCCTGTAGTAAAAGCAGTGTGTATAAAAGTGTGTATAGGCCTTAGGGGAGGAATGGTATGAGAAACAATGATGATAAGCAGCAGGCTATAAGTTCCATGTTTGGAAGGTCATCTGTCTTCCACACTGTAGTAGGAGACCTGCACCACCACATGGAAACAATTCTGTGGAGGGCATATGATTTGATGTGTGAGCGTTGTGTGTTGCAGAAGCCGGCCTCCTCGGGCCCCCACGAGAAGCACGTGAAGCATCGCCTGAAGAAATACATGTCCAACTACAATTACCAGGTGAGTGTCCTTCGCCACCGCCGCTGCACCCATCGCACCAGCGCCATACCTTACTGGGGAGTATCAACACCAATGATGTACTTTCGAGTCTATAACTGAATGGTTTTTGTCAGACCATTTTAAAGAAGAATAGACCTGTGAAGATCCGGGTTAGAATAAGTCTTCAGCAACCAATGCTTGCCATAAAAGGCGCTTATGCTTGTTGTAAGAGGCGACTAACAGGATCGAGTGGTCAGGATCGAGTGGTCAGGATCTCTGACTTGGTTGATGCAAGTCATCATATCCCGATTGCGTGGAGTGATGCTCATGATATCAATCACTGGTTTGCCTAGTCCAGACTCGATTATTTACAGACCGCCGTAACATAGTTAGAATATTGCTGAGTGCGGCGTTAAACAACAAGCAAAGAACAATTTAATGGAGAATAAGTTTCATGAAATCGAACTTGATGTTCAGGAAGCAGTCGACTGAGGTGGCAGACGTAGTGTAGTATTCAAGGTCCGAAAAACATCCTCAGACAAAATTGATATGGACTTCCTCGGGTTTTTTCTTTCATTGCCTCATTGTGTCCGCTGACAGAGGGTTTAGAAGAATCAATCATGAAAAAACAATTACTTTACTCAGGTTCAATAGAAGAACTTTATTTTGTTGTCAAATGCTGTCAAACTTCATATAAATACTGGCACTTATATTCATTGATGCAGTGTATGGTATACGTATTTATTGCACAAACTTTTTACATCAAAGTTCTGGCAAAACAAATTGGATTGGAATAGAGATTATTAGCCAGGTGCACTTCTGTATTGTAAATATCAATAAATAGGAATAAAAATTGGGATAAAAAAGGAATAAAAACTAAATGCTATTTAGGATACGGAAATACACATATCACACACAGCTAAACATTATATGATGAAGTGATGTACATGATTTAACTTGTGACCCTCTGGTAAGTGTTCTGGTGCCATTGTACAAAGCTATCTTAGCGCTAAGGTGATCGTAACTCCCATACCTTAACATAGAATTACGACAGTTGTTGTGCTAAGACTGTTTTGTACAACGACACCCAGGTGGTAATCTGATAAGTGAGTGACTGCACGATCACAACATCACCACTAACCTGCCTGAACAGTATGTATAACTCCATATGACTCTAAAATCATTATGAAAGTTTCCACAAACATAAGCAAATAACAACCCATGTAATGAATTATTTCTACAATTGTTACAATCAATGGATTACGTCAAGGAGAACGTATCTAGTCATCATCGCGAGCTGTGACAACATCTTCATGCTTCTTCCTCCGCTAATTAACCCCGTGGGATTCAGTGAAGTGTGAACATCATGAATTGCTGCAGTCACTCAAGCGGAAACAGAACCATGGAAAAACTCCCAAGAGTCTTTAACATGGTTCCATTGTTGCTTGGCGCTGATGTCAGCAACAATCAATGAGACATGCGGAGACAGTGTTTGTGTGTGGCTGTACATGGGTGGTGACAGTGAATGCAGGGCGGCTGTAGCCATGAGATACATCAACAAACAGCCATGCAGGTATTGACTCACGACATTGAATGTCGGGGGATTTCCCAATGACATGCATCACATATGCATATCATACATGTCATGTCATGCCATCACTGAATAACTGTAGTAAGAGGGTGTTCTTTAGCTTCTTTTAAGTAATATAATATATGTTCTCCTAATCTAAATACAGCGGAGCTCAAACACTAAACAATAAATTCTGGAATTCTGATAAGTTAAATTAGAGACATTATATTTCACCTATAATTTTAGAAACAAATTTATATGCCACATTGCACGCTGTACAAGGAGTGAGTTGTCCGATAGTTGTGCAAACCTACAATTATTGAAGGGCTGCTTGGATAATCATCCATCAGCACGTGTCGAATTGGAGAAGCTCCCCTTGTCAAAGGTGAAATAGTCACACTTATCTAGGGAAGGTAACCAACATTGGTTCTTCATTGTCAGTGGTACTGTGTCCTGGGGTCTCATTTTTTTTTTTTACTATTTATGGATTTTTCACAAAATTGTGGTCTGTAGGTGGGGGACAGGAGGTTTTCTGATAATTTTCAACAGGTTTTAATTATAGTATTGTAAATATTTTCATTAGCGACAGTCATTTTTTTTTTTAAATTCATTTTACTAATTTCTGGTCTGTGGAATAATAAGAACATTTAGTTCTTAATTTTTGTTCACATTTCCGTTTTTGGGAGTCAGCAAATTTGTAAACCAGTTGTGTTTGCAACACTGCCCTGAGATGTCCTGAATAACCTGTTGCCTGTGTTTGTACCAGCTGTCAGGCCCAGACTTACCCCCAGTCGTAGTGGAGAGACAGAAGAGAGCTAAGTCGTCCCGAAAGTTAAAAAAGTCTCAGGTAGTTTGTTGGTGTAGGTGTTGTCGTGTAGTTTGGTGTTACTAACACACCTACCTCTGGCCTGCCTCCATCAGGCAGGCAGCACGTAGTCTGTACGTAGTCCGTATGTAGTCAGTATGTAGTCAGTACGTAGTCTGTACGTAGTCAGTACGTAGTCGTACCTGTCAGTCAGTTGAACGTTTTATTCCTTCTCATTTTTTGTTGATCTTATTAAGCTCTTGTTTAGTTTGTTTTTTAGGGTCCGCCCATCCTTGTTTATCCAGTGTACTATTATGTCTCCTTCCATTATGATATACATGCGTTTCATTGCAGAAGTGATGATACAGTCTCCATCTTCCACATCGCTAACCTGGCACAACATTTCTGCTCTGATGAGCTTGATTTCAACAACCAATCAACATAGCTCTTCTTAACGATAGTTCAGGGTTAATCTACATTCAAAATAGTGGCCTCACTTCAAATAAACAGACCCATGAAGATCCAGGGTAGAATAGGTCTTCAGCAACCCATGCTTGTCGTAAAAAACGACTATGCTTGTTGTAAGAGGCGACTAACGTGATCGGTGTTGTGTCGGACAAAAAGCTTTGGTGGCGAATGGTCCAGGGTATTTATGTAAATGGAATGGAGATATGATACACTGGATAGTAGAGAATGGGAGCAGCTTGAATTGCTTTCTATTTTCAGAAACATTTTTTGTCAGTTTGTATTCTCTGCAGAGTCTTCACTTAGTTGTATTGACTGTAGGGGAAGAAATACACTGAAAATTCACAAACATCAGATAAAGCTTTTTCATTACTTTTGCATGTTTTAATAGCTGGTGTGTCCCAAAGGGAAATATAAGCTTATGCCATGGCTTGGGATCTCCATCTAAAACACCCACAGCACAGCACATATATTCATGATTTCAGAGTGAAAACAGAGGTTCAGTTTAAGTCCAAAAATATTAAAACATTTATGCCCAATTTAAAAAACAATCATTAGATATAATTAATAGAGGTAAGAAGAATGTAATCCAAGCAAAATATTTTATGAAAAAGGGTTAATATTGATAGGATGGCTCGGATTGCAAACCTCAGGAATCTTTTCCTCACCATTCAATTGGCACGAAAATGAGAGAATGACGAGTTTACCGGCTTTGTCATGTGTTTCCAGTGTGCATTCGCTGACCAGTTTCCACTACCTTTCGGAAATGAGTTAAGATAGGCAATAGTATGAGTCAGGATAAGTATAAATGATAATTTTCTTTAAAATACACATAATTCAAAATAAAATCTCGAAAACGTCAAAAGGCCAAGAAAGCTAAGGCTTTTTCTGGTATATTTGAGGTGTGGAAAAAAGCCACTGAACTTGAGCTGTAGTAGACGATGCCAAATAACATGACACTGTATTTAACATTGGGGACTGAATCAAGCTACACTGTGGTGTTTTTTCATTGCAATTACCCAGACATTTACATTCTTGTGAGAACCGTGGTAGAATAGGTCATCATCAAATATGCTTGTCGTAAGAGGCGACTAACAGGATCGGATGGTCAGGCTTGCTGACTTGGTTGGTACATGTCATCGATCCCAATTGCGTGGATAAATGCTCATGATATTGATCACTGGATTGTCTGTCCAGACTCTCTTATTTACACACCGCCATCGGGTGAGCTACTGAGCTGTTTGGGACAGCTTTGTATTTCTTCCCAGTTTCTTGTTAGTCTCATAGCACACTTCTATTATTAGTTTTAAGATCAGCTTAGATAAATACACTCCAAACCCCTTTTTATCAATTTGCCTTCTTTTCACTTGAAATATTTGAATTGACCGAAAGGTATGAAAATATTTTGAAATTTAGAAGTAGGAGGTAAAGCTTTTGTCACTATATTTTTTTGTATATATTTTTTTTTTCTATGCTTTATTTCCTCCAGTCACTAACTTTGTACAATTTGTTTTTGAGTGTTGACCTTATTGAGGTGTGACAACATTTTTGCATGTTTTATTGTTTTTCAATGCTTAATTTCCTTCAGTCATTAACTTTGTAAAACAATTTGATTTTGTTGAATGTTGACCTTATGGAGGTGATAAAACACTGTGTGCCTGTTCCACAAAGCGATCGTGGCGTGAAGTTGATCGTAACTCCCCAACTTAAACACAGCTTTACGACGGTCGTAGTGCTACGATCGCTATGTGGGCCCAGATCACAGGACAGTGTTGGCTGATGACTTGTATAGACACCAAGCTCCAGTGTTGCGGGGTAGGAATGTACTGAGTAAAGCCCAACTAACCTGCTGTTTATGATACTGGTGTATTCTGTTGGCTTTCAACTGCATGGCTGAGCGCCTGTAAATCATAGTAATACTTTTTAGAAATGTGTTTTTTAATCTAGGATTATCTGCAACAAGATACTTGTCAAATGCTTAATCATTTTTTTTATTAATTCTTCATTAATATTTTGCTTTGAAAGACTATAATCAGGATATATTTTGTGTGCTGTTAGCCTTATTTTTTAATCCTGATGGTAGACACAACATGTACAAGTATGTTAAGTATTAAGTTCGACATGAACAAGACTATCTCAAATTGCATTTCATTTTACTACCGATAATTATTTTTGATGACAGTGCAATTGAATGCAGATATGTTAAAAATAATCAATGTTCATTGTGTTTTGTAAGAAGCTTGCATTTTTAAATGAGCAGACACTTAAGATTCTTAGTGATAGATATTTCCAGATGTTTCATCCATTTGGTTGAGGGGGAGCATGTTGTGTCACTATAAATGAGCATCTTCCCAAGGCAAGGGAGTCAACAGACTTAAAAAGTCCAGTTTCTACCTTTTCCCAACTAGGCTGGAATTTCTGGGCTGGATCTTGGCGTCATCAGGGGCTATTACAAGTTAATGTCCCTTTTATGTCCCACCTACTGACCAATCAAATTCCCCCTCTCATATCACTTGCATTGCTTTCAACAAAATGGTGGTGCCCACTCAAGACGATCTCATCGATAAGTCAGTTAATTTCCTAGCCTCAGGAAGATAATATATATGATGTTGTTTAGACAGTGTACATGTCCTCCAATGACAGAAGAGTAACATGTTGTATGCTGCAATACGTAGGTCTTCATCAGATTGTTCCCGTCAGAGTCAGTTGATGGAGGTGAAAGGAAATTTAACATAAGCATCAGGTTATAAATTATCTGATATTGATCAATAACCATCAAATAGCTAATTCCCTTCCACTGATTTACTCACCTTTTTCATATTTGTATCCATGCATAAAGATTCAGAGTGACAAAACACTCTCGACAAGACTGTATGACAAGAGGGATGACTTCCACATTCCAACAGTTAATTTTTCCTTCATGTCGAGCAGTATTCCAGCAGCTCCAGCCTTTGGTTACTTACTACATTTGAGGTGAAATCGAGCATGCTCTTTCTACCAGGATTTCAAATAGTGTCATACAACTCTTACTCAGGATTTGTTTCATCAAATTAACACCATTCAAGGCCTCAGTATAGCTTTCAAAACCTTTATGGTAGACATGTGGAGGACATTTCCAAATTTAACACATCCGTGACAAGAATGGTGTCCATGCAATTCCCTATTTTGACATGTACCATATGTTCCCGTGTTTTTTCAGGTGAATAATTGACCTCCCTTTGCATGTGTTTGTGACAGGTGCCACCAGTGGGGCAGGATGTGCTCCACCTTTTCACTATTTGATAGTGATTCATAAACAGATGCTCCTGCTACAGCCTGACTCATACAACCAATTCTGCTTTTAGCAGAGATTTCTTTAGTTTATGGAAAGGGTTTTGTGTCTTTTATATACAAGCATCACATTTCCACTGAGGAACAGCTCAAAGATTTTATCTGCTTGGACATGTTGTGTGTTGCAAGAAATTGCACATTATAAGAAATAAGTTGCTTCATTGAGGTGCTACGTGTCTGTGTTGACCTGTGTTGACCTGTGTTGACCTGTGATGACCTGTGATGACCTGTGTTGATGTGTCTCTGTCCCCAGAACTCCAACCTTCCCGAGTACTACTACATCTACACAGGCAGCTCCAAATCCCTGCGACCGGATGCCACAGGTGTGCCTTCCAAGTCTCCCAAGAAGAAGTGAGTACAGCCATGACAGCACCTCAAAGAACTGTTCATACAGGACCCCCTTCCTGGCAAGTCCCCAATACTGTCATAACAGCTGACCCCTTCTGACAAGTCCACAATACTGTCATAACAGCTGATCCCTGCTGGCAAGTCCACAATACTGTCATAACTGCTGACCCCTGCTGGCAAGTCCACAATACTGTCATAACAGCTGACCCCTTCTGGCAAGTCCACAGTACTGTCATTACAGCTGACCCCTTCCTTGCAAGTCCCCGGAATACTGTCATAACAGCTGATCCCTTCCTTGCAAGTCCCCAATACTGTCATTACAGCTGACCCCTTCCTTGCAAGTCCATGGAATACTGTCATAACAGCTGATCCCTTCCTTGCAAGTCCCCAATACTGTCATTACAGCTGACCCCTTCCTTGCAAGTCCACAATACTGTCATAACAGCTGACCCCTTCCTTGCAAGTCCCTGGAATACTGTCATAACAGCTGATCCCTTCCTTGCAAGTCCCCAATACTGTCATTACAGCTGACCCCTTCTGGCAAGTCCCCACAATACTGTCATAACAACTGACCCCTTCCTTGTAAGTCCACAATACTGTCATAACAGCTGACCCCTTCTGGCAAGTCCCCAATACTGTCATTACAGCTGACCCCTTCCTCGCAAGTCCACAATACTGTCATTACAGCTGACCCCTTCTGGCAAGTCCCCACAATACTGTCATAACAACTGACCCCTTCCTTGTAAGTCCACAATACTGTCATAACAGCTGACCCCTTCTGGCAAGTCCCCACAATACTGTCATAACAACTGACCCCTTCTGGCAAGTCCCCAATACTGTCATTACAGCTGACCCCTTCCTCGCAAGTCCACAATACTGTCATAACAGCTGATCCTTCTGGCAAGTCCACAATACTGTCATTACAGCTGACCCCTTCTGGCAAGTCCCCACAATACTGTCATAACAGCTGGTTTTCCTTGCAAGTCCCCAATACTGTCATTACAGCTGATCCCTTCCTTGCAAGTCCCCACAATACTGTCATTACAGCTGACCCCTTCTGGCAAGTCCACAATATTGTCATTACAGCTGATCCCTTCCTTGCAAGTCCCCACAATACTGTCATTACAGCTGACCCCTTCTGGCAAGTCCCCAATACTGTCATTACAGCTGATCCCTTCCTTGCAAGACCCCACAATACTGTCATTACAGCTGACCCCTTCTGGCAAGTCCACAATATTGTCATTACAGCTGACCCCTTCTGGCAAGTCGCCAATACTGTCATTACAGTTGACCCCTTCTGGCAATCTGTATCCAGTTTAATCAATGGTGTATCCAACTGTTGCAGGCCTTTAAAGGGAGGCTGGCCCATCCTCCGTACCGTGCCTTCCAATGCTGTGTCTCGTGGTGAAGCAGAGAGACTCGTCAATGCAGCTACCAAGCTTCTAGTAGCCACAGTAAGTACACACATACAGCGGCAATTTTGGAAATTATGATAATTCTTCAGGTGAATCCGTTTTAACTTCCTGAGAAACATCACAAACTGACAAAACAATGACAAGATGTATAATGCCACTGTGAATTAAGAACCAATGAAGTTCCAGGGTAGAATAGGTCTTCAGCATCCTATGCTTGGCATAAAAGGCGACTATGCTTGTCGTAAGAGGCAAACAGTTGTTCCTGGTGTTTGTGAGACGCTGTCAGATGTTGTGTGACGCCCCTGCTGACATTGTCTTGTTGTTCCTGATGTTGTGTGACGCCTGTGCTGACATTGTCTTGTTGTTCCTGATGTTGTGTGACGCCTGTGCTGACATTGTCTTGTTGTCCCCGATGTTGTGTGATGCCTGTGCTGACATTGTCTTGTTGTTCCTGATGTTGTGTGACGCCTGTGCTGACATTGTCTTGTTGTCCCCGATGTTGTGTGACGCCCCTGCTGACATTGTCTTGTTGTTCCTGATGTTGTGTGATGCCTGTGCTGACATTGTCTTGTTGTCCCCGATGTTGTGTGATGCCTGTGCTGACATTGTCTTGTTGTTCCTGATGTTGTGTGACGCCTGTGCTGACATTGTCTTGTTGTCCCCGATGTTGTGTGATGCCTGTGCTGACATTGTCTTGTTGTTCCTGATGTTGTGTGACGCCTGTGCTGACATTGTCTTGTTGTCCCCGATGTTGTGTGACGCCCCTGCTGACATTGTCTTGTTGTTCCTGATGTTGTGTGACGCCTGTGCTGACATTGTCTTGTTTTCCCCGATGTTGTGTGACGCCTGTGCTGACATTGTCTTGTTGTCCCCGATGTTGTGTGACGCCTGTGCTGACATTGTCTTGTTGTCCCCGATGTTGTGTGATGCCTGTGCTGACATTGTCTTGTTGTTCCTGATGTTGTGTGACGCCTGTGCTGACATTGTCTTGTTGTCCCCGATGTTGTGTGATGCCTGTGCTGACATTGTCTTGTTGTTCCTGATGTTGTGTGACGCCTGTGCTGACATTGTCTTGTTGTCCCCGATGTTGTGTGACGCCCCTGCTGACATTGTCTTGTTGTTCCTGATGTTGTGTGACGCCTGTGCTGACATTGTCTTGTTTTCCCCGATGTTGTGTGACGCCTGTGCTGACATTGTCTTGTTGTCCCCGATGTTGTGTGACGCCTGTGCTGACATTGTCTTGTTGTCCCCGATGTTGTGTGACGCCTGTGCTGACATTGTCTTGTTTTCCCCGATGTTGTGTGACGCCTGTACTGACATTGTCTTGTTTTCCCCGATGTTGTGTGATGCCTGTGCTGACATTGTCTTGTTGTCCCCGATGTTGTGTGATGCCTGTGCTGACATTGTCTTGTTGTCCCCGATGTTGTGTGACGCCTGTGCTGACATTGTCTTGTTTTCCCCGATGTTGTGTGACGCCTGTGCTGACATTGTCTTGTTTTCCCTGATGTTGTGTGACGCCTGTGCTGACATTGTCTTGTTGTCCCCGATGTTGTGTGATGCCTGTGCTGACATTGTCTTGTTGTCCCCGATGTTGTGTGATGCCTGTGCTGACATTGTCTTGTTGTCCCCGATGTTGTGTGACGCCTGTGCTGACATTGTCTTGTTTTCCCCGATGTTGTGTGACGCCTGTGCTGACATTGTCTTGTTGTCCCCGATGTTGTGTGACGCCTGTACTGACATTGTCTTGTTTTCCCCGATGTTGTGTGATGCCTGTGCTGACATTGTCTTGTTGTCCCCGATGTTGTGTGATGCCTGTGCTGACATTGTCTTGTTGTCCCCGATGTTGTGTGACGCCTGTGCTGACATTGTCTTGTTTTCCCCGATGTTGTGTGACGCCTGTACTGACATTGTCTTGTTTTCCCCGATGTTGTGTGATGCCTGTGCTGACATTGTCTTGTTGTCCCCGATGTTGTGTGATGCCTGTGCTGACATTGTCTTGTTGTCCCCGATGTTGTGTGACGCCTGTGCTGACATTGTCTTGTTTTCCCCGATGTTGTGTGACGCCTGTGCTGACATTGTCTTGTTTTCCCTGATGTTGTGTGACGCCTGTGCTGACATTGTCTTGTTGTCCCCGATGTTGTGTGATGCCTGTGCTGACATTGTCTTGTTGTCCCCGATGTTGTGTGATGCCTGTGCTGACATTGTCTTGTTGTCCCCGATGTTGTGTGACGCCTGTGCTGACATTGTCTTGTTGTCCCCGATGTTGTGTGACGCCTGTGCTGACATTGTCTTGTTGTTCCTGATGTTGTGTGACGCCTGTGCTGACATTGTCTTGTTGTCCCCGATGTTGTGTGATGCCTGTGCTGACATTGTCTTGTTTTCCCCGATGTTGTGTGACGCCTGTGCTGACATTGTCTTGTTGTTCCTGATGTTGTTTGACGCCTGTGCTGACATTGTCTTGTTTTCCCCGATGTTGTGTGACGCCTGTGCTGACATTGTCTTGTTGTTCCTGATGTTGTGTGACGCCTGTGCTGACATTGTCTTGTTTTCCCCGATGTTGTGTGACGCCTGTGCTGACATTGTCTTGTTGTCCCCGATGTTGTGTGATGCCTGTGCTGACATTGTCTTGTTTTCCCCGATGTTGTGTACGCCTGTGCTGACATTGTCTTGTTGTTCCTGATGTTGTGTGACGCCTGTGCTGACATTGTCTTGTTTTCCCCGATGTTGTGTGACGCCTGTGCTGACATTGTCTTGTTGTCCCCGATGTTGTGTGATGCCTGTGCTGACATTGTCTTGTTGTTTCCAGGAGAGTGTGGAACAGAGTAACAACCCCAAAAATGGCAAACAGACCGCACCACGTCCATTTGAAGTGAGTACTGTACTCATCATTAGTATACTCAACACTAATACACCTAATCTATATATATGTGTGTACACGCCGAACATTGACATCATGTAACTGCATCATATATATGATTTATTAATATTCTGTCTAGGTTGTACAGATCTATTATCCATACAGATGCCAAGTTATGTAATATGGTGTTCACATGGAGGAAACTAATGATTGGCCACATCATTAAACACTTACCGGAATATACCCTTGATGGAAACATCCGGGGTAGAATAGGTCTTCAGCAACCCATGCTTGCCTGATAGGCGACTATGCTTGTAGTAAGAGGCGATCAGGGGGTCAGACTCACTGACTTGTTTGATGCATTTCATCGTAACCCAATTGCATGGATTGATGCTCATGATATCAGTCACTGGATTGTCTGGTCCAGACTTAATTATTTGCAGACCGCCATCATATACCTGGAATATTGCTGAGTTATTGAAAATACTATAAGAAACACAGCCCAAAAAACAAAGTCGCCAACAATTGCAGGAATTGAACCATGTGGGGCTAAACCACAGTGTTTACCTGCATTTTACCTGTGTTTATCTGTATTTACCTGTGTTTAGAACCCCTAATTACCAGCAAGGTGAAAGTCATCGGTTATTTGGTTTAACCACCAGTCATCCTCATCCCATTTCAAGATAGTATACTATAAAAACCAGTGATGTAGCCTCTTGGATCAGTGTGGATGGTTGGGTGGCCTCGTGGTTACAGTGTTTCCGAGGCCCATGTGTGATTTCCCACACAGGTACAATGTTTGAAGCCCATTTTCATTGTCCCTTGAAGTGATGTTGCTGGAATATTGCTGAAAGTGGCATAACAACCCAACCCACTCTTGTGTCTGTCATTAAGTACCAAGCTCTGCTGACCCGTGAAGATCTGGGGTAGAATAGGTCTTCAGCAACCGTAAAGGGCAACAATGTTTGTCATGAGAGGCGACTAACGGATCGGGTGGTCAGGCTCACTGACTTGGTTGATGCATGTCACCGTATCCCAATTGCGTGGATCGGTGTTCATGATATAAATCACTGGACTGTCTGATCCAGACTCGATTTATTTACAGACCACCTTCATATAGCAGGAATATGGCTGAGTGTGACGTTAAACAAAATACAAACCAAGCTCTGTTTGATCCGTGTCAATAGGACTTACTTTTTGTGTCTAAACTGTATTTCCCAAACCACACAGGGCTCCCTGTTGGATTACTATCTGAGCACCCAGACACAGGTACAGCAGCTCCGTGAACAGCTTGGGGACAAATGTTGACCACAGCCATAGCTCATGTTAACTGATCTCTCACTGTAAATCTGCTGCCGCATACTAAAGTCATGAAGCATCAGATCTCAACCATACTCGATAATCCAGTTTATTATGTATTTTGTGATGAGACAGTTCTACCTGAAAATATTGATATCACCATTGAGTGGAATAACACTTTATGTCGGAACTACTTTCATTCTGCCACTGTTTACATGTAAATAGCGATATCTCATTTGGGTGGAATAACACTTTATGTCGGAACTACTTTCATTCTGCCACTGTTTACATGTAAATAGCGATATCTCATTTGGGTGGAATAACACTTTATGTCGGAACTACTTTCATTCTGCCACTGTTTACATGTAAATAGCGATATCTCATTTGGGTGGAATAACACTTTATGTGAAGATCATTAAGAAAATACATTATAAAAAGAACATTTTCTTTTCTGGTCAAAAGACAAGTTTATCACATATTATGACCTGACACACATTTTCTCTTGTTACTGCTGTGCCACTCAGGATAATATCAACTGTGTGTGGTCACTTGATGTGATAAACTTGTTATTTGACAAGGAACACGAATATGCTCTATCTATCATATCACCATTCGCTACCATGACTTCGTACAGAATGTCTCGCTGTTTGATTGGACACATTTTGTAAGGTGCTTAACACAAAGCTCTCGGGGCAGTAGGGTCCGTGTGTCATCAGGATAGAATGGTGATATGATGCACTGGATTACCGAGGATGAATGGGAACGTGATGCACTAATCCTGTCAACATTTGTCTGCAAGTGTTGAGTGGCATCTTATTATCGGTATCCTATTACATAGTATGTATGGATGTAGGGAAGTCAACATATACAACATACATTTAATAGTATTGGCTTTCTATTTCTTGTTTTCCTAAAAGATTTTCAAAGAATCAGACTTCTGGTTTGATACATGCTTATCATTTGCTTATGAATATGTTACCATGGTTACTACACTGAGATTGTTTTGTCACATTTATTGCTTTCGCATAATAATAATCATTGCCACTGCAGGATTCAATAAACATATAGTCAACTGCTTGTGGAGGAATGACGTATTTCATGGCAACTCACAACAAGTGCTTAGCTGGCAATGCTGGTCATTGACATTCAAGCTTTCTAATAACATATGCTGAGTTTTTTGTGTAATAAAACACATTTAAATAATGATTTCTTGTAAACACAATATTATAATTGTCACATTTTTATTTTCAAGACCTAAATGACTATATATATTAAGGTGTAAATTGAAATATATTCTACGTTATGATCATTATAATCGTTTTCTGGTTTTCACAAATAATATTGATTTTATTTAAGTTGATACAAACATACATGTGGTTCATTATGTCAGCTTTAATAGACATGCCTTATAGTCATTGGCTGCGCTGGAACTAGAGTTGTAGAACAGCCTGGATTATGTTCTAGACCTCGTATGAGGGGTTCCCGGGCGTGCCCACTATTGATGAGGAAGAAGCACGACTGTTGCTCCGATCCCGCCACCAGGTATTAGTGTGGCTCCATGGCTTCCTACACGTGTGTCGGCTTCTGTGTATCTCGCGGCGATGTGTGTGGCGTAGGTTGGGGGTTATAATAATGATAATAATAATAATGATAATAATACTAGCATTGCTGTTGTGGAGGTGGGACTTGTGTTGTTGCTACAGATATTTCCCCTCCCTCGTCAACTAGCAGTTGTGTTCACACTCGGACTTGGCTCACACACTCTCTAGGGGTTGGTGATATCATTTATATCCCCTGACAAACTATATGAAAATTGATTGTGTTGTTATAAATAACTATTAGTCAGCAATAATAACATCACAGTTTGCATTATGATGGAAACAAAACACTGTGGACAACCAGTATCAAACGAAATCAGGGCAATGTCGCAACACAACCCTATCAGCCAATCAGGAAACAGTAGTCTGTTTGCTGGCATGACCCTTTTTTGTTTTTGTTTATGGAAACATAACGGGAAAACAAATTACTTGGTTGGCAAATGAACTGCCAGGAATCACTTATTCATTTCAAGATGTCCTGTCTCCTACCTTTCTACCATCCTGATACAATGATGTATCACTGTATCATTACAATAATGTATCACTGTACCGATACATCGATGTATCACTGTACCGATACATTGATGTATCCCAGTATCCATACAATGATGTATCATTGTATCAATGCATTGATGTATCTCTGTTTCGATACAATGATGTATCACATACCGAGTTGAGAGCCCTGTATGTGTTGTATGTCCTCCTCCGTGTGTGGGCCAAGTCCTAGTGTGGCCTGTGACAGGGTGACAGGAACATTCTAATATATTTACAGTCATACATTCACACTGACATCCAGCTGGTGGTGGAGGGGCAGTTTATGACTGTATGGGAACATAGTCTCACTCATATTTCTACCTGTCCCGTCTTACTGTTAAACATGTTAAATATTGTGATTACTTGTCTCTGCTAAACATCACTACGTAAGTGTAACCAGTGCAGCTGCTGCTGCTCTGTTAATGGATGGAACGTCTCTGAACTAACCATACGCCTTGTGTAATGTAGATCACTCATATCAGTGGATTCTTAGCTTTGTCATTTCTGGAAACATTTTTGTGTATCATTGTCCCATCTTCCCAAGGCAACAGTGTCCAAGCTATAGCACTACCTCTCAGTCACTGGGATAAGTGTTCCGTCATTCCAGGATAGTGGACCCGCTTGCCTCGGGAAGATGATCATTGTCTTCATTTCTCTACATATGCATGTCATTTTAAGTACATACAGCAGGTGGCAGTGTTCCAGCTTATTATTTTCTGTAGTCCATCTCTGGGACAGCAGTGACCTGTTTATCACCTACATATACATATACCATATACCTGTATATATCCTGTATATAACTATGTATAACTGTATTTTAACCCACCTGTATATAACCTGTATACAGTCAAGTCTCGTTAATCCGACACTCGTTAATCCGACAATCGGCTTTATCCGACACAAATGATGGGAACCGATTAAATCAGTGCTATTTAGACCCGTTAATCCGACAGTCTCGCACTCCGACTCCGACACACATAATTTGCAACGAATTGCTGAAATCACTCATTAATCAGTCTTGTTAAGCCGACACAGTGATCAGAGTACTCCGTGGTCATCTACCCGCGAGTACACAGCCCCGTGTTTTGATGGGAGACGAGTCTGCCAGTAGCTGCATATTTCAACTTGCTTAACAATAAACAATTACAGCTTAAAAAAACAAAACAGGATTAATCACATGCATGCCTAGATTCCGCTGACAATGTAACTCAACAATATGAATTTCATTTTTCATTTTCCTACGTGTTCATATCGTTATCTATCGTGTAGTTGTCCAATTTTGGATCACGAACGTTTATACTACCTAATTTCTTTTATCCGACATACTCGTTAATCCGACATAATCATATGCAACCAACAATGTCGGATTAACGGGACTTGACTGTATATATATATATATATATATCCCTGTATATATAACCTGTGTATAACCTGTATATAAATACATGTATATATAACCTGTCTATTGACTCAGTTCCTGGAGGTCATAATGCATCACTTTTCAGCCCACCAAGACAGGTCAGCGACCAGCCACAGCTAAATATACGTGGGACATCCATGGCCGCCGAGTTCAACAGGAGGAACCCAAGGTCAGTACCATGATCAGTCACATGGTCAGTCCGGTCACATGGTCAGTCACATGATCTGTCACATGGTCAATCCAGTCACATGGTCAGTCCGGTCACATGATCTGTCACATGGTCAATCCAGTCACATGGTCAGTCACATGATCTGTCGCATGGCCAGAAGAGGCCTACATTCAAAAGGCTGAGGCGCTTTCTGAGCGCTTACTTAGAGCTCTCCAGGGATGTTCGGGTGCAATCAATTGATGTATCAACTGCCGCCAGCAGAGGGCGCAGTTTTCAAAATGGCATTGCAGACTGATTTTAGCAATATTGTTGAACATTGTGTATGTAAAGTATTATTGTTTAGAATAAAGATACGATAAACTTACCGTTAGTTAGACGGTCACCGATCAGACAAAAAATTCTGTTTTATGGCATTATCATGATATATGTCGGACCCAACTCATGTAATCCAACCGACTTATTTAACATTGGAAAATCAAAAACACTTCACTAATTAGTGGTAGATGGGCTCGTCAGGGATCAGATATCAGCTCGCTATATCCGTTTGTACGCTGTAGAGAGTTTGTTATGTACGTAGATTTTAATATGACAATATACAGGAGATAAATCGTGGATTTTGTAAAAGTTAGTTGTATCCGTTTGTTCGCTCTATCAGTGTTCCTTATGTCCATGTCATACTGTATTTACAAGCGTACTGGGGTAAATAAAGTAATGTCGAATTGGAACGTTAGGTGAATAAGGACTTCTGGTTCTACATGTATATCTTATATCTTATCCACAAGTTAACTTTCCATCAAACAATGATCACATATCATTGGACTTGACAAAATATCTTGTTCCTTTAGCAATCCATAAATCAGTGATGAGTTAGAATTCATCAGCTCAAAAATGTTCCAAGTGTTTTGGAAATCCTTAAACCCAATATCCCTATGGTTCTCTATTTGATTTCGGAAATTCCCCTAAAGTTCGGATGCCAACTATTCTAAAATCATACAGAAAATTGCTATAAAATATTTTAAAAATCAGAATGTGTATTTGACATTCATTCCATCTTAATATATATACTCTTGAAACAGCAAGAAAAACGCCTCATACATCACATAAAAATAATCAATTACCTATAGGGTAGAAATAATAGTTACTAAAAATCGTATGTGCACTGGTGCAACATCGTTCACTACACTAGTATATTGTTTGTGTCCTCCAGCGGCATTGTTGGCATCATTCCAATCTTAATCCGACACTAGAATTGACTTCATGGCTGAAGACTGTTGACGTCGTTTGACAATTGTGGTGTTCTAAGATGGCGGTCGTTATCAGTGCATTTCTCTTAAGAAAAGCTCAAATGGAGTAGGAAGTAATAGGCAACAAAGAAGTTTATTATATTCGCATGTTTGTCATACTGATGTTACGAAACTCTAAGAACAAATGTGGGACCCTCGCTCTTGTTCGGGAAAAACAATATTTCCTGGGGGGTGTTTTTTAGTCAACACTTGGGGATTCCTGGTTATGATTATTGACCAAAAGTAATCTGTGCATGCATGTTGTAAGATTCAACTACATTGATCGGTGACTTGGTGGATTGTATTTCTTTGTACCCCGACGGCCATTCGTCACCACTTGCAGTCCTTTGCAAGTGATGTCATGTCTTTGCATTGTTGCAAATAAGTTTGGATGCATCACCTTTCACCCATTCACAAAGTGATATCATCAGGAAAAAGGTTTATATAAACCACCATTCTTTGAGAAACAGGTGATTAGAAACGATGGTGGTTCTTAGAGCACCTTCCTGAAGTCATCTTACTCTATTGCCAAAGGGGCCTGCATGCTCTGGGGTTTGAGTCTTTGGTAGGCATTTAGAAATTGAAAGAACATGAAAACATGAAACTAAATTCTCCTGAGGCCCAATCTGCAAGGCATTAATAGCTCTCCCACAGCTGTGAGTCAAGGTTTGCATGAAGGGATTGAGACTTGAAGTAGTGCCAGGATATGTTTGTGGAAGTGCACCCTGATATGGATTAGTAAGTAGTGAATCTAATATGGCTGCTGAGGAGGATAACTATGCTGGAGTTCAGACCCCAGGGAGATTCAGTACATATGTACACCTTGCAGTTTATACTATCGGGCCTACACCTTGCAGTTTCTACTATCGGGGCCTACACCTTGCAGTTTCTACTATCGGGGCCTGTTCCACTAAGCCATCTTTGGGCCAGGACGATCGTAACTCCCATTGGACAGGAGGACTGTGTGACGAAACGCAACAGTGAAACCGTGCGCCAAAACACAGTCAAACAAACATTAAATGGACATGAAAATGTTGAGTTTCACGTGCACGATGACCTTTAAATGTTATGCGACTGTGGTTTTCAGTTTAGTTGTGCTATAGTTGTCACATGGCAACATGTGCTGATGTTTCTCGTCCCCATACAGCAACTTAGAACATAGAAATAGTGTCATTGATTAGATACATTAAAAAGTTTGAACTTGTTTCAATAGTTTATTGTTTTGAATTTAAGGGGTTATCTTCACTCCATTTAATGGTAGCAGACAATTGTAGCGCTCAAGATAACTTTGTGGAACGAGTTCCAGGATGAACCAATGATGTGCAAACCAACTTTTTGGCACTAACCTTTGGTCTGGTTCATATATGTCTATTTATTTCCTTGTTTCTTCTTTTGTATGGCTGTTTTCATTCTCTCTCCATTTGTCTGTTTCAGGCTTACGATGATAGTTACCTGGGAAGAAGTTTGAGGTGAGTGGGATTCTTTTTCATTGTTTCATTGTGCTGTGTTAAAGTGTGTCCAATGACGCATGCAAACCGTCAGATGTTATCTGAGATCAAGAGTGGTTGGGTAAGTAATGTGATCAGTTCTGGGTTAAACATTGACAACCTTCCTGATTATTTGTTTGAAGCCACATTGAGAAGGTGAGAAGTTTGATGTTAAATTCTGTGTTTTTCTTCATTTTCTGTGCATTTGGATGAACGGTAGGAGGGAGAGACTCATTGTGACCACCAGCAGTCAGTGATTTCCTGAAACATTCCCTTAATGTCAGTGCAGGTTGTGACATGACAATGTTCATGTTGACTTTCTGTTCCACTGAATCCTGTCTTTACCCTGGTAGATTGCTTTTGTAATTTGTAAAGTGGGTTCTGAAAAAGAGGTAAATTAATATGTACAACATATATTTTTTAACAAATGATCACACATGTTTAGCTGATTCAACAAAAACGTTCAATGTATTCCTTGCAACGATAGTGTTGATATCCCTTCCTCCAGGCCCTCCTCCAGCCACCCGTCCCGCCGCCCCACCAGTAAACGTGTGTACCGCCGCCTCCACTCACCCACAACCTCCGACACCGTCTCCAGCCGATCCTCCGTCACACAGACGACCTCCACCTCTGACATGGAACGGTTGCCACCAGCATCTCGCCGGCAGAGGAAGAAGTCCTCCAGCCAGCAGTCTGTGTCCTCCAGGAGGAGTGACCAGGATCGGGACCGACCAGTGTCAAGCAAATATCGGACGCGCACCATCATCAATGTGCCGGAGGTGAGGTTCCAGGAGGGAGTCAGTGTACAGGACACGACACAAACTACGGGGACACAGGACGAGATTGGGATACAGACAGAGAAACGGCTCATTAAGGAATATGATCAGGTAACTCAGCTCTCAGGACTCTCAGTGGTCCAGTTGTCTAGGCCTCCACAATTCACAGTGCAGAGATCTATCCTTAAAGAATGCCAGAAGCTTATGATCGTGGGCTCGAATCCTGGTTTGCCCCGATGATGTTTCTACATTTGTTAGAACATACCTGTGCTTGTTGGTTCATCCAAGTGGTAAATGTCTCACACCTGCATCACTTCAGACTTGCCTCCCACATCAAGCTGTCTCGTCGTGATATAACTGAAAGACTGTTCAAAGTGGAGTTTGCTGCTCCGCACTCACTCTCAGGACTGCAGGGGGTGGGGTAGTCAGCTAGCTAATGCATTTTCTTGCCCCACCGAAGACCGGGGTTCAACTGCATGTTTTCTAGCTGGATTAAAGCTTTGTAAAACACAACTCACTCGATCCTGACCTTTGTTGCAGGTGGATATGATGACTGCTGTTGTATATGGTTTGAGATATTGCCATTGGATCTAGTGAGCTCTTGAGAAATGACAAATGATCCTTCAGGCACAAGCTATTAAACAAAGTGATATGAATCTGCAGGCTGATTATGCCTTGTTGAAGATCTGGTTTGTTTTTTTCCTTTTGAAATCAGGGCGGTTGGGTAGCCTAGTGGTCAAAGCTTTATCTTGTCATGCCGAAGACCCGGGTTCGATTCCCGACATGGGTACAATGTGTGAAGCCCATTTCTGGTGTCCCCCACTGTGATATTGCTGGAATATTTCTAAAAGCGGCATAATACCAAACTCACTCAAACTCATCCTTTTGAAGTAATCAACAAAATACTTGTTCGTATTGATTTGTTGATAGTCATACCTTGTCCATACTTTTATGTAATCTGCTCCCCCTCCATCTGCCAGCAGGAGGACGAAGTGAAACAGGGTCCCTGGGGTGAGTACCAGATCTATGTGAGGACTGGAAACACCATCGGCGCCAGCACCAAGGCGGACATCAAGCTGACACTGTACGGGGAACACGGGCGCACAAAGGAGATGGTGCTGGGCATGGGCGACTCCAAGAAACACAAGGTGGCCTTTCAGAAGAACAAGGTAGGACTTCTGGCCTCGGCATCAAGTCTCTTGTCATTGCCTTTGGACAGAATAGTGCATCATCCATGTTATGAAAGGTGATCATGATAGCTGCTAATTTTCGGAGCAGATCAGATGTGTATATTGACATTTTTTAGTGACATTAATTGGTGGTGACAAGACTCCTGCTAGATCTGGAGTTCCACATTGATTGGTGGTGATGAGACAGCCCTACCACATCTATTGTCCAGACAAATGAGTGGTGATGACGCTCCTGCCAGATCTTGATGTGTTCCACATTGATTAGTGGTGATGCCGCTTCTGGCCACCAGTTTCATGACTGTCACATACCACCATCTCATACCACTATCACATAACACTATCACATACCACCATCTCATACCACTATCACATAACACTATCACATACCACCATCTCATACCACTATCATATAACATCCTTGTGATTGTTGTGCTTTTTCTTTTCCTACGATGTTCAATGTACTGTGAGTTAAGTCACATTTTGAGTGAACACTATCATATGAAGTGTGCGTGTTTGCAGGAGGACCTGTTTATGCTAGCAGCTCACCATGTCGGCAGACTCGGAAAAATCAAGATCGGACATGACAGAGTTGAACTTAGTAAGTCAATCAACCTGAAGTAGCACAACTATCTGATCAGCTTGGGTTGTATACTCCCAAAGGAGCTGAGAATGAAATTTTCAGTGCACACTGATCCAGTGACTGTGGTAATGATATAGTGCTTTGGCACCTGTTTAGGTTGTGGATGTGGCGCATTATTAACATGTGATTATTAGTATTTCCATTACATGTGTCATGATGGTAAGGACCGCTCTGTTCAGTATTGATGAATATATCATTTTGAAGTCTTTGATATAGGCATTTAGAAGTTAGGAGAACATGAATACATGACGCTTTTTTATCGATAGCAACTTCTTTTATTCTTTGTATGGAGTTTCACAGCTACTTCTTGATGAAGGAGCAAGAAGTTGCTCCTAAACATTGTGACAAAGAAGAAAAGAAGTTGCTTTCCACAGAAAGTGTCATGTATGTATATCAAATTTGGTTAGTGCCAGAAGGCATCATGGTGGACAAACTGTTCTATGACTGTTTCCAGGCAATGCATGGTTCCTGGACAGTGTGAGTGTATATGACATGCATGACAAGCGGATATACGAGTTCCCCTGCAACCAGTGGCTGTCTGAGCATGACGGGGACCGCCGCACATACCGAGTCCTGCCCGTGGACAGGGACCGAGGTTTTATTGATGGTGAGTGCAAGCCGTGATAATGGGTAATAAGATCTTGAATCATGAAAAGATAGCTACTGTCAGACTTGGTACTGATCACCATAAGCTTGAATACTGTGGCTTATATTACTCATATACTTACCATCTAGTTTCATAAATAAACGGCAAGTGATTCCACAACATTTCATAGGCTAACCAAGCAATTTGTTTTGCATTTGTTTCCATACACCGAAACAAAATAAGGCCACACCCACCTCCAGGAAAATGTTCACTGATAGGGTGGGTGGGGATGTGTTCCATTGTTGTGTTGAATGATGTCACTGATTATGTACCACTTTTGTGTTTATAATTAAATAAGCAATCAATACAGGAAAATTGTTGTTGACTAATTATTTCTTAGAATTGACTTCCATAAAAATGTTCTGTTTCTGGTGGTATAAATATAAGATTCATAAATCCATTACGTTAAATATGCCTGGTGTTTCCAGCCTTAGACTCTCCAGGTGCCTCACACAATAAATCCCGAGACCGCCGCGAGACATCGGAGGACGAGTCCGATCAGATTGTGGTCAAGCATGGCCGGGAGAGTGTAAAGGCCCACAACAGCAAGGCCGGAGATAAATCTGACCGGTCCTACACGGGATCCGAGTATTCCAGTTCCGAGTATGAGACGGACTCAGATGCAGATGAAACTGCTGTCATTTCGCCGAAGGACAAAACAGACAAGGGATCAAAGTCCAAATCTAAAACATATAAGGAAGAGGACAGATCCAAGTCTGGCCCGACCTTCACCTTTCGCACAAAGAATGCAAAGACCCCAGCAACGAGACGTCAGACAGAGGAAGTGAATGTGGATGAGGACACCAATACAACACAGGAGGAGTTCCTGGCTGGATATAAGGTGAGCGGGAACAGTTTGTGTTACTTCTCAGTAAACAACGATATGTGATCAGGATTTCTGTCCACTCAGGCAAGATTTTCCAAGATGATCTGATACCTGGGACGTTTTGTACTACTCTGTTGGCAGGAATTAGGAATGAAAATGTTCCAACGTATGTGTTAGAATAGAAGGTTATGCCTTTGATGGCTTCAACATGTTCAAAAAACATTACATGGCTTATATACCTAACTTCTCCTGCCAAATTGTTTACCCTGTTCACTGACGAGGGATGTTACCCGGTTCCTTGAAGATCCGGGGTAGAATAGGTCTTCAGCAACCCGCTTGTTGTAAAAGGTGACTATGCTTGTTGTAAGAGGTGACTAACGGGATCTGGTGGTCAGGCTCGCTGACTTGATTGATGCATGTCATCCCAATTCCAAAGATCGATGCTCATGATGTCAATCACTTCAATTATTTACAGACTGCCATCATATAGCTGGAATATTGCTGAGTGCGGCTTTAAACAACAAACAAACAAAGTAATGCATTGCCCCAGAGACCACTTACCGATGGCCTCTGATTGCCTTAAGAAATCCATGGCTTAGGAAACTGCATTATTGTTGGTTACGAGCACCGACAGTGTAGTGTGGGTAAGAGGCTGGTGAAAAGCCTGAATGTTTAGCTTGACAACTGGATTTGATTCCACACATGGGTACACCACTAGTTTGTTGCTGGAAATAGTGCAACCCCTCACCACACATGGGTACACTACTGGTTTGTTGCTGGAAGTAGTGCAACCCCTCACCACACATGAGTACAGTGAGGTACAGTCTTGTGACCCTGACCCCCAAGGGATATGTGTTCCAGGCCGGCATCAGTGCGGCATCAGCAGAGAGTCAGAAGCAGGCAGAGGAGGAGCGGGCGCAGGAGTTGGAGATGATGCAGGGGGAGACCGTGCATGACGCTGCACGCAGGGGGCACCTCGACCGACTCAAGGAGCTGCTGCACCACTTCCCTGACTTGAAGGAGTAAGTATTCACAGTCACAGGCAACAATTCCTCATGTGAAATGCCACCCTGACTTGAAGGGGTAAGTATTCACAGTCACAGGCAACAATTCCTCATGTGAAATGTCACCCTGACAGCCCCATTCATCCTGCACTCTGAAAGTTATAGGTATATCTAAAGTTATAATTGTATAAAATATCATATGCTACTCAAAACAAGTTAAAGAACACCCAAAATTGAAGGATGTGTGTTGCAGTTCCAACCTGCCATGACAGATGAACTACAGCCATGTGAAAACATCAGGTGCTCCTTAACTTCTTTTGTCACACTAGTATAAGAACTATTGGGATGAGGGTTTGTATATATCCATTGTTTATGTGACTCTAAGAATGGCTGCTGTTTGCCTGTTTCAGCGCTAAGGATGAGACTGGATGGACACCCCTTCATCACGCCTCGGCGAACGCCCGCATTGATGTCATCAAATGGCTGACTACAAGTGGCGTGGACATGAACGAGGAGACACGAACAGGATACACACCGATACACGTGGCAGCCATGAACGGACATGTCAATGCGATGATGGTGAGGAGAGAAATAAACTATGTCATCTAAGAACCCTGTTCTTGTAATCTTCCAGAGAAATGGATTTGTTTTGCTGGACAAAATTTACCAAGGGAGTTCTAGTATGGCTTTCACATGGGATGCAGGACATTTATTTAAACTTTTTTCACTGGCTTCCACATGAGATATCACAGTGGTGAGATCAAGCACTAACTCGTAGCTTTTTTCACTCAAGTTCCTGGTTATTACTCTTTACAAACTAAAAAAGTTGAAAGACTTTATTTGGATGTAAGTAGAATCTCACCCTTGGGTCTTTTGATATGAACTCTCATCAATAAGTGTGTTGAACTGTTATCGGCTTGTGACATCAAAAGGCACCAGGGTGAGTTTCTCTAGATCTTCTCCATCTTGTAATGATTCCCCCTCACTTGTGTTGTCCCGCGTTCCAGATCCTGTCTGCAATGGGTTCCGCCATCACCTGCCGGACAACCGACCAGATGACGCCGCTTCATCTTGCAGCCAAAGGGTGGGACATGGATTCTTTACATCTCATTTGTGGAGTGTGACTGATTTACTTGAACCTGATCTCTGTTGTATCTGACTCTATGCTATGTGCATCATGGACATGTGGACTGTATGGTGGCCTTGTTTCTCAATGCTGGGACTGTATGATGGCCTGCCTTGTTTCTCCATGCTATGACTGTATGATGGCCTTGTTTCTCCATGCTATGACTGTATGATGGCCTGCCTTGTTTCTCCATGCTATGACTGTATGATGGCCTGCCTTGTTTCTCCATGCTATGACTGTATGATGGCCTTGTTTCTCCATGCTATGACTGTATGATGGCCTGCCTTGTTTCTCCATGCTGTGACTGTATGATGGCCTGCCTTGTTTCTCCATGCTATGACTGTATGATGGCCTTGTTTCTCCATGCTGGGACTGTATGATGGCCTGCCTTGTTTCTCCATGCTGGTGACTGTATGATGGCCTTGTTTCTCCATGCTGGGACTGTATGATGGCCTGCCTTGTTTCTCCATGCTATGACTGTATGATGGCCTTGTTTCTCCATGCTATGACTGTATGATGGCCTTGTTTCTCCATGCTAAGACTGTATGATGGCCTGCCTTGTTTCTCCATGCTATGACTGTATGATGGCCTTGTTTCTCCATGCTATGACTGTATGATGGCCTTGTTTCTCCATGCTATGACTGTATGATGGCCTGCCTTGTTTCTCCATGCTATGACTGTATGATGGCCTGCCTTGTTTCTCCATGCTATGACTGTATGATGGCCTTGTTTCTCCATGCTATGACTGTATGATGGCCTTGTTTCTCCATGCTATGACTGTATGATGGCCTGCCTTGTTTCTCCATGCTATGACTGTATGATGGCCTTGTTTCTCCATGCTATGACTGTAATTGCATTTTTGTATCATGTTGTAACTATAATCGTCCTGTTTTCCTCTACAGCGGCTATCTGGAATGTGTCAAATGGCTTGTGGCCAACCGTGCACGTATTGATGCAGAAGACAGCTTCAAGAGGACGGCCATCGACCTGGCGAATGACAGAAGGAAGACTGAGGTAGTGGAGTTCTTGCGTGCGTGTCTGAGAGAGCTGAAGAACCCTCACAGCAGCTTCGCCCAGATGCACTCCTCCAACCACGGGTAGGTCTGCATTCCACCACACCCTCCACCACACATTCCGACCCACACATTCCGACCCACCATTCCAACCCACACATCCTGACCCACACATCCCGACCCACACATCCCGACCCACACATCCTGACCCACACATTCCGATCCACACATCCCGACCCACACATCCCGACCCACACATCCCGACCCACACATTCCGACCCACCATTCTGACCCACACATCCCGACCCACACATTCCGACCCACACATTAACACAAAATAAATCAAATAGGAAATCAGCAACATCATTCAGTGCAGACCTGAAACACACGCCCTGTTCATTCTGTTATCTACCAATCAAAAAGCAGTTGTCTATCAGTGGACATGGACTATATTTTCCGGCAGAAACAATCCTTGTTCTTCAGGTTAAACAATCAAATCACTTGCAGTTGATATTTTATTCAGTAAGTAATTTGCTTGTTATACACTTCCAGATCTGGTGAGAGGTCGGATAGAGACAATGACAGCAATTGGAGAGAAGAAAAGGTTAGTCCTGCACCATCTTACACATGCCATGTAATTCAGACATTGTGTAAAGTCTCAAAATGTTGTCTGGACTAACTCTGTTTCTTTATGCAACCATAGTCCGAGCAGCAGATATGATAATACGATGTGCCCTCATCAACACCGTGGTCGTACTGCAGTCAGTGTGGTCGTACTACAGTCAGTGTGGTCATACGGCAGTCAGTGTGGTCATACTACAGTCAGTGTGGTCGTACTGCAGTCAGTGTGCTCATACTACAGTCAGTGTGGTCCTACTGCAGTCAGTGTGGTCATACTACAGTCAGTGTGGTCATACTACAGTCAGTGTGGTCATACTACAGTCAGTGTGGTCATACTATAGTCAGTGTGGTCATACTACAGTCAGTGTGGTCATACTCCAGTCAGTGTGGTCATACTACAGTCAGTGTGGTCATACTACAGTCAGTGTGGTCATACTACAGTCAGTGTGGTCATACTCCAGTCAGTGTGGTCATATTACAGTCAGTGTGGTCATACTACAGTCAGTGTGGTCATACTACAGTCAGTGTGGTTGTACTACAGTCAGTGTGGTCATACTACAGTCAGTGTGGTCATACTCCAGTCAGTGTGGTTGTACTACAGTCAGTGTGGTTGTACTACAGTCAGTGTGGTCATACTGCAGTCAGTGTTGTCATACTACAGTCAGTGTTGTCATACTACAGTCAATGTGGTCATACTACAGTCAGTGTGGTCATACTACAGTCAGTGTGGTCATACAACAGTCAATGTGGTCATACAACAGTCAGTGTGGTCATACTACAGTCAGTGTGGTCATACAACAGTCAGTGTGGTCATACTACAGTCAGTGTGGTCATACAACAGTCAGTGTTGTCATACTACAGTCAGCGTGGCCATAATACAGTCAGTGTGGTTGTACTACAGTCAGTGTGGTCATACTACAGTCAATGTGGTCATACTACAGTCAGTGTGGTTGAACTACAGTCAGTATGGTTGTACTACAGTCAGTGTTGTACTACAGTCAGTGTGGCCATAATACAGTCAGTGTGGTTGTACTACAGTCAGTGTGGTCATACTACAGTCAGTGTGGTCATACTACAGTCAGTGTGGTTGAACTACAGTCAGTATGGTTGTACTACAGTCAGTGTGGCCATACTACAGTCAGTGTGGTTGTACTACAGTCAGTGTGGTTGTACTACAGTCAGTGTAGTTGTACTACAGTCAGTGTGGCCATACTACAGTCATTGTGGTTGTACTACAGTCAGTGTGGTTGTCTTTCAGCAGGACAGTAGTGTATCCCAAGATGCAGCAGCTGGGAGTGATGACGAGTCCAGCGTCCCCATCAAAAGAATCAGCTCCCCAGAACTGAAGGTAATGCCGACAGCGATGGACGACCTAGTATTGATAGGGATGACAGCCACAGATGTGCTACATAGTATTGATAGCGATGACAGACACACAGATGTTCTACATAGTATTGATAGGGATGACAGCCACAGATGTGCTACTTAGTATTGATAGCGATGACAGCCACAGATGTGCTACATAGTATTGATAGGGATGACAGCCACAGATGTGCTACAAAGTATTGTTAGCGAAGACAGACACACAGATGTTCTACATAGTATTGATAGGGATGACAGCCACAGATGTGCTACATAGTATTGATAGGGATGACAGCCACAGATGTGCTACATAGTATTGATAGCGATGACAGACACACAGATGTTCTACATAGTATTGATAGCGATGACAGCCACAGATGTGCTACTTAGTATTGATGGGGATGACAGCCACAGATGTACTACATAGTATTGATAGCGATGACAGCCACACAGATGTTCTTCATAGTATTGATAGGGATGACAGCCACAGATGTGCTACTTAGTATTGATGGGGATGACAGCCACAGATGTACTACATAGTATTGATAAGGATGACAGCCACTAATGTATTAGTTAGTGTTGATTGGGATGACAGCCACAGATGTTCTACGTAGTATTGATAGGGATGACAGCCACACAGATGTTCTACATAGTATTGATTGGGATGTACTAGTTAGTGTTGATAGGAATGACAGCCACACAGATGTTGTACGTAGCATTGATAGGGATGACAGCCACAAATGTACTAGTTAGTATTGATAAGGATGACAGCCACACAGATGTTCTACATAGTATTGATGGGGATGACAGCCACACAGATGTTCTACATAGTATTGATAGCGATGACAGCCACAGATGTGCTACATAGTATTGATAGCGATGACAGACACACAGATGTTCTACATAGTATTGATAGGGATGACAGCCACAGATGTGCTACTTAGTATTGATGGGGATGACAGCCACAGATGTACTACATAGTATTGATAGGGATGACAGCCACACAGATGTTCTACATAGTATTGATAGGGACGACAGCCACACAGATGTTCTACATAGTATTGATAGCGATGACAGCCACAGATGTGCTACATAGTATTGATAGCGATGACAGCCACAGATGTGCTACATAGTATTGATAGCGATGACAGCCACACAGATGTTCTACATAGTATTGATAGGGATGACAGCCACAGATGTGCTACTTAGTATTGATGGGGATGACAGTCACACAGACGTTCTACGTAGTATTGATGGGGATGAGAGCCACAGATGTTCTACGTAGTATTGATAGGGATGACAGCCACAGATGTTCTACATAGTATTGATTGGGATGTACTAGTTAGTGTTGATAGGAATGACAGCCACACAGATGTTGTACGTAGCATTGATAGGGATGACAGCCACAAATGTACTAGTTAGTGTTGATAGGGATGACAGCCACACAGATGTTCTACATAGTATTGATGGGGATGACAGCCACACAGATGTTCTACATAGTATTGATAGGGATGACAGCCACAAATGTACTAGTTAGTGTTGATAGGGATGACAGCCACACAGATGTTCTACATAGTATTGATGGGGATGACACCCACACAGATGTTCTACATAGTATTGATAGGGATGACAGCTACAAATGTACTAGTTAGTGTTGATGGGGATGACAGCCACACGGATGTTCTACATAGTATTGATAGGGATGACAGCTACAAATGTACTAGTTAGTGTTGATGGGGATGACAACATTATAAAAGGGAGGTGACAGGTATAGGAAATCAAAACAATGAAGCTACCTCACAATCACTGTAGCCAGCATTAACTCTTATTTTGTCTCACATCTCTGCATGACTATTGTGATACTCATCTTATTGTGAGTTAATGATGGTGGTACATGTCATACATGAGGTAGTGTGGTACATGTCATACATGAGGTAATAGTGTGGTACATGTCATACATGAGGTAATAGTGTGGTACATGTCATACATGAGGTAGTGTGGTACATGTCATGCATGAGGTAATAGTGTGGTACATGTCATACATGAGGTAATAGTGTGGTACATGTCATACATGAGGTAATAGTGTGGTACATGTCATACATGAGGTAATAGTGTGGTACATGTCATACATGAGGTAATAGTGTGGTACACGTCATTCATGAGGTAATAGTGTGGTACATGTCATACATGAGGTAATAGTGTGGTACATGTCATACATGAGGTAATAGTGTGGTACATGTCATACATGAGGTTATAGTGTGGTACATGTCATACATGAGGTTATAGTGTGGTACATGTCATACATGAGGTTATAGTGTGGTACATGTCATACATGAGGTTATAGTGTGGTACATGTCATACATGGGGTAATAGTGTGGTACATGTCATACATGAGGTTATAGTGTGGTACATGTCATACATGAGGTTATAGTGCGGTACATGTCATACATGAGGTTATAGTGTGGTACATGTCATACATGAGGTTATAGTGTGGTACATGTCATACATGAGGTAGTGTGGTACATGTCATACATGAGGTAGTTTGGTACATGTCATACATGAGGTAATAGTGTGGTACATGTCATACATGAGGTTATAGTGTGGTACATGTCATACATGAGGTTATAGTGCGGTACATGTCATACATGAGGTAATAGTGTGGTACATGTCATACATGAGGTTATAGTGTGGTACATGTCATACATGAGGTTATAGTGTGGTACATGTCATACATGAGGTAGTTTGGTACATGTCATACATGAGGTAGTTTGGTACATGTCATACATGAGGTAGTTTGGTACATGTCATACATGAGGCAGTGTGGTATATGTCATACATGAGGTAATAGTGTGGTACATGTCATACATGGGGTAGTGTGGTACATGTCATACATGAGGTAGTGTGGTACATGTCATACATGAGGTAGTTTGGTACATGTCATACATGAGGCAGTGTGGTACATGTCATACATGAGGTAAAAGTGTGGTACATGTCATACATGAGGTAGTGTGGTACATGTCATACATGAGGTAATAGTGTGGTACATGTCATATATGGGGTAGTGTGGTACATGTCATACATGAGGTAGTTTGGTACATGTCATGTAACTGTGGTACAATTTCTATCATGAGATAACTATAAAAATGAATCTAGGATTATAACATTATTATACAGCATTTAAACTTGGAAAAGTGCAGCTTGACAGTCATCATATATTTTGTAGGAGAAGAAGCGCCTCTATGAAGAACAGCATCACAAAATGGAGGAGCGAGGTCTGTCCTTTCTGGACAGCATCCGCCAAGACCTCGATTCCTAGGCCAGTCATTCCTCGACAGCATCTGCCACGATTTTGACGCTCGGCCTGCCAGTCGGTACAAGCTGTATATAATCACATTATTTTTGTATCAAGAGCAAGAAGATAAACTGATATTTTCTAACTTCTGGAATGTTTTTTTCGGATGAAAACAAAATTGTGCCCTTCTTGTTATATTTGCTATAACAGTTGTAGATTTATGAGTAACAATGAGTAATTACTTCAGCGTCAAATGTAAGGGGATTCATTATCATTGTAGAAGTTTGAGATTATTGAAACTTGTCTTCCTATTCAATATGACATAATAATTTCTCTTGATCATTTTTTTAAGGAATCTCCATATAAATCTAAGCATTTGTTTTACAGAAAATATTGTTTGTATGTTATATAAATGACAGCAATGAGTAAACTTGGAGGTGTCTATTCATGTATAGAATTTTTTTTTATAAACAGGAGTTTTTTTATCAATTTAATGTACAGAAGTTTCAGTTATCTATATCCAAGCCTGCCTTCATTTCAGATGTCCCGTACACCTGTACACATCAATCAGTCAGTCATTGTTGATGTCCATTTCATGTTCATATCATACGATGTCATGCATATTTGAACATCTTGTTTCCTAGCCTTGATGTGTAAGCTGTGTTTCTAGCATTGCTGTGGTGGAGACTGTGACCTACGTACATGTGCCTACGGATGTAACCAAAGCCTTAATGTTCATTGTTGTTAGTCTCTGTCTCACTGACAACATCTTATCTTGATTCATGTAATAACTAGCAATATATCTGACCTAAGATGTCTCACTGCTTTAGAGTTGAGACTGTTCTGTGACCATTGTTTTACATTACAACATGCAGTGAAGCCTTGTTCCCTCAAAGCCCGCGGGACTATTTGAAGTATGGATTCATCAGCAGTTGACGTAGCGGAGTGCTGTCACTTGGTCTGCAGAACCATGACTTGCTTCCTCTTGTATGAACACAGGACAATTTTAAAGGACATGATAATGTACAAAATGTCTGTCAAACTCATTGTAGCAGTATCTTGACATGTAACCACAGTTCTGTTGGGGGACAGAAGTATGCAAAGTTTTCAGCCCCTGATTACCAAAAGAATGTCAAACAGTGTGCTGATGGTCGCTATCTGGATAGTTCGTCTTTTGTCACATGATAAGCAACAGTAAGAATGGAGGGTCTCGCTGAATATGGCCTATTGATCAATATGATTATTATAATTGGATGTCGAGAGAACAAGGTTTTCTGTACCACTAACATGACCCCAGAGATGGATTGTCCTGTCAGATGGTCACCCATGATGGGGCTGTCTTCAGGAGTAAATCCTTCCTATACCAACTGCAGGCCACTTTAAAACATAAAGACAAGTTTTAGCATTTTATCTTTTTGAGCATCTACTTTTTATTGTCATCTTTGTTGCTTTCATTAGCTATACAAGATCTGAAAGATAGTAGGGGTATTGTTTATATAATTCTTGTTAATCTACAAAGTATCTGTGATAAATTTGAATGAACACCCTGTGTGGCTGAAAGAGGTATTAGTCCATTGCTTACTTCAACCCAAATCTAGTGATGCTGCCATTTATCTGCTATGTTGTATGCTAGTTCAGCCATTCAGGGATGTGGAACGGAGAATCAAAGCACTTTGCTGTATCTTCAGTTTCCGTTTTTGTCATTAAATATTTATTATCTATCCATGGTGTTTTCATGACTTATGACTTCTTAATTTGTTGAGCCTCAGAGGAACACATTAGCACCCTGACTGAGTGAGTGAGTTGGGTATAATGCTGCTTTGAACCATATTTCAATTATATCCCAGCATGTCAGCTTGATGTGGGAGGAAAGACCAAATGATATACATTTTACATGTTGGCCATTTTGGCAAATCACACAAGCATGGGTGTTGTGCTGATAAACCGAAAAAACATGATCAGGGGAAAGCTGTTATTAATGCCAACATTCATAGGTTACTGTCAGGCCTCAGGGACACAACAAGTGGCACCATGGACAGCAATATGGCCTCTCCTAAATCATGCCGTGTGTGGCAAAGCTTGTCACAAATATCTCCTTCAATAAAGCTAAGAAGAGGGTCTCCAAAACTGGTACCTGAACCAGAACCAGAATTGTTCATCTTCCAAAGAATCAAAGACATTACTAAGACAAAAACAGAATAAAGAGCAGAATCAAGCACCACCACTAAAGGCCACCTCTATTATAGAGGCCCCAGTAGAGGTCCAGTAGTCCTTTGGTCCTCTGGACATAGAGGTAACTCCATCTCCACATGACACAAATAGGAGTACTACAAAGTCTTCCTCATATTCCCTGATGTATCTATCCCACCATGAATCCACAAAACATACAATTGAATTGCAGAGGTCTTAAGAAGAATTTTAATAAAATAAACCTATTTATTCAAGATATTAAACCGTCAGCTTTTTGTCTCCAAGAAACTTACCTAAAAAACACAGATCAATTTGACAGTACAGCTCTTACCATTCATTTGCCCTTCCTGGTGATAAGGCTACAGGAGGTTCTTTATCCTGCAGATGTCCGTGTAGCTTTAAAATTGGTGTTTACATTGTGTTCACTGTATCTTCTACCTCCCGCAACTTTCCGCCAATCAGACGTTTTGACTTTGCATGACGAGTCCCCAAAGTCCTGTACAATCAAGGACTATTTGAGCGGTCATAATCCGCTATAGGAGAGTACTATGGGGAAAATGCTTGAAGATTTTATCTCAAACAATGATTTATGCATCTTCAGTGATGGATCTAATACTTATCTGATCCTGCCACTGGCACATACTCCGCCCTTGATCTTTCACTGACAGATTCAAATATCTTAAACTTTTTTGAAAGGTCGGTCCATGATGACCTTTGTGGAAGTGGTCATTTTCCAACAATGCTTACAACTATTAATCCCACTGATGAACCACCTTCAACAAGGTGGAACTTTACAAAGGCCAATTGGTCTATATTCCAAACACTGTACTGGAAAACTAAAACCTGACAATTTCAGGAATGTTCCTGATCCTATACAACTCTTTTCCGATCAATTCAGTGTATTGGAGACGAAAGGATTCATAAATCCTCTGCCAACCCTCATATACGTAAACCATGGTTTGATAATGATCATAAACAAGATAGAAAAACGGAAGAAAACTGAGAAATATCCTACCGTGTACAACCTGAATAACGTTAAAATCACAAGCGCCATCATTCAACTATAACCCTCAGTTTCAAGGGCTACAAAAACAACAGGAAAAGAAAAGTCAATTTTAACTCTGATAATGGTGATGACGAAAATGAAACATTTTCACTTCATGAATTGCCCTATGGCAAGCTCATGACACTGCAGCAGGAGCCGACACTATATTATCAGTTCCTGAAACACTTGCCTGATTCTTGTTTGGAAACTCTACCATGGCGTGCAGGGTCAACAATCGAAAAGTCTGATACTTGGAGACCAATACCCTCCTGAATAACATTCAGCTTTCCGAAAGACAGAAGTACCATTGACCATTTGGTGCTTTAGAATCATTTATAAAAAATCCATTGTCAACAAATAACATACTGTATCAATTTCTTTTCAAGCTAGAGATGACACAGAGTTTAAACATGGTATTTTAAAAGATTTGCATGAATTTGGACAGGGGCAGATACCTCACGTAATATCTCAGCTTTTACAGACAATTTCAAGTATGAGTGGGTTCTACCTTGTGTGATCATTTTGATCAAGATCAGGGCATCCTTTGAGGCAGCATCCTTATCTGTCACACGTTTTAGCATTACAATTAAGTTTTGAAGACTTGTGTTGATGGTTCACTTTGTGTGGATAATTTTAACATGTCTTGTCGTGGTAAGTATATGCATATGGTAGAAAGACAGCTACACCTATCTCTTTAAAATAATCAAGAAATGGCCAACGAAAATGGCTTCAAGTTTTCTAAATCTAAATCTAAAATTAATTGCATTCACTTTTGTCGTAAACGCATAAGGACTCAGAATTACTTTTAGATGGTACTCCTATCAAGGTAGTAGAGGAGGCCAAATTCCTGGGCCTCATAATTGACCATCATCTCACATTCTAACCACACATCAAATATCTAAAGGCAAAGTGCCTGAAGGCTCTCAACTTGTTAAAAGTTGTTTCAAATTCCGAGTGGGGAGGGGATCAGACAACTCTCCTTCACTTGTACAGGTCATTAATACACTGAAAACTAGACTATGGTTCCACTGTCTATGGTGGAGCCTGCAAAAGCAAAATTAGACTCTATACACCGCCAAGGCCTAAGACTCTGTTTTGGAGATTTTAGGACCTCTCCTGTGGACATTCTGTTTGTGGAACCTGATGGACCTTCCCTCGAACAACGCCACATTAAGCTATCGCATATATTTACATAACTATACTGCATTCAAAACAATCAAACCCAGCATACAATTGTGTTGTCAAATCTGGTTTCACCACTAAAAAGCTAAAACGTCCAAAACAAATCCTTTGGTATATCAATATAACCAAGCACGAACAAAATATAATTCCCAAAGATCTATTTTTACAGACGGGACCAAGGATGGTAGCAAAATTGCATGTGCCATCATCATTGGATCCAAAGCTGTTTCCTCAAGAATACCAAATAATAGTTCAATCTGCATTTCTGAGGCCACAGCTATCTAACTGCTTTGGGTATATCAAACAACAAAATAAATGTAACAATTTCATCATATTTTCAGATTCCTTGTCTTGCCTTCAAGCACTTAAAAGTGTCTCGTCGAATCATCCTACAATCCTCCACATTTTGGAACTATATACTGATTTTTCTACTGGCCAATATGACATCGTTCTTTGTTGGTTACCAAGTCATGAAGGCATAACAGGTAACTCAAAAGCCGGTGCTACAGCTATACTCGGGATCTCATAGGATAGGACAACCAGGTAGGAATCAATAAACTTCACGAATTTAAACAACAGTCGGTCATACCTACTTGGGTTGTCAGTCAAGACATGATAAGGTCTTTCTGCGACAATATCGTTTTGGCCACTGTCGGTTTAACAAACCTCCTACGTGTATCCCTTGTGATTAAAGGTTCACCACCAAGCATATTTTTCTTGACTGTGTAGACTTTGCATTCACAAGGGATTCACATTATCAACAGTAAATCTGAAAGATATTTTTCCCGTGTGAGCGGGCATCTCATTCAAAGCTACTTGATAGAAATTGGTCTGTATCATAATTTTTAAATACGTATGTGAATAACTAATTGCTTCTTTATTAAATTTGGTGTGATGCTTTTATCAACCAAAAATATTGAAGGCTCTGCCTAGGAGGTTAAAGTACCGTAAAATGATTGCCCCCTTGTGTTGACATGTAATTCCTTTATAATCAATGTCACTATCATCAACCAGTGTTTTAAGCCAACTCATTGCTGAGTATTTTTAAATATTTGCTAGTATTGTGCCAACTCCCTACTCGGCAATATTCCAGCTACATGACGGCAGCCGGTAAATAATCGAGTCTGGACCAGACAATCCAGTGATTGACATCATGAGCATCGATCCACGCAAATGGGATATGATGACATACATCAGCCAAGTCAGCGAGCCTGACCACCCGATACCTTTAGTCGCCTCTTTCAAGAAGCATTGTCGCAAGTCACGGTGATCCCCAGCAAGGTGGGCTAGCTTTGGTGGCTGGTGGCTTATAGCTCGTGTTTTAAACAGTTATAAATAATATTCTTAGGATAAAATATGTTTGACAAATTTGTTTTTATATATAACTAAGTATTCATGACTCATTTGTATATATATATATATATATATATATATATATATAATGGCGATGCGACTCACTCACTCACATTATTACTCCGTCAATGGACCAGTGAGCACTCGTTTATCATTCTCAGCTCCCTGGGGAGTCTACAACCCATGTTACCTGTGAGGCGCTAGCAAATATATCCAGGTATAGAAATGGTGACACTGGCCTTTGACTAAATAGGCCAAAAGAATTCACTTGCAGGGTCTCATCCTAGAACATTTACTCTAACCTGTTTATTATGAGACATGAAACAAAGTACTATCCCTACTATTCACACGACTCTGTTGGCTACAGGCCTTCTGAGAATGTCCTTTTTTCATTCTTGATTTACTTTTCAATTCATATTGACCACATGAAAACATGACAAAAAGATTGTTATAAAGCTACTGTTGGTTGACAAACAAATTATTTTGAGTTTTTGAGCATTAATTTTAGTGCATTGGACTCAGAGATAAAGGGAACCAATATGTTTTGCAACATTGTCAATGCCCCTGAAGTTGAATACTGATCATGATTCATAGAACAACTTTGAATCTGCTCATAGACTGAATCTGCTTGTAGACTAAATCTACTCCTAGACTGAATCTACTCGTAAACTGAATCTACTCCTAGACTAAATCTGCTCGTAGACTGAATCTACTTGTAGACTGAATCTGCTCGTAGACTGAATATGCTTGTCAACTGAATCTGCTCGTAGACTGAATCTGCTCGTAGACTGAATCCACTCATACTGAATCTGCTCGTAGACTGAATCCACTCATACTGAATCTGCTTGTAGACTGAATCTGCTTGTAGACTGAATCTGTTCGTAGACTGAATCTGCTTATACACTGAATTTACTCGTAGACTGAATCTGCTTTTAAACTGAATCTGCTTTTAGGCTGAATGTGCTTGTAAACTGAACCTACTCATCGACTGAATCTGCTCGTAGACTGAATCTGCTTGTAGGCTGAATCTGCTTGTAGGCTGAATCTGCTCGTAGACTGAATCCGCTCATACTGAATCTGCTTGTACACTGAATTTACTCGTAGACTGAATCTGCTTGTAAACTGAATATGCTTGTAAACTGAATCTGCTCATAGGCTGAATCTGCTTGTAGGCTGAATCTGCTCGTAGACTGAATCCACTCATACTGAATCTGCTTGTAGACTGAATTTACTCTTAGACTGAATCTGCTTGTAAACTGAATCTGCTTGTAAACTGAATCTGCTCGTAGGCTGAATCTGCTTGTAGACGGAATCCACTCATACTGAATCTGCTTGTAGACTGAATTTACTCTTAGACTGCATCTGCTTGTAAACTGAATCTGCTTGTAAACTGAATCTGCTTGTAGACTGAATCTGCTCGTAGACTGAATCTGCTTATACACTGAATTTACTCTTAGACTGAATCTACTCATAGACTGAATCTGCTTTTCGGTTGAATCTGCTTGTAAACTCAATCTACTCGTAGACTGAATCTGTTCGTAGACTGAATCTGCTTATACACTGAATCTACTCGTAGACTGAATCTGCTTTTAAACTGAATCTGCTTTTAGGCTGAATCTGCTTGTAAACTGAACCTACTCATCGACTGAATCTGCTCGTAGACTGAATCTGCTTGTAGGCTGAATCTGCTTGTAGGCTGAATCTGCTCGTAGACTGAATCCGCTCATACTGAATCTGCTTGTACACTGAATTTACTCTTAGACTGAATCTGCTTGTAAACTGAATATGCTTGTAAACTGAATCTGCTCATAGGCTGAATCTGCTTGTAGGCTGAATCTGCTCGTAGACTGAATCCACTCATACTGAATCTGCTTGTAGACTGAATTTACTCTTAGACTGAATCTGCTTGTAAACTGAATCTGCTCGTAGGCTGAATCTGCTTGTAGACTGAATCTGCTTATACACTGAATTTACTCGTAGACTGAATCTGCTTTTAAACTGAATCTACTCATAGACTGAATCTATTCGTAGACTGAATGTGCTTGGAGACTGAATCTACTCATAGACAGAATCTACTCGTAGACTGAATGTGCTTGGAGACTGAATCTGCTTGTAGACTGAATCTACTCGTTGACTGAATCTGTTTGTAGACTGAATCTGCTTGGAGACTGAATCTGCTTGTAGACTGAATCTGCATGGAGACTGAATCTGCTTGGAGACTGAATCTGCTTGAAGACTGAATGTGCTTGGAGACTGAATCTTCTCGTAGACTGAATCTGCTTGGAGACTGAATCTGCTTGTAGACTGAATGTGCTTGGAGACTGAATCTTCTCATAGACTGAATCTGCTTGTAGACTGAATCTGCTTGTAGACATTATCATGAACACAATGTTGAGGCTCTCAAGGATGAAGATGATCCAAGACGATGACTTCAGCTAGCCAGAGCCATCAGACCAACCAAGGAATCCAGAAAGCAGAGCGAGCTGATAAAGAAGAGACTGCAATACCTGTGTGTAGACCGCAGTGACAACAAACTCTCTTTTGATGTATTTCTGAATGGTGTGGGGCACAAGTGGAGGTGAGGTGAAATAGGGTTTAACGTCGCATCCAAGATTATTGCACTTATATAACGACGTGCATGCACATGTGTGTGTTTGTGTGGCTGCTTGTACTAGTCCGGACTGATGCTGATTTTATAGTGGTACCCCACTGAGACACCATGCCCAGTTTAACATATATACCTCACTCAGACACAGGATACTGACTCCGAGCCGACCAGTCCTTGTTTCAAGCCCTTAATGCCGAGCACCAGGCAGGGTAACAACAAGTACCGTCTTTAAACGCTTTTTAGTACGACACGACTGGGGATCGTTCCCGGACCCTCCGCTCCCTGGGCCTGCACTCTACCACTAGTCTGTGGGGTACAACAATTGCTTGTGTTGATGACTGATGTTGAATAATAATACAGATGATTTCAGTATAATTTATGTTTTCCTAAATAAGGGGCTTTTATCCTATGGAGATTATGTCCAGGTGGCCTTTTTACCTATGTGGCTCTTATCCACAGGGGCTTTTGTCTGCCCACCTTCAGCGTGTAGCAGTCTCAGTGGAGGTGTTGCAGAGCTTGTGATGGAAGTTTCCTGGATATCAAAATGGCTCCATGGATATTGGTAATAGGTGTCATTTATGGCTAAGGAAAAAGACAAGTTTGACAGGAAAACAGAACTCAGAAATTATTAAAAAATAGATTTTTTAATGTTCCTCATTCAAGGATAAACATCTGAATAAAATAATATATATACAATTATAAAAAGTAACTGTAATACGATACATGAACACAAAAGCACGATATCCACAATTGTAGAGTTTCAATATTATGACAAAATTCGGAATGCTTACCTTGACCTGTCACTAATCTTGACTCAAGACTTTTCAAAAGAGGGCCCATCCTTGAGATGGTGCATACTAAGCCTAATCACAAATGCATGAATATCTTTTGAGAAAGAGTAACCACAAAGTTTTTCCATCTCAAGACCTTGATCTTTCACTTTTCATGGCATGTGCCCAAAGTATTCCCCAGGGCTATGTGGAACAACTATTCCCCAGAGCTATGTGGAACAAGTATTCCCCAGGGCTATGTGGAACAACTATTCCCCAGAGCTTTGTTGAACAACTATTCCCCAGAGCTATGTGGAACAACTATTCCCAATGGCTATGTGGAACAACTATTCCCCAGGGCTATGTGGAACAACTATTCCCCAGGGCTATGTGGAACAACTATTCCCCAGGGCTATGTGGAACAACTATTCCCCAGGGCTATGTGGAACAACTATTCCCTAGGGCTATGTGGAACAACTATTCCCCAGAGCTATGTGGAACAACTATTCCCCAGAGCTATGTGGAACAACTATTCCCCAGGGCTATAAGGAACAACTATTCCCTAGGGCTATGTGGAACAACTATTCCCCAGGGCTACTTGGAACAACTATTCCGCAGGGCTATGTGGAACAAGTATTCCCCAGGGCTATGTGGAACAAGTATTCCCCAGGGCTATGTGGAACAACTATTCCCTAGGGCTATGTGGAACAACTATTCCCCAGGGCTACTTGGAACAACTATTCCCCAGGGCTATGTGGAACAACTATTCCGCAAGGCTACTTGGAACAACTATTCCGCAGGGCTATGTGGAACAAGTATTCCCCAGGGCTATGTGGAACAACTATTCCGCAGGGCTATGTGGAATAACTATTCCCCTGAAAAATCACTGGCAGCAGCAGTAATCAAATTTCAATGAAAGCTCAAGGCAGTCCCATTTTACCTGGCTGCAAATGAACACAAGGATACAACTGTTGAAACTGCTTCAACATGGAAACATATAGTTAGTGGTGCATAATAAGTACCAGGTGTATTCCAGGTGACCATTGGCGACATACCTGTCAACTGTGTAAGCCCTACTGAGATGTAGGCACAGTATTAGTGCCTGACAAGTACTCAACTCTCTGCCTCAGATTGTGGTGGTGCACCCTTGTGATGTACTTGGTACCCCGGGATAGAGGTGTATCTTGTAGGCTAAGCTGCTATGTACAGGAATAATGACACTGCCCACAGGCATTACATGTCTGTTCTGATTTACATACAGTTGCATAAACAAATCAGTATTAGTGCATGAGTTTAAATGCTTGTGGTACACACTCCCCTGAAGGACATGATCCTGTCCCTAGTTCTTACATTTTGCTACAAACACGTCTGTGTAGAATGCAATACAAATATAGCTATATTTCACCAACCAATATGGAGCGAACTTGAATAGATATAAAATACTTCACCACAGGTACATCAAGATAGAATCTTAATGCTTTGTAACAGATTCAGTGGAGTTAGATTGTCACACCATCAACTGGTTCTACTGGTGATGATAATGCAATGACCAGTCACTGTTTGTAAAAATAAGCATATGTCACAGTGAATTGGCAAAGTTAACTCAATAGACAATGACCTCGTGAGTAAAATCTCAGAAACTGTAATCCCCATGTACGTTATTGCATCAGAAAATGAAGATTGACTTCAAAAAGTGATCTGGCTCTAATACCCATGCTGAATCCACCCTACCCACAATCATGTATATGCTGAATCCACCCTACCCACAATCATGTATATGCTGAATCCACCCTATCCACAATCATGTATATGTTGAATCCACCCTACCCACAATCATGTATATGCTGAATCCACCCTACCCACAATCATGTATATGCTGAATCCACCCTATCCACAATCATGTATATGCTGAATCCACCCTACCCACAATCATGTATATGCTGAAACCACCCTACACACAATCATGTATATGCTGAATCCACCCTATCCACAATCATGTATATGCTGAATCCACCCTACCCACAATCATGTACATGCTGAATCCACCCTACCCACAATCATGTATATGCTGAATCCACCCTACCCACAATCATTTATATGCTAAAGCTCTGTCACAGAATCATGTATATGCTGAATCCACCCTATCCACAATCATGTATATGTTGAATCAACCCTACACACAATCATGTATATGCTGAATCCACCCTACCCACAATCATGTACATGCTGAATCCACCCTACCCACAATCATGTATATGCTGAATCCACCCTACCCACAATCATGTATATGCTAAAGCTCTGTCACAGAATGACAAGACTGTAACATTTGTCAACCAGTGACAGTCTATGTCAGACAAGCCAGGACCATCTTCCCGAGGCAAGGGAGTTAACTGACTATAAAAGTTCAGTTTCCACCCTTGCCGAACTAGGCTGGAATTTCTGGGCTCGATCGTGGTGCCACCATTGGCTATTACGAATTATGTCCCTTCTGTGTCCCTCCTATTGACAATCAGATCCACCTCTCATATCACTTGCATTTGCTTCAAACAAAATGGCGCTCCCACTCAAGACAATCTGACTGATAATCAAGATCTATTTGTAATAAAACAGATCTTTCTTCGTGAAGTGCATCAAATCAAGTGAGCATCTTGATTAAAAACCTGCAAAGATTTGGAAAATATTTGTTGATGCCGAGCTGGCAGTACACATGCTTTGCAAATCCTGCAATTGACCGAAATCTGCACGGCAGTTTACGAACCAGATGTCAATTTCATTACAGGATTTTCATCTGATTATGCATGGACTCGTTAGTCCAGCCATAAGATCACTCCATAATTCCGGCCTAATTCGGCAAGGGTGGAAACAGGACTTTTATAGTCAGTATACTCCCTTGTCTCAGGAAGATGAGCCAGGACCTGTATCACTACTACTGATGGAGAGTGTCTGAACCCTGACAGGCTGCAGCATAAACAACTGTAACACTTCATCACCACATTGTGCTGGTCACCATGACAACACAATCTTGCTGACACGACACATCAGTAGATGGAGGAGGAACGATGACACACATTTCACATCACCTCCGAGGCCGATTCACTGACTGGAAGATTGTCAGACATGTGGGCCGAATCTCACATTCGAGCCGACGTCTCCACCAACTGTCGTGCGAAAGCCCTTCCTCCTGAAACACAGAAAAGAATTTGTTTCTGCTGATGTCTTGAATACATAACACACAAGCATACAATACACACTTGAGTTAAGGTAGATCGGGAAAATATTGGATTCATCTCGTCATCTCGTAATTATCCTCTTAGATATGTAATAAACAAGGAGCTGATACAAGTCAGGAGAATACATCAACATGACCAAGTGAATTACATTGTGTTGAACCAGCATCAGGCAAAGTACTTGCTGTCATAATTCATAAACACAATAAGAGACTTGTTAACTTTGGGGGTTCATTATATCAGTAATAGATAGGAATAAAACATGTTCACACAAATCCGGTTCGGCACAAAACATTACATCAATTACATCATATGCAAGAAAAAATGATAATCAACACTGAAATAGCACATTGACTGTCCAAAGCAGGTACTACATCAATTAAGCAATAACTGTTGGCTTGAATCATTTCCAATATCAAAACAGCACTCTATATGGAATATATTTGTCCATGCTACAAAACCACTCAAGATGACATTGAAATAGTGGCATTGTTTACTGGGTTTCATGAAGCAGTCTTACACTAGCACTATCTCCCACACACACAGACCTACCATATCACTGTAGCAGTACCACTGCTTTGTTTACTGGGTCTCAAGAAGCAGTCTTACACTAGCACTATCTCCCACACACACAGACCTACCATCACTGTAGCACGAAGCAGTCTTACACTAGCACTATCTCCCCCACACAAGGACCTACCATCACTGTAGCACGAAGCAGTCTTACACTAGCACTATCTCCCACACACACAGACCTACCATCACTGTAGCACGAAGCAGTCTTACACTAGCACTATCTCCCCCACACAAGGACCTACCATCACTGTAGCACGAAGCAGTCTTACACTAGCACTATCTCCCACACACACAGACCTACCATCACTGTAGCACGAAGCAGTCTTACACTAGCACTATCTCCCACACACACAGACCTACCATCACTGTAGCACGAAGCAGTCTTACACTAGCACTATCTCCCCCACACAAGGACCTACCATCACTGTAGCACGAAGCAGTCTTACACTAGCACTATCTCCCACACACACAGACCTACCATCACTGTAGCACGAAGCAGTCTTACACTAGCACTATCTCCCCCACACAAGGACCTACCATCACTGTAGCACGAAGCAGTCTTACACTAGCACTATCTCCCACACACACAGACCTACCATCACTGTAGCACGAAGCAGTCTTACACTAGCACTATCTCCCCCACACAAGGACCTACCATCACTGTAGCACGAAGCAGTCTTACACTAGCACTATCTCCCACACACACAGACCTACCATCGCTGTAGCACGAAGCAGTCTTACACTAGCACTATCTCCCCCACACACAGACCTACCATATCACTGTAGCACGAAGCAGTCTTACACTAGCACTATCTCCCACACACACAGACCTACCATCGCTGTAGCACGAAGCAGTCTTACACTAGCACTATCTCCCACACACAAGGACCTACCATCACTGTAGCACGAAGCAGTCTTACACTAGCACTATCTCCCACACACACAGACCTACCATCACTGTAGCACGAAGCAGTCTTACACTAGCACTATCTCCCCCACACAAGGACCTACCATCACTGTAGCACGAAGCAGTCTTACACTAGCACTATCTCCCACACACACAGACCTACCATCACTGTAGCACGAAGCAGTCTTACACTAGCACTATCTCCCCCACACAAGGACCTACCATCACTGTAGCACGAAGCAGTCTTACACTAGCACTATCTCCCACACGGACCTACCATCACTGTAGCACGAAGCAGTCTTACACTAGCACTATCTCACACACGGACCTACCATCACTGTAGCACGAAGCAGTCTTACACTAGCACTATCTCCCCCACACAAGGACCTACCATCACTGTAGCACGAAGCAGTCTTACACTAGCACTATCTCCCACACACACAGACCTACCATCGCTGTAGCACGAAGCAGTCTTACACTAGCACTATCTCCCCCACACACAGACCTACCATATCACTGTAGCACGAAGCAGTCTTACACTAGCACTATCTCCCACACACACAGACCTACCATCGCTGTAGCACGAAGCAGTCTTATACTAGCACTATCTCCCCCACACAAGGACCTACCATCACTGTAGCACGAAGCAGTCTTACACTAGCACTATCTCCCCCACACACAGACCTACCATCGCTGTAGCACGAAGCAGTCTTACACTAGCACTATCTCCCCCACACAAGGACCTACCATCACTGTAGCACGAAGCAGTCTTACACTAGCACTATCTCCCACACACACAGACCTACCATCACTGTAGCACGAAGCAGTCTTACACTAGCACTATCTCCCACACACACAGACCTACCATCACTGTAGCACGAAGCAGTCTTACACTAGCACTATCTCCCCCACACAAGGACCTACCATCACTGTAGCACGAAGCAGTCTTACACTAGCACTATCTCCCACACACACAGACCTACCATCACTGTAGCACGAAGCAGTCTTACACTAGCACTATCTCCCCCACACAAGGACCTACCATCACTGTAGCACGAAGCAGTCTTACACTAGCACTATCTCCCACACACACAGACCTACCATCACTGTAGCACGAAGCAGTCTTACACTAGCACTATCTCCCCCACACAAGGACCTACCATCGCTGTAGCACGAAGCAGTCTTACACTAGCACTATCTCCCACACACACAGACCTACCATATCACTGTAGCACGAAGCAGTCTTACACTAGCACTATCTCCCACACACACAGACCTACCATCACTGTAGCAGTACCACTGCTTTGTTTACTGGGTCTCATGAAGCAGTCTTACACTAGCACTATCTCCCCCACACAAGGACCTACCATCACTGTAGCACGAAGCAGTCTTACACTAGCACTATCTCCCACACACACAGACCTACCATCACTGTAGCACGAAGCAGTCTTACACTAGCACTATCTCCCCCACACAAGGACCTACCATCACTGTAGCACGAAGCAGTCTTACACTAGCACTATCTCCCACACACACAGACCTACCATCACTGTAGCACGAAGCAGTCTTACACTAGCACTATCTCCCACATACACAGACCTACCATCACTGTAGCACGAAGCAGTCTTACACTAGCACTATCTCCCACACACACAGACCTACCATCACTGTAGCACGAAGCAGTCTTACACTAGCACTATCTCCCACACACAAGGACCTACCATCACTGTAGCACGAAGCAGTCTTACACTAGCACTATCTCCCACACACACAGACCTACCATCACTGTAGCACGAAGCAGTCTTACACTAGCACTATCTCCCACACACACAGACCTACCATCACTGTAGCACGAAGCAGTCTTACACTAGCACTATCTCCCCCACACAAGGACCTACCATCACTGTAGCACGAAGCAGTCTTACACTAGCACTATCTCCCACACACACAGACCTACCATCACTGTAGCACGAAGCAGTCTTACACTAGCACTATCTCCCCCACACAAGGACCTACCATCGCTGTAGCACGAAGCAGTCTTACACTAGCACTATCTCCCACACACACAGACCTACCATATCACTGTAGCACGAAGCAGTCTTACACTAGCACTATCTCCCACACACACAGACCTACCATCACTGTAGCAGTACCACTGCTTTGTTTACTGGGTCTCATGAAGCAGTCTTACACTAGCACTATCTCCCCCACATACAGACCTACCTTCACTGTAGCAGTACCACTGCTTTGTTTACTGGGTCTCATGAAGCAGTCTTACACTAGCACTATCTCACACACGGACCTACCATCACTGTAGCACGAAGCAGTCTTACACTAGCACTATCTCCCATACACACACAGACCTACCATCACTGTAGCACGAAGCAGTCTTACACTAGCACTATCTCCCACACACACAGACCTACCATCACTGTAGCAGTACCACTGCTTTGTTTACTGGGTCTCATGAAGCAGTCTTACACTAGCACTATCTCCCCCACATACAGACCTACCATCACTGTAGCAGTACCACTGTTTGTTCACTGGGTCTCATGAAGCAGTCTTACACTAGCACTATCTCCCCCACACAAGGACCTACCATCACTGTAGCACGAAGCAGTCTTACACTAGCACTATCTCACACACGGACCTACCATCAATGTAGCAGTACCACTGCTTTGTTTACAGGTCCTGGAGAAACATGTGACAATAATATGTAAAACTCTCAAAACTAAATGCCCGTAATATTGGAATAAAAATGGCGTGCAGTTAGTAAGATATGAAAAAACAACTATCTCCAGAATTAAGTATGAATGACTCCATTAAACAGTAACAGGCCATATGTGTCTGTAATGCACACGCTTGAAATGATTGAGTAAGAGGTTAGTATAACAAAATACTATCTGAAGAATGTTAGTCAATAGCAGTGTTTTGCAGCAGGTCTAAACCCTTACTGAATACAAACAAAATGTAAAGCTTGACATGCTAATAGATTGCACGCCCTATATATCCCTGTTCAGGTTCCACAAAGTATCCTTCACACAACCTCTGCCATTCTTGACAGATAACCATATTGTGTTTTTAATGTAGACCTAGGTGAAATGCACTAAATTGAATTAGTAACCAAACGTGCAGCGTGAGGTTTCAAATACTAAATTTGCTTGCTTAATGTAATGCAGGAAACATGATGTCAGAGTCACGCTATCGAAAGTGTCAACTTTCCTTCTCTCTCCTTAAAGCTTGAAACACACTCTCTTAGCCGATGTCTATCATGTTTTCTGCCTGAAACGTACTGCCACACATACTTTGAATATTGTAGTAGCCCCAACTTTGCATTTTGAACCTTTAATTGCACACGTAATTATATAGAAATCATGTCTATAAATCAAGTCTATAAATATCAGCTTCTGGGGCAATGTGGCCATCAAATCATCTGTTTCAATCAGAGATGATTATTGTGATTTTATACCACTGATTGACCAATCAGAGTCATGTATTTTCCAAATTCATGGTAGAATGATGATTACACTGGTCAGTACAAGCACACATCCAGGAGCTGTGTGAAGTACTTGAGGCAGGTAGCCAGTGGTTGAAAGCAGTAGCCACATCCCCTCCCCCCTACACACACCTAGTCCCACATCCCCCCACACCTGGTCTAGAGACCCACATCCCCCACACTTGGTCTAGAGTCCCACATCCCCCCACACCTGGTAGAGTCCCACATCCCCCCACACCTGGTCTAGAGTCCCACATCCCCCCACACCTGGTAGAGTCCCACATCCCCCAACACCTGGTCTAGAGTCCCACATCCCCCAACACCTGGTCTAGAGTCCCACATCCCCCCACACCTGGTCTAGAGTCCCACATCCCCCCACACCTGGTCTAGAGTCCCACATCCCCCCACACTTGGTCTAGAGTCCCACATCCCCCCACACCTGGTCTAGAGTCCCACATCCCCCCACACCTGGTCTAGAGTCCCACATCCCCCCACACTTGGTCTAGAGTCCCACATCCCCCCACACCTGGTATAGAGTCCCACATCCCCCAACACCTGGTAGAGTCCCACATCCCCCCACACCTGGTCTAGAGTCCCACATCCCCCCACACCTGGTAGAGTCCCACATCCCCCCACACCTGGTCTAGAGTCCCACATCCCCCCACACCTGGTCTAGAGTCCCACATCCCCCAACATCTGGTAGAGTCCCACATCCCCCCACACCTGGTCTAGAGTCCCACATCCCCCCACACCTGGTAGAGTCCCACATCCCCCAACACCTGGTCTAGAGTCCCACATCCCCCAACACCTGGTCTAGAGTCCCACATCCCCCAACACCTGGTCTAGAGTCCCACATCCCCCCACATTTGGTCTAGAGTCCCACATCCCCCCACACTTGGTCTAGAGTCCCACATCCCCCGACACCTGGTCTAGAGTCCCACATCCCCCCAACACCTGGTCTAGAGTCCCACATCCCCCCACACCTGGTATAGAGTCCCACATCCCCCCACACCTGGTCTAGAGTCCCACATCCCCCCACACCTGGTCTAGAGTCCCACATCCCCCCACACCTGGTAGAGTCCCACATCCCCCCACACCTGGTCTAGAGTCCCATATCCCCCCAACACCTGGTCTAGAGTCCCACATCCCCCCACACCTGGTCTAGAGTCCCACATCCCCCAACACCTGGTCTAGAGTCCCACATCCCCCCACACCTGGTCTAGAGTCCCACATCCCCCCACACCTGGTCTAGAGTCCCACATCCCCCCACACCTGGTCTAGAGTCCTACATCCCCCCACACCTGGTCTAGAGTCCCACATCCCCCCACACCTGGTCTAGAGTCCCACATCCCCAACACCTGGTCTAGAGTCCCACATCCCCCCACACCTGGTCTAGAGTCCCACATCCCCCAACACCTGGTCTAGAGTCCCACATCCCCCCACACCTGGTCTAGAGTCCCACATCCCCCAACACCTGGTCTAGAGTCCCACATCCCCCAACACCTGGTCTAGAGTCCCACATCCCCCCACACCTGGTCTAGAGTCCCACATCCCCCAACACCTGGTCTAGAGTCCCACATCCCCCAACACCTGGTCTAGAGTCCCACATCCCCCAACACCTGGTCTAGAGTCCCACATCCCCCCACACTTGGTCTAGAGTCCCACATCCCCCAACACTTGGTCTAGAGTCCCACATCCCCCCACATCTGGTCTGGAGTCCCACATCCCCCCACACTTGGTCTAGAGTCCCACATCCCCCCACACCTGGTAGAGTCCCACATCCCCCAACACCTGGTCTAGAGTCCCACATCCCCCCACACCTGGTCTAGAGTCCCACATCCCCCCACACCTGGTCTAGAGACCCACATCCCCCACACCTGGTCTAGAGTCCCACATCCCCCCACACCTGGTAGAGTCCCACATCCCCCCACACCTGGTCTAGAGTCCCACTGCTGACTCATGGTCAGCACACAGTCTCAAAGAGATGGCTGCCCATACCTGTAAATTACTTGAAACTGCCACACTGTCAGATCCCTACATGAGTTAAAGCATGACACACACCTGATTCGTGCAAATACAAAATACAAAGCGATATTTTGCTGAACATTACCGTATATATCAAACTACTGAATCAATCGAAACTCAGGGAAACATATATTGCAAATAGGTCTATGATATACATACCATCACAAAGTTAACAATGTATCAGTTATGATAAATCCCAAAGTCATACCACAGTCATTTAGTATATCCCAAACTGCCAAAAATAGAAATCGGCACTAAACACAAGCCTATGATGCAGTAAATCACCAGTTCCTTGTGAATGAACTCATTCAATCATCAGCATTCACCAAACTGAAATAAAAGTTTTTTAGTTTTTAAATTTCCTGATCAATTTACTTTTCTACAGAACATCAGTGTAACACCTACCCTGTTGGGTGGATCGGCGGCCAATATCTGTACACTATATAGGCTTAGTGAGCAGAGAACAGAAGCAGCTACGTAGGTATCAACCTGCACTAGGACCGGCATACTACATCTACCTGCTCAGGGATGTTATAAGCCAGATGGAAGGGCTGGTACTATTATTGGACTGTGTAAGTGCTATAGGTCTAGTGTGGAAGCGCTCAAAGCTAAACTCTCAAAATTTGTGTCATACCCTTGGTTAACTCGGGCACCTACAAAAGTTGGGTAAGAAATTATTTAGTTTTGTGAATTTCTTTTTGTGCAAAGTAAAAACATTATTTCTTATACATATCCTAATAGTTGAATCTTGTATGTTTATTCATAGAATGTGTCAATGTTGACCATCTTTGCAATTTAGGACACATTGTGGGAATGCCAGTTAGTGTAAACTAGCAGAAACAGTGACATCGTGACTTGGATGTGGAATGAGCAAGTTAGTGTGTGAGTGATTGAGTGAGTGAGTGAATGTTGTTTACACCATAGTGAGCAATATTTCTGCCGTATCATGGCATCTTTAAAATCATACAATCTGGGTCTGACAGTCTATAGCGGTTAGCACCCACAGGGCACTCCATCGGGCATGATGACACACCCCAAGTCACACAACAAACTCCTCAGTCGTTAGTTGTTACAACAAGCATGGGCTGATGGGACCAATCCCAAAATGCCCTGAAAGAAGAACCATGAGAGTCTATAGGAGTCTTTCCTGAAATGTCCTGAAGAAAGGACCTCAGTCAGTTGTTACAACAAGCATGGGGTGATGGGACCAATCCCAAAATGCCCTGAAAGGAGGACCATGAGAGTCTTCCCAGGTAAGCCCTGAAGGAAGGACCATGAGAGTCTTCCCCAGTAAGCCCTGAAGGAAGGACCATAGGAGTCTTTCACGGTAAGCCCTGATGGAAGGACCATGACAGTCTTCCCTGGTAAGCCCTGATGGAAGGACCATAGGAGTCTTTCCCGGTAAGCCCTGATGGAAGGACCATGAGAGTCTTCCCCGATAAGCCCTGAAGGAAGGACCATGAGAGTCTTCCATGGTAAGCCCTGAAGGAAGGAGCATGAGAGTCTTCCCTGGAATGCCCTGAAGGTGGGACCATGCAAGTCTACCCTGGAATGTCCTGATGGAAAGACCATGCAAGTCTTCCCCGGAATGTCCTGAAGAAAGGACCATGGGAGTCTTCCCCGGATGCCCTGAAGGAAGGACCATAGGAGTCTTCCCCAGAATGTCCTGAAGAAAGGACCATGGGAGTCTTCCCCAGAATGTCCTGAAGGGCCATGGGACTCTTCCCTGGAATGTCCTGAAGGACCATGGGAGTCTTCCCTGGAATGTCCTGAAGGACCATGGGAGTCATCCCTGGAATGTCCTGAAGGAAAGACCATGCAAGTCTACCTCGGAATGTCCTGAAGGACCATGAAAGTCTACCCTGAAATGTCCTCAAGCGACCATAGGAGTCCTCCCTAGAATGTCCTGAAGGAAGGACCATGAGAATCTTCCCCGGAATATCCCAAAGGAAGGACCATGGGAGTCATCCCCAGAATGTCCTGAAGGGCCATGGGAATCTTCCCTGGAATGTCCAGAAGGAAAGACCATGGGAGTCTTTCCCGGAATGTCCTGAAGAAAGGACCATGGGATCTTCCCCGAAATGCCCTGAAGGAAGGACCATGCTAGCCTACCCCGGAATGTCCTGAAGCAGGACCATAGGAGCTTTCCCCAGAATGTCTTGAAAAAGGACCATGGGAGTCTTCCCCAGAATGTCCTGAAGAAAGGACCATGCAAGTCTTCACCAGAATGTCCTGAAGAAAGTACCATGGGAGTCTTCACCAGAATGTCCTGAAGAGAGGACCACGGGAGTCTCCCCCAGAATGTCCTGAAGGACCATGGGAGTCTACCCCGGAAAGTCCTGAAGGAAGGACCATGCAAGTCTACCCCGGAATGTCCTGAAGCAGGACCATAGGAGCTTTCCCCAGAATGTCCTGAAAAAGGACCATGGGAGTCTTTCCTGAAATGTCCTGAAGAAAGGACCTCAGTCAGTTGTTACAACAAGCATGGGGTGATGGGACCAATCCCAAAATGCCCTGAAAGGAGGACCATGAGAGTCTATAGGAGTCTTTCCTGGAATGTCCTGAAATAGGACCATAGGAGTCTTCCCCAGATTGTCCTGAAGAAAGGACCATGGGAGTCTTTCCCAGAATGTCCTGAAGGAAAGACCATGGGAGTCATCCCTGGAATGTCCCGTAGGAAGGACCATGGGAGTCTTCCCCAGAATGTCCTGAAGGAAGGACCAGGCAAGTCTACCTCGGAATGTCCTGAAGGAAATAACATGAAAGTCTACCCTGAAATGTCCTGAAGGAAGGACCATGGGAGTCTTTCCCGGAATGTCCTGAAGGAAAGACCATGCAAGTCTACCTCGGAATGTCCTGAAGCGACCATAGGTGTCCTCCCCAGAATGACCTGAAGGAAGGACCATGAGAGTCTTCCCCTGAATATATCAAAGGAAGGACCATGAGAGTCTTTCCCAGAATTCCCTGAAGGAAGGACCATGGGAGTCTTCCCCAGAATGTCCTGAAGGACCATGGGAGTCTTTCCCGGATTGTCCTGAAGAAAGGACCATGGGAGTCTTCCCTTGAATGCCCTGAAGGAAGGACCATGAGAGTCTTCCCCGGTAAGCCCCGAAGACAGGACCATAAGAGTCTTCCCCAGAATTCCCCGAAGGAAGGACCATGCAATTCTACCCCAGAATGTCCTTAAGAGACCAAGCAAGTCTACCCTGGAATGTCCTGAAGCGACCATAGGAGTCTTCCCCGGAATGTCCTGAAGGAAGGACCATGGGAGTCTTCCCCAGAATGCCATGAAGGAAGGACCATGCAAGTCTTCACAGGAATGCCCTGAAGGAAGGATCATGAGAGTCTTCCCCAGAATTCCCTGAAGGAAGGACCATGCAAGTCTTCCCAGGAATGCCCTGAAGGAAGGATCATGGGAGTCTTCCCCCGGAATGCTTTGAATGAAGTCTTCTGCACTTGTGAACATAACCAAATGTGCATTTGCTGTGGTGTGTGTCAGGTGACCACAAGCTTAGTGAAAGCATGGACCATCAATGTTGATAAGAAGGCTAATGCTAAAGAACCTATGCAAGATTTGAAACTTAACTTATTTACATGAAGAGAACATGACTGAAACCTGTCTTAGAAAAGTAAATAGTAACAGGCCGAAATAATACATTCATCTTTTCAAAGTATGGCACATGAGAACAGTGTCCTCCCTAAAATCTCACTGTGTTGATATATACATAGTCTTGATGGCTACAGTAATATGGAGCAAGGATGTAATAATGGTGTACCTCCAGCTTATCTAAACTAGTAAATAGCTATCATAGATAACGTTATGCAATGAGTGTCTAAGAACAAATATCACATGTTTATGAATACATAGCCTCTGAAATATTGTTACACAACATAAGTATTTGAATGCAAGAACAAATGTACTTTGCTGGTAGTGGGTTTAATCCTGCTGAGAACACATTCTGGAATAGTTTGAGATAATCAAGTATTGACATGTTTGGCAAGTCTAGGCAAGACTATTGGCAGTGACCTACTGTCTGCGGACAGTGACAGGCATGAAAAGCTGCTGCTGCTGCTGCAGAAGAAGGGCCAAGTAGAGATGAAGCTTAGGTCTTACAGGGGTAAACATGCCCTGACCATTGGTCAGCTATACATAGACATGCTTAGATGCACAAGAAACATGCCACAAAACTTGAATGATACCTAGATGTGAACATGTCATCATGTTGCCTGGCTCGAGGCATCATTATTATCCTGATTGTCATCTTCTTCTTCTTGCTGCCAAGAAACAGCTGGCTCAGCCTGGGCTGTGATGACACTATCTACTTCCTGTTCACAGACAGCTGGCTCAGCCTGGGCCGTGACAACACTGTCTACTTCCTGTCCACAGATAGCTGGCTCAGCCTGGGCCGTGACAACACTGTCTACTTCCTGTCCACAGATAGCTGGTTCAGCCTGGGCCGTGATGACACTGACTTTTTCCTGTTCACAGACAGCTGGCTCAGCCTGGGCCGTGACGACACTGTCTACTTCATCGTCTGTTTCAAGTTATCATGTGCAATTACATAAAATGTTTGAGATTCTGAATGAGCAAGAAATGCAAGACAGATATTCACCTGTCAGATATTCACCATCTCATGAACTACACTGTCATGACTCTGACTAATGGGATAACACAGACTGATGTTTTAAACAGAATAACAATTCAGTCCAATCAGACAGATTCCCTGAAATCATAATTTTCAGACAAATGAAAGATAACAGAGAAAAGTTAGAATCATCTTAGCTTCTTTCCTACGTTACCGTATTTTCTTGAGTATAGTGCGCACTTTTTTCCCAAAAAACACAGCTGTGTAGAAGAGGGTGTGCATTATACATGCCATAATGAGTTTTGATGTTTTTTCCCCCAACACAAAGACATTACCGCGAGCATGTACCACTGGAAATACCATTTGTCAACAAATCCATACTGAAGTACGCAAATTAATCATGTCATAACACTGTCTGTCTATAAAAAGTGTTCATTGTATATCTGGACTTATGTTTGTAACTTATTTAATAGATTTTATTGAAAATTCCTTTTATTATTGTTTTAATTAATTTCAGCGAAATTGTGTGTGAAGCAATAGTCAGATTATCATTATTGATGCCTTGAAGAAACTTAAGTTGACAGAGAATGGATACATATATCATAAATGCCATACTTTGACTCGTTAACAGTCATATTTGTTATAGTTTGACAATTCTATGTCAACACGTAGTTCTCGCAATCACCTGCGCTGGACCCTTGACGGTTAATGGTCAAATTGTTCCATGTGAAAAAAAATTGTAGAATTTTCCTATTCGGAATATTCTATAAGTAATACGTTACCACTGTTATACCGAGGCTGTTGTCTCCCACAACTGCTGCTATAGCGAAATCTACCACAGAGATCTCAATTACCTCATGCAGCACGTGCGTAGCCACCTAGCTGCCATGTGACACCCTTAACTCTTGTCTCTTGCGAGAGCAAGTGCTCGGGGGACGGACGGGCGGGCAGCAGCCCAGTGGTAACGTATTACTTATAGAATATTCCGAATAGGAAAATTCTACAAATTACATTAAGTAATACGTTACCACTGTTATGCCGAGGCTGACTACCACAGTAGGCGGTGGGGAGCACCTACAACCCGAATCCTGACTGCTAGCGTTCCTTCCGACCAGCGGAAGTAAACACCAAGGCGGAAGCACTCGATGCGCATGCACCTAGCTAGGCGTTACCCTATAGGAATACCAAAGCACTGTCAAGCGCATACCGTAAGGCTCAATCGTCATTGCCAAAACGATTGGTGACTCCAAACGGCCCCACTGGATAGGTATTTCATCGCCGCAGCGGATGAGAACACTGTATCCGCGTGAGCTTAATCTTAGATCAGGTTAAACAGTCGAAAAGAGGGAAATTAATTTCATTCAGACCGTATATCCCAGAGCAAGCCAACTTAAAGTATGCATTAGGCGCGTGACCTAATTCCAGTATTTGTAAGCATGCATCACAAGGTTGGGATACACGACAGACAATTAAATACATAATTGTCAAAATACAAATAAGGACGAAGCACACAAAAAGCCGCCCTCACCTGTGGTGTGAGTGCGCTGGTTTGCGGGACCCCAACTCCTGTACCCACGGCAGTGGGAACAATGGAGTCGACCCAGATTGACCACCGTGCAAGGTCTGACGCCTGAGGAGTTCGGAATTGCGCTGGGCACACCCCTTAGGTGCCCGCTTGCGCCGCGATCCGCGGGCCAAGACGGTGCACACTCTCCACGACGGCATCAACAACCTGTTTGAGGTAATGATTGGCAAAAACCGAGTCAGAACGCCAGTAACAACCTCGTAATATTCTGCGAACAGAGATATTGGAGTGTAGGGCAAATGTTGCCGCTAGCGCCCTGATCTCGTGCGGGTGTGACCCCGCTACCGGTAACCCCCGAGACCGGTACGCCAGATTGATGACAGAACGAAGCCACAACGCAATCGAGTTGCGAGTTATGTCAACCGTGCGATTAGGGTTACACGATATGAACAGACGGTCACGCCCTTGTCTACGTTCATTCGAAGCCTTAAGATAATACTTAAGGGCCCTAACCGGACACAGCGCTCTGTCCTCAGTATCAGCAGGATGTAAGATTTCTTTGAGTGATCTTACAGTGAATTCTCTCTCCGTTTGCCCGACTCTCTGATTCTTGGCGACGAAGCCCACGAGCAGGCCCAGGCGGACCGCTCCTTCGTCACCCCTATCGAATCGTACCTTGGCGACATCGAGTGCATGAATTTCGGATACACGTGCCGCCGTGGCAAAGGAGAGGAGAAATGCTGTTTTCCAAGTCACATGCCGGAACGAAGCACTATGCAATTGTTCATATGGAGCTTCCGTAAGTGATTGCAACACTAGGGAAAGATCCCAGGCCGGTGCCCGAAGGCGGCCCTTCTTAAGATCGTGCTGTTTGAAACCCTTGATAATACCCCGTATCACCGGCTCTTTGGAGAGACTGGTACCCATAGCAACGTCCCGTACCGTAGCAACGGACAGGACATAGTTGGCAATGGAACCCCCGGAGAGTTTCCGGGTCTCTCGCAAGTGAGACATGAAACGAGCAATATCCTGCACAGATACCTTATCTGGCGAATGAATGTGATGTTTACAACACCACTTCGTGAAAATAACCCAACGTGCATTATACACCTTCTGGGGAGAATCACGATGCATACTAACGTATGCCCGAGACGCCCGGCGAGAAAAACCTTTACTCCTCAGACGCTCGGTGACAACATCCACGCGTGCAGATTGAACTGCCCTGCGGTTGGATGAAGCTGACGGGTGTGAGGGTGGATCAAGGGATCCGGTCTCACAGGCAGTGGAAGTGGCGACTGCGTGACCTGGGTCAGCAAGTCGGGGTACCACGATCTGTTCGGCCACATGGGCGCGATCAGTAACATTCGACAGCGAACTCCTCGGAGCCGGCTTAGAATGTGTGGTATCAACGCTGTCGGCGGGTAAGCATAAGCGTCCAAGCCCGTCCAGTCTAACGCGAGAGCATCGTGATCGATGGCCCTCGGGTCCGGGACTGGTGATACAAACAACGGGAGTTGATTGTTGAACCGCGTTGCGAACAGGTCGACCATCGGACGACCCAAACGTTCGCACAGCCACTGAAACACTACTGGGTTCAGCATCCACTCTGTGGGGCTCGGATCCCGAGGCCTCGATAGAGCATCGGCCAGTACGTTCCGCACACCGGGGATGTGACAGGCGCGTATCTGGCACGGGACACTGTCCACCAGAGCGTAAAACTCGAACGTGAGATCGAGTAGCGAGTGACTGTGGGTTCCCCCCAGTTTGTTCACATAGGACACTACCGTCGTGTTGTCGGTCGCCAGCATGAGCCGGGCGTCGACGAGACGATGCTTCCAGTGATTGACTGCGTTGATCACTGCCTTGAACTCGAGACAATTGATGTGAAGACCTAGTTCGTCTACGCACCACAGCCCCGAGCTCACCTCCCCCTCTAGATGGGCGCCCCAGCCCACTAGAGAGGCGTCTGTATACAGGTTCAACGTGGCCCGGTAGGGCCGCATAGAGACTCCTGATAAGACATTGTAAGGGACCGTCCACCACTCCAGATGCGGTCGGAGCCGATCCGGGAGGGCGACGGTCGCACTGTTCACCTCCGTTGTTAACAACTGGATTAAAAACCGTTGCAGCGGGCGGAGTTGGAGATGACCCCATTCGGTGCAGTCCTGGGCTGATACAAGTAGCCCTAACAGCTGATCCCAAAAGTGAACAGTCTGTTGCACCGCTAAGACTTTGGCAATCATCGCCTGAATCTTGTGCCACCGGTCTGGGGGGACAAAGAGGCGATGGGATACCGTGTTGAACCGACCTCCGATGAACAGCAAGTTCTGAGAAGGGGTTAACTCGCTCTTGGGGAGATTGATAATCCACCCCAATTGCTCCAAGAGCCGACGTGCGAAAACGAGATGGCGTGACAGGGTGTCCGTCATTCGATTTGCTACTAGCGAGTCGTCCAGGTACGCGAAGTACCGGACACCCCTCCTGTGGAGGAACCCCACTATGGGGGTGGTTAACCGGGTGAACAGCCAGGGAGCGGACGTGTGAAACATTCTGAGTTCGGCACTGTCCTACTTGGGAACGAGAAATATCCTGGAGGAAAACCCCGGTGTTATTTCTGGTAGAGCTAACTCCCGTACTGCCCCTTCTACACCAACCTGCCGATGGCATCGGCGAGGATGGGAAGATCGGTTTCCGAATCGAAACCTGCCAACGGGGCAACGGTGAGCGGCGGATTCGCTTTGAGATCAAGCCGATAGCCGTACCGAATCGTGTTGACCACCCACGGGTCGTCGAACACTTGTTCCCAATTCTCCCAGTAAGTCTGGAGTCTGGCTCCCACTGGGGAAGGAAAGGGGGCCCTGACAGGCTGCGGCAGGCGCAACTGTCAAGGGCCAAGTGACTCGGGTTCGCCTAAGGGCCAACCGAAGATGGCGCTGTCGGCATACGAACCCCTCCAATGAGAGTCACCTGGAGGGGCCCTTGCCGTCCTTAGACGACGTGGGCTTCACCCAGTTACCCGTCTTCCCGCGAAAGGGCAGCTGATTGCCCATACCGGAGCCCTCAGGGCGGGGCTACTTCCCAGAGGAAGAAGAACCCGACCCCTTAGACCTACCGGCCGCAGCAGCCTGGGGCGCGCTCCGGTTAGGAGCGGCACCCAGGCGCCTATGCAGGGACCCAACAAGAGCAAGTGTGTGCCGAGAGTCCTCGGCAACGTACTCCAGGGAAGCATTTAAACTGAGCAGGCAGTTGTAAGTGCGCTGGTCATGGTCCGTGGGAGAACCTTCGACCAGACGGGCCGCTGCAGCCAAGTAAGTGTCTCCGTGAGACATGGAGTGCCGAGCGAGGGCGTCCAGCTGGTGCAAGGTAGCTTGCGTTACCGTAGCAGCCGGTGGGGCACGGACACCCAACCGCTCAACATGGGCCTCCGTGGTAGGACCAGCCTCGGGAAAGGCAAGGTCATGTACCGGGAATAAACCCTTTCTCCACGACGTCGGAGGCAACGGGAGACCCCGACCGGAGGCCGCCGCGAAGGCGTTCTCCAAGGAAGGCTTGATACTGCGTAGCAAGGTTGATGCGGGGAAAGCCGTGTCGGAAGACTCATCGTATACCTCGGAGGAACCCACAGACGTGGATTCCCCGCGGTACCGGCCGGGGCATGTCCTCAATGAGGTCATAAACCATGGCCACGCGGTCCTTAACCGATAGCGGGAGCAACGGTTCGGGGGAAGGACCGGTGACCACGGGAGCCGCCGCCGTACCGGTGGACCCCGCATTCGACCCCGCGGCCACCTAAGTGGCCGGGGACGGAACAGCCAGCGGCCTATCCTGAGATAAGGCCGCCAGCTTGGAGTCAACAAGTTATGCAAGTAATGCAGCGACGGAATCCCCGGACAGCCCACGGGCCGCCAAGGGATCCGCCGCAGCCGAGGTGGTGGTACCCGAAAGGGGACCCCGACCGGACGAGCCGGCCACCACAGGGGTGGAAACGGACTGCACATACAGCCGGTAGCGCTCGCTTGCGGCACACCCCGCAGCTCCTGGTTGCGGGGGTAGAGGGGGTGGAGGACGGCGAAACATCCATGTCAGACATTTTGTTTGTACTATGAACAAAGAGCAAAACATGGTTACAACACACGCACCACAAATAGTCACAAACGAGTATTTTCACAAGAAAATAAACGAGCAATGCGAATATAGAACATACACATATAACATATAGAGGTATAAGTGATGTAAAAACCCCAAGATATACTAGAACAGGGGAACGTAAGACGCAACGTGCATACGAGACACCCCGCAAGTATTTAGAAAAAAAGGGCGGGAAAAATATTTCCTTTTGGCGGGAAAACATTTCCAAGCGTAGTTACAGCAAACGCCCCGTAAAAGCACAGTTTATCAGAGAGAATAAACAGTAATAAATATCACCGAATGGTCGGAGAAACTGGAACGCTTGAGCAGTTTATTGTACGTCTTGCTGGAGCAAGCGAAGAGACAAGAGTGAAGGGTGTCACATGGCAGCTAGGTGGCTACGCACGTGCTGCATGAGGTAATTGAGATCTCTGTGGTAGATTTCGCTATAGCAGCAGTTGTGGGAGACAACAGCCTCGGTATAACAGTGGTAACGTATTACTTAATGTAATTAACCGGCAATAGCGATCAGCTGCTACGCTTAGGGTTATTTTTATTTTAAATGTATTTAGTAAATGCTGCACTAAAATAACAAGATATTGGAATATATTATTCTTGATAAAAAAAATAAATTTCAGATACACTTTTTTCCCGATCCTTGCACTAAAATCATGTAATGTTATATCATTGGGTGTATCTTGACTGAATCACCGGTAGATTCCAAGAAAACATGTACAGCTGATTGCTGTTTCTGGCTTAGTTGACGAGAAAATACACATTTAATCTTAATCCAAAATGCTGAATCCGCTAGAGGGGGGTGCGCATTATACTTTGGTGTGCACTATACTCAAGAAAATATGGTATATATTAATATTATTATACAGTTTTTATCAGTAAACTCAAGTACTCAGACCACCAGCGTACATGAGTTGATATTATGACACTCCAGAAAGCACATGTTGAACAAGTCAAAGACACGGGACAGATACGGGACAGACACGGGACAGACACAGCTGTAGATGACAGATATGTATATACAGGTACATATGTTAGCTCACCTGGTGACATGATGTCGGAGGAGGTTCCTGCACCATGCTGCAGTCGGGTCCGCTTGTTCAGACCACCATCATCTTTCTTCCTCTTGCGGCTCACTTCCTGGAGAAGGTTGAGCAGGAAGTTCTTGTCTTTACCCTCCTGAAAATGTCAGTGAATGATTCTGGTCACTCAACCAATGCTGATATCTTGCAAAGTAACATATCCATCACTGGGAAATAGACTGTCAGTGTACCTCCTGTGGGAGGATGTAGGGAGCCATGGGAGGATGTAGGAGCCATGGGAGGATGTAGGGAGCCATGGGAGGATGCAGGGAGCCATGGGAGGATGCAGGGAGCCATGGGAGGATGCAGGGAGCCATGGGAGGATGCAGGGAGCCATGGGAGGATGTAGGGAGCCATGGGAGGATGTAGGGAGCCATGGGAGGATGTAGGGAGCCATGGGAGGATGTAGGGAGCCATGGGAGGATGCAGGGAGCCATGGGAGGATGTAGGGAGCCATGGGAGGATGCAGGGAGCCATGGGAGGATGTAGGGAGCCATGGGAGGATGTAGGGAGCCATGGGAGGATGTAGGGAGCCATGGGAGGATGCATGGAGCCATGGGAGGATGCAGGGAGCCATGGGAGGATGTAGGGAGCCATGGGAGGATGTAGGGAGCCATGGCAGGATGTAGGGAGCCATGGGAGGATGTAGGGAGCCATGGGAGGATGTAGGGAACCATGGGAGCAAGAAGACTGCTGTCACTGGCAACTGATACACACCAAGGACAGGTTCTGATTTCCCATAATTCCGCAGCAGTGACTATTTGTTACGACCTGCTACCATGACTACATTACGTAAAACGGTCTCCAGGAACAAGATGTGTACTCAGAGCTACAGATATGCTGCGTATTTGCATAAAATACGCCCCAAAAATATTCAAAACCCAATTACTTTCTATTAACTTGCGTACAAAAACTCATCCACTGAATGGAAAACTCCAATGTTTGTTAACAGCACACGTAAATACCCAATGAAGCTTTTTCAGCATGCGTATAACAAAACACAACAAGTATTTGTCACAGAGTGACGAAATATCCCCCGCCATATACACCATAGTACCAAATATGAAGACAATCCAGCGATTAGTTCTTGAGATATTGTGGCAACACCGTTTTCCAACTCCAAAAACAGATTTGCCTGCTGTGACCTTGAAAATGGGGTCAAGGTCACCAAATCTGACAGGTGTATGCGGTGTCTGTATATACACCATAGTTCCAAATATGAAGACAATCGAGAGGTTTAGTTCTTGAGATATCGCGGCAACACCGTTTTCCAACTCTAAAAGCAGATTTGCCTGCTGTGACCTTGAAAATGGGATCAAGGTCACCAAAACCGACTGGTGTCTGCGGAGTCTGTATATACACCATAGTTCCAAATATGAAGACAATCCAGTGTTTAGTTCTTGAGATATCACGGCAACACCGTTTTCCAACTCCAAAAGCAGATTTGCCTGCTGTGACCTTGAAAATGGGGTCAAGGTCACCAAAACCGACTGGTGTCTGCGGTGTCTGTATATACACCATAGTTCCAAATATGAAGACAATCCAGTGTTTAGTTCTTGAGATATCGCGGCAACACCGTTTTCCAACTCTAAAAGCAGATTTGTCTGCTGTGACCTTGAAAATGGGATCAAGGTCACCAAAACCGACTGGTGTCTGCGGAGTCTGTATATACACCATAGTTCCAAATATGAAGACAATCCAGTGTTTAGTTCTTGAGATATCGCGGCAACAAACAGGTGGGACGTACGGACGGACGTACGGACAGACGGACGGACGGACGGACGGACAGACGGACGGACGGACGGACGGTCGTGAATACTATATCCCCTGCTTCGCGCTTTCGCGCGGCGGGGGATAATTAAGAGCTAATTTACTTTCAGAGTCAAGCCTATATTTAGAACTGTTATAGACATCTAAAACATTATTTCATTTTTTTCTAAAATCTCAATATGCTTACTCATTTTGGGAAAACCCAATAGAGTGATGAATAGATGAGTGAAAAGATATCGGTTACCCAATGAAAAATGTAATAACCTAATTTAGATAAAAACCTTGAGTTAAAACTCCATTGCTCAAAAAGTTATCTGGACCTCTGGTACTGCTGTCTCTGCTGCAGCCATCAGCAGGCTTCCCCTTCCTCATGGACATACTAGCCTGGTTATTGTGTTGTTTACATGCCTATTACAAGCATAAACAACAAGACAAAAGGTGAACAGGGCTCACGAATTCCCCAAGATCAAACTTTGCACTTCATCTCTCCTATAAATATAGAAACAGTATCCCTACCTGGTAAAGAATCAATGAAGAAGTCTTCAAGTTAAAGGTCACACAAAGGTTGCAGTAAAAAAATATTCTATGTTAAGAACATACAAAATATCATATTTTTTCAGAAAAGTTTGCACTGCCCCTCTCCTATTAGTATAGAAACTGTACCCCCAATTGGAAAAGAATCCATGAAACAGTTTTTAAGTTATAGGTCGCACAAATGTTGAAGTAAAACATTTTTTATAAGTTCACAAAATGAAAAAACATCATATTTTTTTCACAAAATAAACACATCAAAATCAATTTTGCACTACAACTCTTCTATTAGTATGGAAACTGTTCCCCAAATTTGAAAGAATCCATGCAGTAGTTTTCAAGTTATAGGTCGCATATGAATACAATAATAAAAAAAAGCTGTAGTTTTTCAGAAACACATCTCCAAAGGAATAAAAGGTGTTCACCAAGTTTGAAAAGAATCTTTGAAGTAGTTTTAAAGTTATAGGTCACACAAAAAAATCCCCTCAGAAGGACAGAAAGATGGACGGAATTCCTTAGCATAACTATATGCCCCTGCCTGTTTAGGTTAAGGGTGACATAATCATCCACAACTGTGATGCATAGGCCATAGGACCCATCTTCTCATGTCATGAGTGATTCAAGGTCAGAACAGGACCCCAGCAACGTATCCTGGTTCCAATGAGGCCATGTCATTGATCGTGGTCAGACCTGGTTGACTGCATGTCATTGTACCTTGACGACGTGGGGTAGTCCTCAAAACACTCATCACTAGTTTGTTTGGTTAGACAAGATTATTTACAGGCCACTATCATATAGATGGAATATTGCTCAGTGTGGCATTAAACAGCAAACAAGCAAATAAAACAACGACCACACAAACAAACGGACTTACTAGCGCCAGTTGCTGCTGCAGAAGTTTCACCATCTCCTTGTGGCCAATCATTGCAATTCTCATGTAGTACGTTCCCATACTGAAACAACAAAAAAGCCAAGTCTTGATTCTTCTGGACAGTAGCTGCTTGATCAGTGCAGGTAGTCAGACTTTCCCTCATGTTTGTATCTGTTCCAAGTTTTAAAAAAACCCACATAGATCTGAAGTGGATGAAGCCCCTCTCACTCACCATAGTAAGACCACCAGTCCAGCAATGAAGCATCTCTCACTCACCACAGTAAGACCACGGCTCCAGCAATGAAGCATCTCTCACTCAACACAGTAAGACCACGGCTCCAGCAATGAAGCCTCTCTCACTCACCACAGTAAGACCACCAGTCCAGCAATTAAGCATCTCTCACTCACCACAGTAAGACCACGGCTCCAGCAATGAAGCCTCTCTCACTCACCACAGTAAGACCACCAGTCCAGCAATGAAGCATCTCTCACTCACCACAGTAAGACCACCAGTCTAGCAATGAAGCCTCTCTCACTCACCACAGTAAGACAACCAGTCCAGCAATGAAGCATCTCTCACTCACCACAGTAAGACTACAAGTCCAGCAATGAAGCCCCTCTCACTCACCACAGTAAGACCAGGGCTCCAGCAATGAAGCATCTCTCACTAACCACAGTAAGACCACGGCTCCAGCAATGAAGCATCTCTCACTCACCACAGTAAGACCACCAGTCCAGCAATAAAGCATCTCTCACTCACCACAGTAAGACCACCATTCCAGCAATGAAGCATCTCTCACTCACCACAGTAAGACCACCAGTCCAGCAATGAAGCATCTCTCACTCACCACAGTAAGACTACCAGTCCAGCAATGAAGCCTCTCTCACTCACCACAGTAAGACCACCAGTCCAGCAATGAAGCCCCTCTCACTCACCACAGTAAGACCACCAGTCCAGCAATGAAGCATCGCTCACTCACCACAGTAAGACCACCAGTCCAGCAATGAAGCCCCTCTCACTCACCACAGTAAGACCACGGCTCCAGCAATGCAGCCCGGAGACGAGATGAAGTGGATGACCTCGTGCAGCCAGGCGTGTTCCTCCTTCCAGGAGTCGACCAGCTCAATGACGACCTCGTACGTGGTGTTCTTGCCCTGGTAGGGACCACAATTCTGACTTGGCTTGATACTGATGGACACAAACAAATTGTAAACCATTAAATATTAACTCATTTCTCACAGTAATATTTTAGTTTGATCTTGTTGTATCACCAAACGTTTGCCCACTCTGTATCTCACCCATATTTAACTGAAGGATGGCCATGGTCTAAATTCACTGATCAACCGGTCTCCAGTATGTTCAATATGAGATCCACTCATCAACCAGGACTTACAATATGATCCACTAGTCTCCAGGACTTACAATATGATCCACCAGTTTCCAGGACTTACAATATGATCCACTTGTCTCCAGGACTTACAATGTGATCCACTAGTCTCCCGGACTTACAATATGATCCACTAGTCTCCAGGACTTACAATATGATCCACCAGTCTCCAGGACTTACAATATGATCCACCAGTCTCCCGGACTTACAATATGATCCACTAGTCTCAAGGACTTATAATATGATCCACTTGTCTCCAGGACTTATAATATGATCCACTTGTCTCCAGAACCTACAATATGATCCACTAGTCTCCAGGACTTACAATATGACCCACCAGTCTCCAGGACTTACAATATGATCCACTAGTTTCCAGGACTTACAATATGACCCACCAGTCTCCAGGACTTACAATATGACCAACTAGTCTCCAGGACTTACAATATGACCCACTACTCTCCAGGACTTACAATTTGATCCACTAGTCTCCAGGACTTACAATATGACCCACTTGTCTCCAGGACTTACAATATGACCAACTAGTATCCAGGACTTACAATATGATCCACCAGTTTCCAGGACTTAGAATATGATCCACTAGTCTCCAGGACTTACAATATGATCCACTAGTCTCCAGGACTTAGAATATGATCCACTAGTCTCCAGGACTTACAATATGATCCACCAGTCTCCAGGACTTACAATATGACCCACTAGTCTCCAGGACTTACAATATGACCCACCAGTCTCCAGGACTTACAATATGACCCACTAGTCTCCAGGACTTACAATATGACCCACTAGTATCCAGGACTTAGAATATGATCCACTAGTCTCCAGGACTTACAATATGATCCACCAGTCTCCAGGACTTACAATATGACCCACTAATTTCCAGGACTTACAATATGATCCACCAGTCTCCAGGACAAACAATATGATCCACCAGTCTCCAGGACTTACAATATGACCCACCAGTCTCCAGGACAAACAATATGATCCACCAGTCTCCAGGACTTACAATATGATCCACCAGTCTCCAGGACAAACAATATGATCCACCAATCTCCAGGACTTACAATATGATCCACCAATCTCCAGGACTTACAATATGATCCCACAGGCCACTGCTGTGGTTGTGAGGAGGAAGAAACAGAAGAGGAAGCCGAGGAAGATGGTGTGTGATCGCGCCGCCCGCCACGGACGCATTGAAGGCTGACAGTTCTGTAAAACACTGACCTGAAACACACACCAGAAAACTTACATAGTCTCCACAATGAACAAAGTTATCCACTTTCAACAACACAAGTTCCTAAATTGCCTGTTCTATAAATGCTGACATTATCCACTGGGATAAAGAAATTAGAGACATAACTTTTAGTAACTCTCACCAAACATATAATTTCTGGTTTAGTAACGATTTTCATGAAAATATGTTCATCACTTCTTTCACTTCGTCTGTCTGAAGTGTGTCAAACATACAGGTACAAGAGCAATCTCTTGAAAACATTCTGACACTTTATGATGATAAAAACATGTTTACCAACACCATGTATCCTTACTATCAAACTATAAGGAATGATACCTACCCTTTTCACATAGAAAATGATCCACAACTTTATGATCACAATGCACGAGAGCAAAGGACTGTAAAATGTTCCCAGCCTGAAAAAGAATTATGAAACATTAACGAAACTCACTCGGAACATGTGATTTGTGTGTTAAAAAGATGTGGGTGATGATGCACAACGGAGCACAATACTGCAGCAGCACACAGGTGAGCTACAGCGGCAAATAAAGATTACCAGATTCACCATACTTAGTTGGGGTGAAACAATACATCGGTATGTATTTTTCTGTATCGATATAAGACGATACACTTGCTAAAATAAATTACTTACTACTTGTGATGACCTCCGCTTTTTTGTCAGTCAAATATCACAAATGTGTTGTTATTAGCGTTTCAAGTTCACTACTAAAAATAGACGCTTCAAACATGTGTCTACAGCTAGCTTTTCTTATTGAACCTGCTCTGAAATATTTAAAGTAACAAACTTTCCACCCAATTTGACGTAAATATGCGTATCAGGATATGTATTGTATCGCAGCTATGTATCATGATATGTTTCGTTTCGCAACCTTGCTGTATCGATTCACCCCCAATACTAGGTGCTCCGCTCTTGTAAGAGCCCCAGAACATCATCTAGACCAATCTGTAAGTAATGTTAATACGTGTCCCTGTATCAGACCAAACATTTACATGACAGACTGTGTTTTCTTGTGTATATTACACATCTCTTACAGAAATCAGCAGCACAGAAGGAATAAATAGCTGAAAAGTGACTATTATCAAAAAGGTTTGAGTTTGAACGACGTCTGATCTCTGAAAACAATTTTTACTTGCTGTGAATGGTCTTGATAAGTGACCCCCTTTATCAATCTTCAATTATCAACTTATCAATGGTCTGGGGCACTTATTACAGTGGATACGGTACATTACTATGCCACATTACTGGTAGGGGTGCATGTTATTACAAGTAAAAGATTTGAAATATGTGAAATAAAACAACCCAGTTACTTATCATGCAAACAAATGGTCACTTCTGCACATGACATACCTTAATATGATCCCTCATCATCATTACAGCAAATTGTGAGTTTAAACCATCTAACATCATCATGTATGATATTTCATACGTAAAGTTAATTTTTACATAATTAGCACACAGTATAGTTCTCACCAACACAATGCCTGTGAGTATATAAGGTCCAGCGTGTCACGGCCGATACCAAACTCTGCTCTGGTAACTCTCTTGAAGCAGAACTGGGATATTATCCTGTGAATTAGAAATTGGGCACGTAATGAACCTGACACACAAGTACAGCCTGAGGTCATTGAGGTCAGGAAATACGAGCTGTGGCAAAGCATCGAGGGAGGAAGATTGTATGATGCTTTGGAAAATATCACAACGGGGGGACATCAGAATGGGCTTTACACACTTTACTCCATGTGCAGAATAAAACTCGGGCTTTCGATGTGACAAGCGATTGCATTAACCACTAGGCTACCCTACCTCCCCAGTGTACAAGACTATGTCCAGAAGAGCTGCTGAATGTAAGTTAATGTTACCAAGATACACAGAGCACCACCATCTGCCTCAACCTAGTGTTATTGTAAGGCCAAGCTGAGTATATAATCATTTTTTCATTTGAAGTTTTCACGATATACAGCTTTCCCATTTGAAGAGAGGCTGATCACATGACCACGAAACTGATGTTCATAAGAATGACACAATTTGACGATCATCTGTATATCACGAGACTGTATTCTTGAAATGACGTAAACATTGACAGACTACTTCCACATTTCTGGGGAAAACCCTGGGAATTCCCTTGCATGAATACATACAAAAGCATTCTTTCTTATCAAATAGATCCCCTAATCTTGAACTCAGCGTTTAAGCATACATTAAGAAAAGTCAGAGAGTTTGACTGCATGATCGTTCATGAATATCCTCGCTATGACCTATCCTAGTGAACAAAATGTAAAAATGCACATCCACTTTTGTAGTATCGACTCCCATCTATTTGTCACACCTTCCACTGATCAGCCAACTGATCCATGATGTGTAACACTTGTAACCGCCACAGCTTCATTAACAATTTCTAAAATCTCTCCCCTCACGTTTATCATAGAGTGAGGGCCTAACATTGAATGAATGATGTCGCAAGCTCCAACGTTCATACAGTTTGACCCTCACCTCTATGAATGTTCACACTCCACACACAAAGTGAAAGACAATTCTGACTGAACTGCTGACAGTTTGTTTCCTCTTACCTTCTAATGAACTCAAAGAAGAAGGTATACAGGAGGGTGAAGATGAAATCCACGATGACAAGACGATATATCTCCTGGCCTACAAACGACTCCCAGCACTGAAAATGTACAAGAAATATTATATAATTATTTGATACAATGTTTATAAAACTATTCTTAACCAGCATAGACAGTGAGTGAGTGAGTGAGTATGGTTTTACACCACTTTTAGCAATATTCCAGCAATTCCAGCGGGGGGCACCAGAAAGGGGCTTCACACATTGTTGTACCCATGTCGGGGATCAAACCCAGGTCTTCGGTGTGACGAGCGAAATGCTTTAACCACTCGGCTACCCGACGTCCCCACCAGTATAGAGAATACAGTTTAGTTCACATTGTTTCTATATCTGGTGACAACATAAATATCTTGGAAAAAATATTTTTACTTTTGCCAAATACGATTGCCATAGATGTAAGTGACATTGATACATCATGGCTTAGAGCAGACACATCATCATGATAATAGACATATAGCGGGACACAACTCAGTAACCCTGTGCAGTAGACTTACATCCTTCTCTTGGGCGGTCTTAAACCAGAAATATACCAGGACTGCCAAGTTGGTCGCTCGCAATGTCATTGTCCTGAGGACACAAAGAAGTGTATTAGATTAAGTGGTGATTATTTTTTTTATTTGAGGCCACTAATATACTCATACATTCATACACTAATACACTAATTCATTCATACACATTCATACATACAAACACAAATACACTAATACATTCAAGCAAGTAGTTCTGTCATTTTTATTTACAACAAAACGAAGACCTGACAGAGTACCCATGTCATCAAGTACAGTCCTTTTTTGTTTCCTTTTCCTTTTTGTTTGTTGTTTGATGCCCCACTTAGTAATATTCCAAAATACATGACAGTGACAATCTGTGTTTGATATTATGAGCAACTATCCACGTTGCTGTGACATGCTATCAACCAAGTCAAAGAGAGTTTGCTGTGTCAAGACGTCTCTACTTTTTGGTGTTAAATTTCACATGGGCAAGCTTCCATACATAATCCTGTTTATTTCAACAGGAAATCAACTCTCTCAACTTCAGCATTCAAGTTCATCTGCTTGTGTCTCAAGAACCATAATTACATCTTCAGTAAGCAAATCTAGCTCGACCTTCATCAAGTTAGTTATAGCTAGTACTGTTTAAATTCATATCCTATATGTTTGAACACACCCCTTGCGGGCTGCGATTCACTACCAACCTGAGCATATGGATGTACAGCTCGTTTTTGGGCTTCTCGTATTTCTCCAGATATCCCACGAGTGAGAAGACGGTCGGCGTGATCATGTTCAGCGATGTAATAACCAGGGGCAGGGCCAGCTCACTCAACACAGGAATCTTGTTCTGAAATATACAGCATACATCCATGAACAGGACACAGGGTCTAGCAGGTGAGGTGAAATGGGGTTTAATGTCACATCCAATATTATTGCACTTATATAGGGACATGCATGCACATGTGTGTGTATGTGGCTGCTTATACTAGTCTGGACTGATGCCGATTTATAGTGCTAGGCCACTGAGATACCATACCACGGTTTTTAACCAGATAAAAATATGTATGTATGTATTCTTTTCTGATATTTGCATACAATGGACAGACTAGCAAAAAATGGTATTCATCTTCTATCTCTTGGCAATTACAATTTTTACACAATCTGTTTTCCCTTGGTTTCGCTAAATGTCTACCTTTTTCTATTAGAAGGTCATGAGAACTACATCTGAAACGATTTAACATGAATACCCCACTCAGACACAGTATACTGACTCCGAGCCAACCAATCCTTGTTACATCCCCTTAATGCCGAGCGTCAGACAGGGTAACAATAAGTACCATCTTTTAACATCTATCTCAGGGCGGAAGCTCTACCACTAGACCACGGAGGAGGGCCACAGGTTCTAGGAGGTGCTTACATGCAGCCACAGTGGGGGACTGAATTGGACTTAACGCCATTTTGAAACGTATTGCAGTAATACCATGGGGAGTCAGCTTATTGTGGGAGGAGAAAAGAGCTGTAGGTCTTTGCTGAAACCTGGGCACATGGGTCCAGTGCTGACAGTGAAAGGATTCTATTGGCTGGAATTAGAACCTATGACCAGCAGATCCTGAAATGACCACAAGGGACACAATCCTGTACAGCCATTCGCAGAAAGTCACATTAATCATCTATCTAACGGTTTTCAAGAGGGATCTTTTACTAAATCAGTGAGGCCAGGTTCTCAGTAAGTCCAAGCACTAAACACTCCTTCTCAGGTAGAGGGTGAACATGTTGAAGAGATGGGGAAAAGGATAGGGTTCTAATCTAAATCAAGACATCTGAGAGTGTCTGTGGTACAATCTGATCTACCTTTAGTAGTTTTATACAAGAGATTTGTTGCCGAAAGACATTAAAAGGTGAGTGAGTGAGTTGGGTTTAACGCCACTTTTAACAGTATTCCAGTTATATCGCGGCATGTCAGCTTAATGTTGGAGGACACGGGTATGGTGCTGACAAACCTAGAAACATAATCGGGGCAAACCGGGATTCAAACCCAAAATCATAGGTTTCTGGCATGCCCAAGGGATGCAACTCTGCACAGCGAATAGCGGGGCCTTAGACAACTGGGCCACCCATGCCCCTCCATCAAAAGGTATTCTGCCATGTTGAATGAGCCATACTAAATCTTTTTATCACAACCCTTGTGATTAGAGTGTTCAAAGCCAATGAAACACATCTAAACAAATGAGACTAAAATGTCAAAAATGTGTGCAGACTCTGTAGAAGAGGCCCAGTATAAGTAGCCTGCCCCTACAACAGACCCATTCCACCCCACCCTGCCCCACCCAAAGGTAGAGTAAAGGGTAAGAGAAACCTACCTTGACAGACTACGAAGAGGAGATCCAGAACATCCACCAGCCTGCCCCTACAAGACACCCACTCCACCCCACCCTTCCACACCAAGCCCCAAGGTAGACTGAGTGTGGAGCAAGGGAAACCCACCTTGACAGACTCCGTAGAGGAGATCCAGTACACCAAGTAGCCCGCCCCACCAAGGAGTCCAATAACGATGAGGTTCAGGGCCACTCGTATCCAGAAGATCTGACATTTCTCCCCGGTGGTCTTCGCCTGCTCTTTCTTCTTCCCTGACAAATATTCCTGCAGAAAGAGGGATTTACATGATATTGTCCATGTAGACTTACGTTTATATGGTAAATAACCAATACAAATACAACCCTTACATTTTAGTTGACCAAAACTCTCACACTCTCAGATTCACCAACAACTCATTGTAGATGCTCTTATACTCTCAGATTCACCAACAACTCATTGTAGATGCTCTTACTCTCTCAGACTCACCAACAACTCATTGTAGATGCTCTTATACTCTCAGATTCACCAACAACTCATTGTAGATGCTCTTACTCTCTCAGACTCACCAACAACTCATTGTAGATGCTCTTATACTCTCAGATTCACCAACAACTCATTGTAGATGCTCTTATACTCTCAGATTCACCAACAACTCATTGTAGATGCTCTTACACTCTCAGACTCACCAACAACTCATTGTAGATGCTCTTATACTTTCAGACTCACCAACAACTCATTGTAGATGCTCTTATACTCTCAGACTCACCAACAACTCATTGTAGATGCTCTTATACTTTCAGACTCACCAACAACTCATTGTAGATGCTCTTATACTTTCAGACTCACCAACAACTCACTGTAGATGCTCTTACACTCTCAGACTCACCAACAACTCATTGTAGATGCTCTTATACTCTCAGATTCACCAACAACTCATTGTAGATGCTCTTATACTTTCAGACTCACCAACAACTCATTGTAGATGCTCTTATACTCTCAGACTCACCAACAACTCATTGTAGATGCTCTTACACTCTCAGACTCACCAACAACTCATTGTAGATGCTCTTATACTTTCAGACTCACCAACAACTCATTGTAGATGCTCTTACACTCTCAGACTCACCAACAACTCATTGTAGATGCTCTTACTCTCTCAGACTCACCAACAACTAATTATAATGCTCTTACACTCTCAGACTCACCAACAACTAATTGTAGATGCTCTTATACTCTCAGACTCACCAACAACTCATTGTAGATGCTCTTATACTCTGAGACTCACCAACAACTCATTGTAGATGCTCTTACACTCTCAGACTCACCAACAACTCATTGTAGATGCTCTTACACTCTCAGACTCACCAACAACTCATTGTAGATGCTCTTATACTCTCAGACTCACCAACAACTCATTGTAGATGCTCTTATACTTTCAGACTCTCAAACAACTCATTGAAGATGCTCTTATACTCTCAGACTCACCAACAACTTACTGTAGGTGCTCTTATACTCTCAGACTCACAAACAACTTATTGTAGATGCTCTTATACTCTCAGACTCACCAACAACTCATTGTAGATGCTCTTACACTCTCAGACTCACCAACAACTCATTGTAGATGCTCTTATACTCTCAGACTCACCAACAACTCATTGTAGATGCTCTTATACTTTCAGACTCACCAACAACTTATTGTAGATGCTCTTATACTCTCAGACTCACCAACAACTCATTGTAGACACTCTTATGCTTGAGTCTAGCAGCTTCCTTGGATGTCACACCATAATCCCATCCACAAAACACTTTGCTGACAAAGAAGAAGTTGAACTCGGAGCTGCCCTCGATGTAGTACTTCCTGTAGGACTGTAATATGCTGCCACACAAACACAACAGAGGCGTGAGGTCAAGTAACCATGGCAACATATTGAATGTAAGTTTATTTACATGTGTAAGGCTCCCATGTTCTGCTGTCAACAAAACACAACCATTAGTCTGAGGTCCTGTCTGATTTACTGACAGAGATGTTCCAAGGTAATGTCAATTTGAAAATTACACAGTTGACGAGTTGAGTGAAAGTTAGAAAGTGTGTTCTCACCTCTGAGCCAATATAAGCAAACAAAGTAGGTAGTAGCCTCCACAGGTGAAGACGTAGGCATAGATCATCTTGTACTCCACGCCTGAGAACAGTTGTATAGTGATTCCCTTGTAGAAGCCGTAGTACATCTCCGTGTCATGGAACCAGCCCTGTTGGCATCAGACACACCATACATCATTCGCAAATCAATTCTGAAATCTATGACATAATTATTAACAGATATAAGGGCTTTATATAGACCTGCTCTTATTGATAGTTGTCCCTAAGTCTGGAGCAGATACAACTTCCCAAATTTATGTTGATATGGTGACAGTAAAACCTCGATGGGTCGAACTTTGATGTCTCAACTCACCTTACAGTCCCCGTAAATTCCTTCTATATTCATTTATGCTTAGATCTGTCAAACTGGATGTGTCCAATTTCCAGTTCTCTCAAACTCATTTTGGAGTCCAAGTATCCAAAGTATAAAATTCCACTGATGACTCGACAATTTTAAATATACGATAATGCCCACAAACCCACACTCACCAAAATTTTAACTTTTAAATCATTTCACATACTGCCATTGTGATTGATGCAATTACATCAAGGAACATGCCAACATCCAACAGAGCCAACACGCACACCTTACATCAATTGTGCAGACTGACTACAGTGCACACATCGGCACCAAGTTCCTTAAAGCAGTGTCAAAATACCCTAGAATTGAGGAAAACAAAAACTTTGAAGAAAATAATTATTTTTTCCCTATTTGCCTGTCAAACGTACATATAACAAATGTTATATTTGGGATAACACGTTCTTAGTAAAGTACAGATTCTAGTACTTTTTGGGGGTTGCGTCCCGTCTGGGAATTCGAAACCCACACTTGCCAGAGTGAGGCAACTAATCGCCAGCACACAAAGTCAGTGATCTAACCCACACAGCCACCGAAGCTTCCACAAAAATGACTGGTTGTCAAGATCACGTACTTGGAGTACCCCTCTGACAAGTGTAAATTGGGACTCAACCCTAAAAAAAGTACGAGAATCTGTACTTTACTAAGAAAGTGTTATCCCAAATATAACATTTGTTACATTTGACCACTTTCTAAATGGCATTGTTTATTCAAAACATACATAGTTTAGAATCCTAGACAACTACCTCTACTGAAAGAATACAAGTGTCATTCATTCCAACATCCCAGTGGAGCATGGTCTTACCGCTCCTGTCAGGAGTTCTTCCCCGGTGAAGGACGTGCCATTCCGCTCCGGGTAGACGTTTGCTATTGGTCTCAGCTGTGGGGTGGCAGTCTGCGGAAGGTACCAGCGCTGCAGCACCACCGGCAGCACCACAAAGCCGAACGTCAGGAGGAAGATTGGGAGGTTGATGAAGAAGAGCCATTTCAGGAAGAGGAAGTAAGATGTCACACCCGTGCCGAAATGTCCCTCGATCTTCTTGAGGTGTGAGCGCCAGAGCTCCAGCGAGTACATCACCTCGGCAAGCTGGTACTTGAAGTGCTGCCACCCCTGAAGGAAAACAAACAGTACATGTGTAAATATACTCACCGCCAACAGAAACACGAACCACAGAAACATATAGAGAAGAATGTACGTTAAGAAGACATGTTTTCAATGTGTACCAATTCATGACAAAACTAACAATCGGTCAAGTGTTATCATAGTGAGTCTTTATTCTTATCACAATATGCTGCACATGATTTCCAAACTTTACACGCAAATTCTGCACGAGACAAACGGTGCATTTCAATTCATGGGTCAATGATGTCACATGTGATGCGTTCTTGAGCATCGGTTCACACAAAATAATAGTATGTTCATTTGTGCATCGAACCTGTCAAGTATGAAGCTGTAGACCAGGATTTGATTCAAGGCTTGATGCATAACTTCCACTTGAACATAACATGTCCCCTATCTCTATACATTTATTGACATTTTTTGGGAAAGAAATCAAAACAATATGCGTAACTTTTACAAAGATGATTTTGGCATGTATGAAGGCGATTTGGAATGATCAAAATACAATCACTACTCTATTGCAGCTTGGGATAAATAGCATATACCGTACTAGTCAAGAAATAGAATGTGTCCAGGCCTCATCTGTTGCCTATCAATGTTGGTTAGGGTTGGGGTAAGGGTTGGGGGTGGGGTTAGGGTAAGGCCCCAAATTGTCCCAGCTCAAAAGGCTGAAGCATGGTCACAGTCACTGTAAGAGTTATTCCCCTTCATTTCTGACATCACTGATGGGCCAACAGTGGCCCAGTCGTCTAAGGTGCCGCAATTCGCTGTGCAGAGTTGGGTCCCTTAAGCATGCCAGAAACCTATGATTGTGAGTTCAAATCCCTGTTCTCCCCAACATGTTTCTAGGTTTGTCAGCACCATACCCGTGCTCGTAGGTTTCACCAAAGTGGTAAACGTCTGTGAGCTGCATCACTTAGGCTTTCATCCCACATCAAGCTGACACGCCATGATATAACTGTAATACTGTTCAAAGCGGTGGTAAACCCAACTCACACACTCACTCACTCTGACATCATTGAGGTGGATGTGGGATGTAACGATTCCTCAAACAGTTGCAGCATGAAATGTATGTAGCACCATTCAGCAGATGTGTCACCATGCAGCACAATGCAGCATATGTAGCACAATGTCGCATATGTAGCACAATGCAGCATATGTAGCAAAGGCAGCATATGTAGCACAATGCAGCATATGTAGCACAATGCAGCACAATGCAGCATTTGTAGCGCAATGCAGCATATGTAGCGCAATGCAGCATATGTAGCAAATGCAGCAAATGCAGCATATGTAGCACAATGCAGCATATGTAGCACAATGCAGCATATGTAGCACAATGCAGCATATGTAGCACAATAAAGCATATGCAGCACAATGCAGCATTTGTAGCACAATGCAGCATTTGTAGCACAATGCAGCATATGTAGCACAAGCAGCATATGTAGCGCAATGCAGCATATGTAGCACCATGCAGCATTTGTAGCACAATGCAGCATATGTAGCACCATGCAGCATATGTAGCACAATGCAGCATTTGTAGCACAATGCAGCATATGTATTCCTGAGGCAGCAAAGTGACAGAAACACAAAGTTAGGCTGTCATTGTGATACGGAAGATGAGACGAGGTCTGGGAGATCAATGGCCCCTGGCATTGTAGAACGTCCCAAAACTTTGACGATATTTCTGGCCAGTGATGGAGATTATTCCAACATTATTAATACAAATACCTCAGTAGCCTGGATTCACTTAGTCTGACCACTGAGAAACTGTGCCTGCCCCTACCAAGGGGGGTGGTTCACGCGGCAACGTACAACACTATCTCTTGTCTAATAAATCATAGGAAGCATCTTTGATCTTGCTTCCTTCCATGATGGAATATGATACTGATATGCTCGGTTTCGAAAAGAAGAGCGTTGGGTGCAGTGCTAATAAACCTACAAAGAATTCTGATACGTAAAACTGAGACAAAAAACTCACCATTCCAATTGAATATTTCAGCTGAGTACATCGTCCTGGCCGCTTCTTGGCTTTCTTTGAACTGAGGCGCCTCCTGCAAACACAGACATGCCATTCAATAGATACAAACCATCCCACAGGGAACCTGTACCCCCAGCTTGGCCCATGTCATGGCGCTGTCAAGTGCACAGCTGGCTGAGAGTGGTGGAAGAATTATTTGAAGCAGTCATAAAATCTAAATTTAATACTGCCCAATACCACATTACAAAGTAAACTATATAATCATACTATCACACCTCAATTATCATGATTATAATGCCGCCCTGCTATTAGCAATATTCCACAATATTACCATGATCACAAACCAAAAGGAAATCCATGATTAAGCCTCAATATCCACCCATGCTAATATTTGAACCCAGTTCTTCTGCAAGGACCACAAACACATCAACCACTTGACTACCCCATTGCACTACTACATCTTGTGTGAACATCGGTGACACAGTACCTAATCTCCCTCTTGCCAGCCAACGTTGTTGTGGTCATCCCCCGGATCATCCCCTCCAACTCCTCCCCATGTTCAAACTCCTCCCCGTCACTCAGAGTTCGACTGATCTGCTCCAGGGCGTTCCCCCCGCCAAGTCTCACCGTGCCGTGGTAAGACTTGTTTCTGCGATGACGTAGTGTGTGCTTGGCATTGGACACCTTATTCTCTGTTGTGGAATACAAAGGAGTAACAAGCATTATGACAAGCTGCTGCATACCAAATCTAAGCAGGACTTTTCATGTCCAGGCCACTGAGTGAGTGAGTGAGTAAGGTTTTACGCCGCTTTTAGCAATATTCCAGCAATATCACGGCGGGGGACACCAGAAATAGGCTTCACACATTGTACCCATGTCGGGAATCGAACCCGGGTCTTCGGCGTGGCAAGCGAACGCTTTAACCACTAGGCTACCCGACAGCCCCCCAGGCCACTGAGTCAGGTTTACAGTTAAATCAGCACTACCTATTGTATGCATCCTAGACAATATCTTAAGCATTCATCGGGGCAAATGGCCTTGCTCCAAGGCTGTACTGAAAGATAAGTCCATGGATGTGTAGTAATTCTATCCTCCTAATAGGCAAGTCTCTTACAGGGACATCTTGTTTTTATGATTTACATAATCTAGAAATTATGATTTAAACTAAAAATTATTGCCTTGAAGACTTGTGCAAGTTTACAGGCCAAATAATGTCTGACAATGTTTATACCAGGCTCTAACCATGGTAACCAAGTTAGTCACTAAAATTGTGTCAATGCCATACATCATAAAACTTAATGCAGTCTGTGATGTTTCAAATGAGAAAAAACACAAACAGTGACAATCATCTAGTCTGCAGCCACATTGACATTCAATCCTCATTTATGTCATCTACTACAATAAACACACAATATATACTGGTTCAATGTTAATGTATCAATGCTGTTCAGCCTCTCAAGAATAAAATATATCCACAGGATTAACGTGTACAAAACTCATAGGAATGTCCCAACCCTACAATATGTGAAATTATAGCTTTGTCTAAAATACCTGTGAGCTATGTTAAATATTCATCAGTGATAAGCAATGCAAGCTCCACAACTCAAGAATCACCAGACATCTGTCAATGTCAAAAGAATCACTTCATTCAACAACTGACTCTGTACCTAACTGCCTGCTGGGCAAGCACTCCAGTAGTTCCGCAGTGTCCTGGTAGTCATGGCGCCGTGCGGAGCCTTGGGCCTGGTCGTAGAACCCCTCGGAACGTGGGCGGCGGTTAGAGGGGCGGGGGTCAGCAGGCTGGTTGTCCCCAAACTGGTTCCATCTGCTGTCTCTGTGCTCCATCTGACCATCATTGGCATCTGTGCACAGACAAACAAAGCATCAACAGGCTTCAGTTGTCCCCATCTACTGCTGTGCTTATAATATATATCCCTCGAAAGACTTTTGACGTTATGTCCCTATATATGTATAGGAGTGTGTGTATTTTGTATCATGGCAAATAATATCTCGGCCATGGAACACTAGCTCTGTGGCGATTATGGGTTAGAATAGGTCCCTAGATTCACTTGAAAGGAGCCAAGCAGATCGGGTGGTTAGGTTCGGGGCTTAAGTTTATTGCATGTCTACACAGAGGGCATAGGGCGGAGCTCGTAGTGTCAATCACTGATTTGTCTGGTACAGAATATTTGCTGGAATAGTGCTTAATGCAGAGTGAGTGAGTGAGAGAGAGTGAGTATTGAGTGACACCAGATATCGGGGAATCAAACCCAGGCCATCAGCGTGATGAGAGAACACTTTAACCACTTGACTATCTACAGCCCGAGTTGAGTTGAACAGCAATCATAACAAGAAGAAAACACTGTGCCCACAATCTGCCTCCCTTACAAAGTGATTCATGACTACACACAACACGATAACCAAGATAACAAAACTATTACTAAAGAAGAGAAAAAGGTTAACACTTTTAATACAGGCCAGTTGACTACAAACAAGGTGAGAATATTTTCAATCACACTCTGGGAAGATTGATACTACTGAGGACTAGCGATGGACCTTGGTTTGAGCTGCAGTCTGTGATCTTATTGATTCTGATGCTATGACACACAACTGTTGCTTGGTGCACTGTAACATGAGCATGAGTAGACGGAACCACCAGTTTACAACCCAGTATGCTGTCAAAGCTGAAATATGTTAATTGATGTTTCATATAAACAGGATATTGTACCCTTGTAAGGGAATTGATCCCAGTCTTCAGAGTGACAAATGAACCAATGGCTACCCCCATTATCATGATTGTCATAATTATAGCGAAATGTGTTCATGACAGTCGTCGTGGACCAAAATGAAGGTCCAGGTAACTTATCTTAATAGAATGGAGACTTACTTCCCTGGATGACGAGTATGATTACCATGATGTGTTGTCTGAGCTGTGTGTGACAATGACTATCAAATGCATGGAATATGGCATGATGTTATAAAAGCTGAATGTCCTAGCATTGTAAGACAATGCATTACATATTGTCAACAAAACAGGTATTATTTAATTGTCTGCACAATTCTCTTTTCACAGTTACTTGAACAGATGCAAGCAAGCTTGATGTCACTCTTCAAAATTCAGAACATGTCTGGGCTTCAAATCCAACTTTAGACTGTTTTTGAAACATATAATTGGTTAACGATTTTTCTCTCGAACTATCTCCAACCATAGAGAGTGAACATAGTGAAAGTGGGCAACATGAACTGACAAGGTTGGCACTGCGTGGTCAACAGTGTGAATAACAACCCACAACGCCAGGGTACGATGACACACTAATTCAGACAGGTTATCATGGCTACAGTGAAGCAGTTTGACTGCCCAATCCCCATGTGGCTGTCGGTAGTCTCTTAGTCCTATATCATGTCTACACATTCTACTCTCATACAGATTATGATGTGAAAATGTCAGACAAATAACTTGTAACCATGGTAACTTGATAACATAACAGTTCAAATTAATGAGACTCACATGTTTCCATGGGGATGTCGTAGGGGCCTGCATACCCATTTTGGTCATATTGGCTCCCCTGGCCACCACGAGGGTCCATGTTCTCCACGTAATAGGCTGTCTGACGATCCATAGTCAAGGTTTTGTTCCAACGATGCCTCACTTCTACAATGTCTTCATGGTCAGTGTCTGATCTGAGAGGATGTCAACACTACCACGTCCAGCACCTGCAACCAGACAACAACCTGCACAGCGTCTCATCTTGTCACCAGTACTGCATCTAGCAAGGTGAAACAACACACCCAAACTCTGATGCACCGTGATATGCAGTCTTAGATATGATACATGAAACATACAGCTCTGTATAGTGATACAAAATACAGTAGAACACGGATATAACGAACACGGATATAGCGAACAAACGGATACAACGAACTGTTAAAAAATCGCGATTTATCTCCTATATAATATCATATAAAATTTACGTATATAACGAACTCTCTATAGCGAACTAACAGATACAGCGAACTGATACCTGATCACCGACAAGCCCATTTATCACTTATTAGCGACGTGTATAGCGAACTGAGAAATCTCACTCAGTGTTAAGTGTCACTGACAATTGGCTGTATGCAATCAGCGGCGAATCAAAACAATGGCCGCGTATCAATACAATCAGTGGTGACGGATCAACTTTGTTAAATTTGCATTGTGTTAATCTTACCTGTACATGTAATCTTGTCTGTAAAACAAACAGTTTTTGACAGTTTGGCGGATCTGAACGATGCCGTTTCAAGAATGCAGTCAGCGAAACGAGGCCAAAGTAAAATCACAGACTACACATTTCGTATGTAAATCGAAAAATGATAAATATGTTTAAATTTTGTACATGTATTTGATTACAATCTTCAGAAAATGTTATGAATTTAATGTTACTAAATGAATGTTGTAAATTGATATCAGTTGAATGATCACTGCTAATACAAATCAATGCTGCAGTTACGTGTGTATTGTGTTTTGTCTTATCCAAGATGGGGGACGTTTCCGAGCGAAAACGTGTATAACAAGCAACGGATATAACGAACTGATTTCTCTAGTCCCTAGTAGTTCGTTATATCCGTGTTCAACTGTACCTATTTTCTGCTATTGTAGAATAATCCTCTTGTTGTACTGGTTGTGTGCTGTGCACAAACTTGAGACACTAGAAAGGATTGAAAAGGTCTCATCAGTTGCTCTTACAAGTGATGACTGCAGTGACCCTCATGAATGTGACTTTATTTTGTTCTTTAAAGCAAAAATACACTTCTTTATTCATAAACTTTGTATACCTATTTCTGGCATATTGATATACATATCATGTTGTGACCAGTATATTGAGATACGTATCATATGGGGTATCACATCTGTATCCCAGCAACCCTAGCATCTAGGTGTATTACTACTCTCCACAACAAAGAATACTTAAACTTCAATTTCTGCTAACAATGTCTTCATTCCCATGAATGGTAAGATTGATTAAAGAAGTGATATCAGACAACATTCCTCCAATCAGACACTACCTTGGTATATAGTTTCTGTGGATGCCATTGGTGCTAATATTGAAGGACACATACCATCATTAATCTTTGTGACTAACAGTATTGGGTGATCAGACTCGCTGACTTGGTTGATGCATGCCATTGTATCCCAAATGCATAGATCGATGCTCATGATAGCAGTCACTGGGTTGTCTGATCCAGACTTGATTATTTACCGACCGCCGGGATATAATTGGAATAATGTTGAGTGCAGAGTTAAACAACAAACAAAACACAAGATACAAGTTAAGGAAGGTAATAGTTTTCGTTGTCTCGATAAAGAGAATGTAAATGCAAAGCTACTCCATGGACACAACCTGATCATTAGGAAAACACATTTGTGTGTTTATTTTATAGCATATAACACTTACATGTCATTATGATTAACATTTGCCACTGAAGGCACTCATAAACATTTATGTAACAATATAATTTTATATTGTTCAAGAGTCGAAATATTACTCTGATGAGTCAATAATGTGACAATATGTTAAACATTATGTAGTGGCGACGTAATCACAAAAAATTACGTCATCACAAATAATTACGTCACCAGCGTGTTATAACGAAAATATATCCTGCTGGACCATCCACCAAAATCGGTAACGGAAGTTAGTCATTGTAATGGTGAACATTCTGAACAAACCTATTGGTAATGCAATGAACATACATATTCTAAGAATCATAATATATCCCTAGAAAGTTATTACCGCGACTTTAAATAGCATTCAAAGTCAAAATCGTGACAAGTAAAGGGGAAGGCCGCTTCTCCGTCCGTTTACCGTTCCAATAACGAATTAAACTGTTCATAAATATTTACAGAACATACCAGAATTTCCGAATTTGAAAAGGTCTATAAATGTTCTTATAAAAAGTTGTCGTGAGCAGACACAAAGTTGTAGCGGTATGTGTGGCGACCGTTTCGGTCGATGAGATCGATAGCAGTGTTGACACTGACAGACAGTACTGGTTATTGAAAGTTTCAAGGGAACCTCTCCCACTTCCGTGTTGTTGATCACGACAGCGTTTTACTCCGTTGTCCTCCGATATACGTATCTAACACTTACCGTATATGTAATTACTAACAGCAGACGTGTCACACTTAAACACCTGTACTATTTGGTGTGTGTAGTTTTCTCCCCGAGTAATGCCGAGATCGACGGAGTGTTTGGGATGTTTTGGTATTAAGAGCGAGCTGATTGGTTGATAAAGCATATCCGGGTCAGGTCACTTAAGGAGCGAAAATAACCGGTTTGCAATGTTGTATTAGATCATCCATTCACATGTTTCCTTACGTGTGATGGATCTGCATCGCTGGGTATATTTGTGAATGTTGTGAATTATAAAACACTCACGAAATCCAAAGTAGTGTGACCTTACCTAGTTTGAAATTTTATAATAGATCGTTCATCAGAAACTCAGGTAACAATTGTAAACGGACTAACTGCCAAGCCATCGATCGGGCCAGTGAAAGTAAACGTTATCATAAAGAGTAAATCGATACTGTGTATTCAGTGTCTGGTATATATACAACCTACAACCATGGCATGTCATACGTTGCCATTATCCTGTCAGGGAGTCTATACAAGTCTAATAAAGCCTCCCTGAATCTGGTCACATATAGTATAAGTACATTTGCATGAAGGCCTCGGGACCACGTACAAAACCAGGAACGCACAGCAAGGACGGACACTACGCCATACATGAGTGCCACACTACATAACTAAAAACACACAAGGACCGTGGCAGTTCATCACAACCAATGTTCTTCTTTCATGTGCATGTCCTAAGTAATGCGATAGCTCTTGTAATAAACGTTCATTGTTAGTTCCCCAAACTGACTCTAGTGCATAACATAACATATTTCCAAAAGTTGTCCGGGAGATTATATTTTTTCATAATATAAACAAATAAATAGAAAGCGTGATTTGTCCTCTCTGCCGTAATTGCAAATTGGACATATTCTTAGTGATCTATCAATAGATAAATATCTCCCTCCACTGATTTTCAATTTTATAAAAAAGACGCGCTAAATGTTAGAAAGTTTGTAAACAGATAAGATTGAGAGATATTGTTCTGGATCTAATATACAGTCTCTTAAGTTCTCTATGTGAATAGTAACTTCAATTAAAAAGTGATTGAAAAAGAAAAATATTGATACATGTATCCTTTATTATATGTACAAAAGACTGTTGATTGCCAACCGTTTGAAATGTCTAAACAAATTCAAAACCATGAGAAAAACAGTAATCAACGGATGTTAAAGGCCATGTGTGGCAACCAAACATTATCTGAAAACACTAATATGTTACGAGTACGTGCCTTTTTAGTTAATCTGTCTTCGTGCATATGAAAAAACTTTAAGCCAATATTTTGTCATTCTAATGAGAGAATTTATTTAAATCGGAAAACGGACTATTTCTCCATATAGTATATCCTTTGGGGTTTGTAATCCGACATTAAGAAACGTCTTACAGGCTAGCAGATGGATGTTTTCAGTTCGACATATTGCTGGAATCCCCACACCTCAGAATCGTTTGTAGAATTTGCTGACAGTGTATTTGCGTATAATATGCCGTAGTTGAAAAAATGTCAATTTTACTTAAAGTTATCCTTAATTCAAGGAGTGATCTTTTCTCCTAAATGGCTAGGTCTGGTAAACTACTGCTGAAATTTCCCGAAGAAGTAAAGAGTTAATCAATATATTTGTAGCAGGGTACAACTTCATGAGTTTTCGTTTATAATATCCATTTTCGAAACAGGACCTCCCCGTCTAAATACAACAATTTTCGTTTTATCCAAAATTACCTTTATCGAAATGAGTTCCAAACATATTCAATGGCGTCTGTAATTCATTGGCGCTGTCATTTGGATAATCAAAATAGTGTATTACATTTACCTTTTCTCCTACACAAGATTTAACATATTTGTAAATAATCAATAAAGCGTTCAGCATTGTACTCTTCAGACCATAAGGTTTTAAAAGAAGCCATAATTTTATAACTTATCCCGATTACTAAATCAAAACCTTTCTACAAATTTACAGAAGCCACATAAAGTTTGCATTTCTTTTTGTTTAAACATTCAGTAGCTGAGTCACCCTGTCTGTACCCTGCCTGAGTTTCTGGCGTTCTATCCCTGATGTTTGACCAGAGCGTTAGTCGTTTACATAGTACACTGGTGTAGACTTTCCCTGAGACGCTGAGACGCGAGAGACAATGGTAGTTATCTGGTAAAGTCCGCGTATTTATGAATAGAGTTAATAACTGCTTTCGTCCAATCATCATCAATTATACAATTATATATATGTATGTGTGTTTTTCTGGAGAGAGAGAGAGAGAGAGAGAGAGAGAGAAAGAGAGAGAGAGAGAGAACCATGTTTGCCGCCAATGAGAAGTCAATATTGGAACCAAGCGTTTCATCAGTGAGATGATGTTTCATCAACTGAGCATTTCCATGTAATAATAGCATGCCCTAATCGCTACATTATTACCCCTGTCAATGGATCAGTGTACAAGATAGTTTCTGGATTAAGTCATTCTGTGTAGGATGCTATTTCATCTGACTCTTCTATTTCAGACTTTCAGGTTTGAGTCCTATATGTTCACGTATAAAACCACATCTCTTTCCAAACAATAACACCCATGTCCTTACATTTTACCCGTAGGACAGTTTGTTTCCATTTCTATAGGATGAGGTAAATAACGTGATTCATTCTCACAACATAAATTCAAACTCAATTCAAAAGTAAACAAAAACAATTTATCTTGCCAAAAAAGTTGTTTTTAGACTGTCCGTTCGATTTGTAGCTTAGCTTTTCACTTTGAGATTACTATCTTAAACCTTAAGACCACACCCCAACCTTTACATTTGTACTTACAGCTGTCTTAACATAAGTGGGGGTTTGTGTTGGCGTGGAACCCAGGCCATCAAAGCCATCGGTTACATGGAGTTGTTATTTCAACGTGACCCACATTCTCCTACTGTTGACACCAGTTACTGTCTTTCTTCTGATGCTACTTGCACGCCCGGACACAAATAAATAGATACATGTCTAAATACACCCACTTGTCTCATAGCTAATACAAGCATAGTTCGTGGTGGATATCTTGGATGGAACCAGTTTCCAATATACAATTTGTCCTCCTGTTTCAGTGATATATGGTCCAACGAAAGAAGCAAGAAATAGAGACTTATGATCGTGGTGGTTATGATTATCAAAACTATCGAGAGAGAGACTGACAGACAGACATAGAGAGAGAGAGAGAGAGAGAGAAAGCCAGACAGAGAGAGAGAGAGACTGACAGACAGACATAGAGAGAGAGAGAGAGAAAGCCAGACAGAGAGAGAGAGAGAGAGAGAGAGAGAAAGCCAGACAGAGAGAGAGAGAGAGAGAGAAAGCCAGACACAGAGAGAGAGACACACAGAGAGAGACACACAGAGAGCGGAAGACAGAAAGTGAGAGTTCAGACAAGAGACAGACAGAGAAAGGAAGCGAGAGACAGACAGAGAGTGCAGAAGAGAGGAAAATGAGAGAGGGGGGGGGGGGGGGGGGGGCGAGTGTGTGAGAGAGGATAAGAGAGAGAGAATGTGTGTGTGTGTGTGTGTGTGAGAGAGAGAGAGACAGAGAGGTAGAGAGAGAGTTTGTTTCGATTTCTATAGGGCGAGGTAAATATGTGATTATTGTTCCAGAGGGAGAGGGAGGCAGAGAGCTGTCTGTTACTCACTACTTGATTGCTGTAGAGTACTTTAAACTTCCTGGTTGTGAAATCGACAGCCGCGACCCGCCCGTGTCAATACCTGTCCCCGGAACCCGGGTGCAGCTAATCCCAAGCGTCACGATCGCGACCCTAACTTGGATGCACCCACATACACGCGACCTATAATGTGCACGGTACTAAACATTCGTCACTAATCGTGTCATTCCGGGTCAAGCCGATAAACGATCTTGTTGCAGGTGACGTAAGGGGCGAGTGGTGACGAATGACGAGGCGCCCCAGTTAAGGTGGTGTTCTTATGAATACAGGCATGAGACGATGTCACTCATCTTATACCGAACCTCATAGAGACACGCCGATGTGTCTCCCCTGCTATATCAGCTATAACGCTGATCACCTATAAGACATCACGACCACGAATCTATCTCCTAGCTTGTGCCACGTTGTTTGTTTGTGTACGACGAGTTTACTGGTGTAATGTTACATGTGTCATCTAGGGTTGCGACGGGTACTCGAGTACCCGATAACGGGTCGGGTAGCTAAGGACTCGAGTTCAATTTTCAGGACTCGAGTACCCGTTCAGGGGAGATAGTTATGCAAGCATCATGAATTAAGTCCGTTCTCAGTAGTCTAGATCTTATACTTACCAGGACACACATGGACGATAAGTGAACCCGAAGTCCTGATTATGACTGTTAAAGTTATACCTTATTTGATATATACTATCAAGCCCCCCTCACTATATAAAAACAAAACACCACCACCACCACTACTACTACTACTACTACTACTACAACTACTGCGATCGATACCATTACAGACCCGAGGGAATTCCGGGTAAGAATCTAGGACCCCAGTAGAACATGCTTGTTGTAAGGGAGGATTGACTAGATCGGGTGGTCAGGCTCACTGACCTGGTTGACTCGGCGTTATTTTATCCCACTGCGCGGAGCGGTGCGCATAATGGTAATCACTGGATTGTCTAGTTCAGATGATGACAGGCCGCTTTCATATAGCTGGAATATTGCTGACTGCAGCGTTAAACCACAAACAAGCTATTACGTTACTACTAGGGGACACGTGTGTTATTACCCAGTTCTGTGAGGTGCCACGATTCCGATGCGCCCTTCGGTGTGTCAGAAACCTACGATAGTGGGTTCCAGGCCTAGACTCGCCCGATATTGTGTGTAGGTTAGCCAGCACATACCCGTGCTCGCGGGGTCCACCGAAGTGGTAAACATCTATGACCTACATTACTTTCCTCCCACATCTAACTGAAACGCTATGATATATAAGTAGCGGCCATAAAATTTCCGAGTCCCGTGATGGGATTCGAACCACCGACCTTCTGATCACAGTTCGGACGCCTTGTCCACATGACCAAAGAGGTTAACCCCGTCAGCAAGCTGACAAGGTTAGGATGTCATCTGTGGGATGACTCCATGCCCTGCTACATATACATATGAGGTACTATTTAAACTGAAGTTAATCCAGACACACTGACTCTAAAAAAACACTACTTCACTGGCCGATCACCACTGCGAAAAGTTGATTCAATACTAGATTTTAACTGGTCTCTGATATGACTGTCAATTCGAAGCCTAATTATATAAACCAACATCCACTACTTGTCTTGACCAATTGCCCCCCCCCCCCCCCCCCCCCCCCCACACACACACACACAAACACCTCTTTCATTACATGTAAACATTGAAATTTCCGAATGACTTTTATAAAATCGCAAGAACCTATATAGTTCTAATTAAAATAACGAAATCGTATGCCTTTTGACTATCAAACAGGGGTGTTTTGTTGGTTAAAAGGCATCCAATGTAAATTATTTTAATCAGAACTTCAAATGGACGTGATAAAACCTACAACATTCCCCTGAATTTAAACCGTATTAGATTTTTATTTCCTTATGCAGCCCTGCAATGGCCTGTGCTGCAATGTTGGTGCGACACGCAAGGCTGTGCAAGTCAATATGTTTATATACTGCGTCCATTCAGACAAGTAACAGGTGGCAACGCCATGAATGACAGCCCCTAACTAGCGTTGATACTCCGCAACTGGAGCGTCTCTAATCCACGGCAGTCGAGGTGTGGATTGTCACAGACATGTATGCGTATAGGTTAGAGCACTGAAGGACCCGTTTTAATCATTGAAACAGTTCTCGACTTTTGATTACCTGGGCTATGACGGATGTTACCATGGGTAATATTGATTGAACTAATTAAGCACCGAAAATATTTAAACACGAGGTTGGTTTGATCATCGTAATTATACTGGCACCATACAGAACTCTGTGCTTGTCAGTGAGAGCACTGTATGGGCCCTGTGTGATTCATGTGAAGCATATTCCCGGAGCCTTTCACGGTTGGTGGGGTACAATGTGTGAAGCCCATTTCTGGCGATATTGCTGGAATATTGCTAAAAGAGGCATCAAACCATACTCACTCACTCACCCCGATCCTTTAACACATGCAACGACTTAGATCCGGGATTGTTTGTCCCAGGGAAAGGATACACCTCCAATGGGAGCAACCCAAGCATGTTTATCAATCACTTCAATATTACCTCACTTCAATATTACCTCACTTCAATATTACCTCACTTCAATATTACCTCACTTCAATATTAGACCCGTGAAGATTCCGGGGTAGAATAGGTCTTCAGCAACCCATACTTGCCGTAAAAGGCGACTATGCTTGTCGTAAAAGGCGACTAACGGGATCGGGTGGTCAGGCTCGCTGACTTGGTTGATACATGTCATCGATCCCAATTACGTGGATCGATGCTCATGATGTCAATCACTGGATTGTCTGGTCCACACTCGATTATTTTACAGACCGCCGTCATATAGCTGGAATATTGCTGAGTGCGGCGTTAAACAACAAACAAACAAACAAACAAACACTTCAATATTACCTCACTTCAATATTACCTAGAAAACATATCACTGCTCAAGATCAAGAATACGTCATTTCAATATGTTCCAAAATAAACCAAATTATAACACGTTTACATATTTTCATTCACAAGCAGGTTGACTTTTTTGTGTTGATGTAAGTATTTTCACTCAGTTTCTCCCGACAGTTGCCGTGGCAGAACATAACATTCGTTAACCTGTGACATGGAACTACCGGGTTCGAATCCCACCGGCGGTACACATCCAAATACTCAATCGTCAGCTTAACTGAAGAGAGCAAGGTGTGTATTGACTATAGCGGCGTATGCATTACGATGGGTGAGTAAGATCATGGACGAATGTAAAGGTCATTGGGTAAACGCATAGTATTTGCTGCGGAGATTTCTATTCGAATGCAGTATCTTCAACTACCTTAATAACAGCCGAGGAGAAAACACAAAAATAATAAACGTTTGCACATGAGATTGAAAAAAAAAATGAATGCTTTAGTTTGCAGTAAAACCTATATTTACCGCAAATTCGTGGATTTAATTTATTGTCAAGTCAAAGATATTTATTGTATTTAAGGCCTAGAGCCCATCTACAAATGAGTTACATATAGGTAGTTTTACATATTCGGATACATCCTAGTGTTTAAACAATTCGTTCTGAGATCAATTGCATTTTAAACATATATAGCAGGTGTAATGTGACAGCAGCATCATTTGAAGAGAGTAGAAAATGTAAAGTTGAATAATGAATTATTCAAGCCAATGCCAACTGACTTTACAAACCTTTAGGCGTCAGGCCCCGGAGAGTTAAATGTCCTTGATGGGGTTACCGTCGCACGTCCAGGCGCTGGTTTGAGGTTCTGTGAGAGCACCTGGCGGGCATGGAACCCCAGGTGTCACAGGACATATGGACGAGGGCTGTGTCCCATTTAATATAAGCAACCTTTGCCCGGACTGTGTGGACGGCAGTGTAGACTTGCTGTAGTCTTCCCTTCCAAGAACATTATTCCCGTCCGTATTCACCCGCTGACCGGACAAGAAGAAGCTCTGAAACGTCGTGGCAAAGAATAAACGTTGGTATCCATAAAAAGGGTCATGTATAGATGTACATTATTATACCATCATATTCATTCCAGGAACCTAAATCGATTTTGTTTGTAATGTTTTACAAAAGAAATGTCTCAAGTAGAAACAATCTGCCCAATAGGATGACAATGACGATGGCAAGCTGGTGATGCTGTTGACAGTGGTGAGTGAATGAGTGAGGCTGGTTGTATAATGAGTTTGGTATTATTACATCCATGTCGTGAGGGAGGATCAAGAAGGGGGTTCATATTGTGTACCCATAAGTGGAATCGAACTCAGGTTTACGGCGTAAAAAGCCAACATTTTGACTTGGCCACCTTATCGATAAGATGCTGGAGAGGTGACGATGGTAAACATGGAAACAACGAATTGATTGACTCTCAGTTACCGACACAGCAGCGCCCAGCAAGTCACTATCACTAAAACGTCCATACTCAAGGTTATTCGAACACTTACACTGTCGCATGCTATGAAACAATTACATAAAAAGAAACCGAATCGATAAAAAAAAGTCTATTGAACATCTGTTATTTCTGAACCGCCCGACCGATTTTTAGTTGATGCTATGGGTGTTCAATAGACTTTTTGTATCGATTCCCCTCATGGGTGCATAGTGTATGGTCCATTCTGAGACCCCCCGCCTTGATATCGATGAAATATTGCAAAATCGGCGTTAATCGATGACCACTTTCAAAGTACATCTCCCGCAACTGGCCAAGTCTTCAACTCTGTTTAAGGAAGCATCATCAAGTCTACACCGTCAGGATTCCAGGTAGTATTTTCATTTGCAAAACCACCTTCTGAAAATATTGACAGGTTTGTCGAGAATACAATCCCCACACCTCCACGGCCGTTCCTTGACGTCTCAAACATGGCCGTCACTGACCTGTTGACAATGTATTTGTGACGACATGTGTTTGATAACCAGGTCTTTGTGTGTTCGTAGTTCACGGAGTTTGAGTATCAAATTACTCCGAAGGTTTCAAGGCTCGAATTTTAAACTCAAACTTGTTCAGGAATTGAAAAACTGTTGCTTCAAAAAACACCGCCGTTTGTTGTTGTCGGTCTTTATATTTAATTTAAAAGGTTGGGTCGTCTGCAATGTTGCTGCACTGGTGAATTTAGACTTTGCAAAACTTGCTGTTGCTGAAACACCTCCAAGCCTTTGATAGAGCGCAAGGTAAACGTCCATGCACAACGAGACATATGACTAAATGCATACTAATCATAGACCACACGGAG